CTATACGCTAACGGTATACGCTGGCGGAGCACCAGTGAGGGATTATAGGTGGATAATAAAAAAGCAGGTCAGTTAGCCCATCGTGATGAATACATCTGGAATTCAGCACGATGGTTTCCAGGGGAAACCGTGTGGAGGTCGACCTGACAGGGTTTATTGCTAGCAATGGGAGTGGTAGCCAGCATTACTAACAATCCCTTCCCCCTCCCCACTTAGTAGTGGGTAGGTATACCAAATGTAAATACTTAGTGGAAATATACGGGATAATTGATGTAACCTTGACACATTTCATTGCCTGAATTAGGTTCAACAAAAACAATGAGTGGAATCGTACACAGCTGGCAAAATTAAATTTTAAAGCACACCCTTATAAAACATTAATGTAATGACCGCAATTCATAAGCTTAATGAGTGTTAATAGATACCTATTCACATTCAAGAATATTGAGAAAGCAATCCACACGTTTCTTAATATGGCAACTTTATTAGTCTATGCTTGATGTATATACAGTGATGCTCTCTGGTTGCTGCCTTGTAATTGTAAGAAAAGAAATATGTCGCCTCTAATACATTGTATTACATAAAAATATTAATAAATATATAAATATGATTAGTGTGTTTAAATATAACCATAAAACTCTGCTAAATTACTTAAACACAATAAAGAAATTATTTAATAAATTATTTCATTTTGTTCCTCGGTAAATTGTATCTTCTTTTGAGCTGACTTCAAAAAAAGAATATTCTCAATTCTAATTAAACGTACTTACCTGAAATATAAAAACAATATTATATGATAATTAAGTACAACAATGAAATTGTCATTAGCCATTTTAAACGACATTAAAAAGAAAAAAATTGCCAATTCAGTTATATTTGTTTTTTTTTTTATTATTATTATATGTGTATTAACTCATAACCCCATCAGTTGTAAGCCGATTTGGAAAATTATTTTTATCTGAAAATATATACTTACAGATTGGTCTCATTGAAATTTTATGAAAAGCGATTTAATAGTTTAGTTTTTAGATCAAAATAACTGGGTTTGTCACAAATGAAATCAATTTTTATAGGGCATAATCATTTATAATTCTATTGATAATCTTCTTAACAGTCTATACTCATACATATAAGTTGCTATAGTAGTATTAATGAAAAAAAAACAGTCGAATTATTATAAATAATGTAAAATTTGTATTTTATTAGTATTACCACTGCATGTTTTGTAACAAACTAATAATTTGTCAATAATTTTTGTTCATCTAGCTCTATAACGACATAAAAAAAGTTTGATCAATTACCAAAAAAGATACTCGCTCTTTATAAAAGCACTGTATTCACGTTGATGTCTATTTTTTTTACAAAATTGTATTGAAAATGATATATTCCTTTAACAGTTCGTCTGTATGAATGTAATCAGTAAACACATCACACATGTGATTTAAGTCAGAACTTTCTCCATTCCACCCCATTGAGCAATCATCGCAAGGAAAATAATCAGAAAATTCAATCGCTTCACGCTTCTGACTTGCACCATCACATCACAGATACACAAGACGCGAGAGCAAAGGCAGTTCTTTATTGCAATGTAGTAAAGTTGAAATTTGATCTTCGTATCCATAACGAGTTTCTGATGTTCCATTCCGTCGTGTGTACAGTAAATTGCCGCCATTTGCTCGGGTTCGATCTTGAAATACAGCTGTGTGTTACGTTTTCTATGCTTTCATTCATCATATTTTTTCTTAAATTTATTTAAGGACTTCCGACTTTCCTTGGATCTAAATTTATATACAGGTAAATCGAAAGAGTAAAACTAAAAATCTACCTATAAAACCTAAGATAATAAAGAATTTATAGATAGCATTGTATTAAATATAATAGCATCAAGACATAAAAACGAATCAACTTTTGTCTTTGACTTGAGTCTGGAATAGGAAAAAGGCGGGAAAACTTGTAACGCGAGGGCGGAAATTTTAAATTCATTTTATTTGTTTAATATTTATTTGTTGCTTCTCCTAGTTTCTTTTACTTATTTCTCCAATTTAAGCCCTCGTGTGTTGTTAGAGGATATGTGCGAGTCAAGCGGAGGCAAGTTAAAAAGAAGAAAAAAAAATACTTCCATATCTGATGAAGAGCCAGATGCTAAGATGAGTATTAAATTTACTCACTCAGAAAGAGGACTGTTTAAAGATCAAAATTACCTATATTCTGACACTACTAAAAATAAATATTTTATCCTGTTGTCTCCTATTGAGGGCAACAATGTAAACTTATAAGTCAATTCTATTCTGAGGACTGTACCTGGTGTATTCTATATTCGTACTATGGGTCCTACTGCATTCAAAATATGTTTTCGATCAATGAAACAGGCTAACGAATTTTTATTAAATAAAGATTTATTAGAGAAACATAAACTTCAGGCTAGGATACCCAATAATCAGCTGGAGTCTCAGGGAGTTATAAGAGCTCCTACTGAAATATCTGAGGAAGATCTCTTAAATAACTTAAAATCTACTGTAGATATCATCGGTGTTAAACGTTTCAAAAAAAAGAAAGAAGATGGAAGTTTTCATCCTCTTCCTACAGTTTTAGTAACTTTCCTCTCTACGCAGCGACCTGATCACGTAACGTATGATCATATTTGGCTGGATGTGCGTGAATTCATTAGACCTCTACTCCAATGCTTCACTTGTTACAAATTTGGTCATGGAAGCAGTTCCTGCAGAAGAAAGCAAGTTTGTTCCATATGTGCCGGTGCCCATGATTATAGATCCTGTATCAACAAAGAGAATCCTAAATGTGTTAATTGTAATGGACAACATGTAGCAGTATCTAATAGCTGTCCCACTAAATCGATGAAATTGTCTCAAATCAAAGATAAAATTCTAGGCAAAACATCTTATGCATCAGTGACTTCAAAATCGGTTAACTCTGTAATTAATTCAAATACCCCTGTGTCTATTAACAGCTCAACGCAAAATAAATCTCCTCAAAAAAGGGCATTAGTTACTGACATCATTAACTCAGACATTGTACTCAACACAATTACTAAGACTGTTATTGAGCTAGTTAAGAAAGCTCAAACTAATTCTGATACAATTTCATCCAAATTAATTAAGGAAATACTCATATCTAATTTTTCAACATGACCATTACATCTTTAAAGGAAATTAATATTGTTCATTGGAACTCAAGAAGCTTTCTGTCTAAAATGTTTCAATTTAAAAACTTTATTTACAACTTTACATCACATTTTGATATCATTTTACTAAATGAAACTCGGTTTGATTCTAACAAAATCTGTAAATTGTCTGGTTACAATATTGGTTTGAAAAATCTAATGTTTTTCTTGGTAGACAATATTATACTACATTAAGTAGATTGCGGATAGGTCATTGTAAATTTCCTGCACATTTGCAACGTATTAATTTATTGGATAATTCTATCTGTAAATACTGCCAAAACATTTTTTCTGATTTGGATCATATTTTTTTTGTTTGTCCTAAATTCTCACTTCAACGGTTACTTTTTATTTGTCAATGTCAAGATTTATTAAAATGTCAAAATATTCCTACTTCAGTGCAGGATCTACTAAAACATACCATTTTGTATCAAGAAATTTTTAATTATATTACTTCAACAATTGGTGAAATTTAAATATGTAATTGTAACTTATACTTTTCTACTTAACTTACTTTCTTAGTATATTATAATTAATTTATAACTATAATAATTTTTGTAATTTGTCTTGTAATTTTATATTGTTACCTTATAATTGTTACTTTTTGGCTGATGGCTTTCGCCAAAGTCACAATAAATAAAAAAATAAAAAAAAAAAATGTCTTTGACTTTTGTCAGCTAATTGTCAAATTAGCTCCTCTTTTTTTCTTAGTTTTCTCTAAGGTTATACATAAACCCTTGGCTTATACAGATAAGGGCATCGAGTCTCAAAAACGAGTCAGCTAATTATCAAATTAGTTGACTTGTCTTTTATCAGTGTTCTATATACTTACGCACATAATTTATCTATATTTAATTATTTAATAAATAAAATGAGTTTTTACACGCTAAAAGGATGCAAAAATTATAAAACGGATTAAATGATGAAGTTATAAAGGAAACATTCATATCTATTCATCACGCAAAATTTTATTAAAAGTTGACTTGCTTTTCTTGAAGCATTTGTATGGAGACATTAAATATAAAACATATTAAACCAGAAGCTTCGTTAATCAAATTCAAAGACGATAAAACAATTGGAGTCTCCCATACTATATTAAAAAGACATCTTAACACGCGAGTCTAAATGTTTTTGTCATTTTTAACCGACTTCAAAAAAGGAAGTTCTTCTTTCGATTATTTTTTTATGTTTATTACCTCACAACTCCGTCTTATAAAAACTAATTTGAAACATTATTTTTATCTGAAAGGATATGTCAAAAGGAAACTATACAAATGTCGTCTGCTTTATCCCATTATTTAGAGTTGGTAAACAAGTATTTTTAAAATTATCAATACCAACTTTTAAGTTGTTGCAGTAATTTTTGTGTGATGCCGGTACAAACATACAGAGAGACAAAACATTCTAGAAATTGCTGTTTTATTGGTCTTATTAAGACATCCCATATAAATTTTTCTTAAATATTTTCCATGTACAGACATGGCCTAGTGACAATTTTCTTAAATTAGTAAGTTTCTATATATCTGCTTACTTCGAAATGATCCATCGCTCGTATGAAATAGAGGAAGAATGTCTTAGTTTTCCACACGCCTCACTATTATTAAAAAAAAAGGTATGGAACATCTAATATTTTACTACACTAATATTATGTACTACTACAGTATGGGGTTCTTCAAAGAGGTTATATTAAGATTTCTTCAAAGTCGACAACGCGCAGGTGACACCCCTAGTGTTACAGGCGTCCATAGACTACAGCGATCGTTGACCGACAGACGTGCAATAGACAACGAATAAAAAAATATCAAATAAAACAACACAATCATGATTAGCAAAATATATTACTTACATATAATTCAATAAAAAAATACTTAACATTTTAATAAATTCACAACAGATACGATCTCGTGTCTTACAAACTAAAATATCACAGCGACAGTATGTGTGACATTTGAAACACGCAACTCGAAAGGAATATTATATATTTTAGTATTTTATAACTCCTATACATTTATGCTGCCCTGGTACTTTCTATTGTAATCTTTAAAAGTAAAAAAATAAATTACTTGCCTATTAACAGCAATAAACGATGTCATTGATTAAAACAAACAAATATTTACACAAACTCAATTATTTATAAATCTAGGCGTACCCTGCGACATTGCCTAAATAATTAGCAGAAACATTGTTCTATATGTTAATCTAAGGTATGGTCTATACATGTACTAAATGTCATTCAAATCCATTTAGCTGTTTAAACGTGAATGAATTACAATAATCGAAACAACTTTAAAAACTTTCACATTTCTAATATTAGTAGAATTAATACAAATAGGAAAAAAGCGTAAGTCATGGTATGTATTTTAAAATATATATATATATATAAGGTTTATTATAAATAAACACCATAAAGGCACATAATGACATTTATATATATAATTATTTAACTAAAAATCTATTAACAATAGAAAAACTGATATCTATTTAACATATTTGGCTAAATATATTAATAATGATAAAAATATTTGACAAATTAAATTTTTCTGCCTAATATGTGTATATACACATATTAAGAGATAAAGGTATGGACGAAATTATACATTATGTATGAAACAGCAGGCCAATAATAAAATAAATTGGAACTTAATTTTATGTCTATTTTTTGTATTAAATAAATCATAAACTCAGAGTCAACACAGCGCACATTAAGTATAAAAGCAACGCTTATTCATTTATACAATACCACACATAAGAAACAAATTGTTCATTACAATTTAGTTCATTACATCTTCAAATCAAAACATCTAAATTGAAAAAAAAAATACAAATTGTTTACAAGTATTGAGTATTCACATGGCTGGCGTCTACAATAACTACATATAAATACTTGCCTAACATTTAGCCACGGCAAAGTTAACATTTTTCTAACGCTTTCAAATAAAATCTACATATGCTTTTATTACTATACACAATACTGGCGACTATACTTTAAATTTAGAAAACAACTTCGCGCCAAAATCTCATAGATATATTTACTTTTTTTAATTCATTTATCCCCTTGATAAAGGATAAGGAACTAAACGCATACAGCCTATGATTGATGTGTAGATAGATATAAACATTGTTAAATACTAAATGTCACTGCCAATTATATATAAATTTCGAGCTAAAAACTGACTTAAAAATCTACAATACCTATGTAACGTCATAGTAAAACTCTCTACACTAATGGACAGATCTCAATAAACAAGCCTGTTCCCTTCTGCGGGTAACTCTCTAGTTGCGTGCCTCATAAGTCAATTTACAGGTTGACCTTATGTTTATTATGAATGGTCCTTCTTGCGCTGGATAGAACGTGCTTAAAGTGAGAACGTAGCGTCCAGCTGGCAAGCTGGGCAGGTCGAGAACCGCAAATCCTGATCTGTAGACAAAAACACAACGCCATCTAGATTCAAACTAAGCAAAGCGTATACTATACATACTAGACAATAATAACGAACAATAATAATTTTTCACGCGCCATAATGTTCCTTTGTTTTTTTTTTTCAATAAACAGCTTTCTACTTGCAAGACAGTTCGAAATTTAAATAAAACCTTGTATTAGTTACCTCCTTGGTAACCATGTTTCGAAGTAAAAGGTCATTCCATTTTTAAATTACAGGACAGATAAGAGTTTACATAGTAATTTATCTGGCCGCAAAACACGACAGATATGGATTTTCATACAACTTTTGCCGGCCGCTGCCCGCATGTATCTGGTCAGTACGGCAATTTTGATTTATCTCGAAGAAGATTGTCAAAATAATGCTCACATTTCCAAGCATGTTTAAGAAAAATATATTTTATGCAACTTAGAAAGGCAAAGAACCTGACGGCCCACCTGATGAAAAGTGGTAACCGTCGCCTATAAACATGAGCAGTATTATGGATATAACAGAATTGAATTGTTTCGCCCATGATACCCCCCATACATCGCCATTCCTTAAAAATAAGGTATTATGCCTCTATACCCTGTAAATCCACACCCTTCAAACCGAAATACAGCCATGCAAACACAACTGTAACAGACGTAACCAAGCAAACAACTTTTGTAATTTCCCTCTGGTGAGGAGGGCATTATACAAATTCATAATTACTACCTGTAAGCCCCTGAAGACTCCTTCCTAAACGGCGCAGTGACAGTGGGATCAGTTAACGATTCAACAGTAACGTCGATTCCGATATTGTACTGCTTTGGTCCCCTCAGTTCTACCACCATGCCGCTCGGAGTGACGCTGTCCGGTATCGTGAGGACAAACTTGGGATTGTGGGGATACGTCTGCGGATGGTTCTCGGAACCGCCAGCGTTGCGGCCTGACCATTCGCCTTTTAACTGTTTGGAATATATAAATTAAAATAATAACTGAACACATTTTAATGGAATTTAATTCATAAATAGATTTAACCCTAAGTTAAGACATAGTATACTTTTTAGACTATCTGACGCGAAAAAAACCTGTTTTTCTCACGCTAGCTCTTATTTTAGTAATACATTTATTTTATTTTTAATTTTAATTAAAAATAACTTTAAGGGTGTTCATAACGATATAGCAATTATATGTCAATTTTCAAAAACATTTGAACGTTTTTCAATATTTCTGACTCATTATTTAAAATAAATACTCCACTAACTAGCGTAAATCATGCAATAATATTGTTAAGCTGCACTGATTTGGGTTTTAATGACAAAAATATATTTAAAAAATTTCGAAAAAAAAATGAATGAATGAATGAATGAGTACACTTTATTTGCATTATACAATATAGGACATAAGCAAGACAATTCACAAACACAACGATACAATTGTATAAGTACAGTAAGGCGGTCTTATTGCTGAGAGCAATCTTTACAAGACAACCTTAAGGTAATGGATTAATTGTTGTACAAGTAGGCATGATAATATTGTATAATTAAAAAGCAAAATGTGGAGTAGTTATGTTTTTATATGATTAACGTTTTAGTTTAGTAGCAGAGCACTTTTTTAAATAATCAGTCGGAAACACTAAAGAAAGTTGAATTGTTTTTTAAATTGACAATTAAATGCAACGTTGCCACGCTTCGGTAAGCAAAAGTTACGAACGCTCTATAAATACATAATAGCAATAATAGACTTTATGGCAAGTAATTAAACCTTTATGGCACTAAGTGGTAACAAACAAACTCACATTCACATTTATATTTTTTTAATGGATAAAAATCAAATGGCGAGTTGTGAGGGATGATAGGTGAAGATGAAACAGGTCAGTTGGCCCATCGTGATGAATTCATCAAAAATTAATCACGATGGCTTACAGGGGGAACAGCGTAGAGGTCGATCTATTAGGGTATATTGCTAGTAATAAGTCTATTGGATCTAGTTACTAACAATCCCCGTTCCCCCCCCCCCCCCCCATTTATAATATTAGATAAAGATACTCACAGTAGTGAGATACGGGTACGGCTCGAGCTTGTTGAGTGCGAAGGGGCAGGTCGCGTACGCTCGTAGCGAATAGTAGATGGTGCGGCTCTTCTCATACTGTGACACCACGAGCGTGTACCGGTCGCAGCCGCGCTCGCCCACTATGATCTTGCACAAGTAGTGCGGACTGTTGATCGGTACACCGTCAATGTACGGCGGTGGCTCTTCTGCGTTTGACCATAATGAAAAAATTTTGCAAATATTAATAAAAAACAGTCAAAACGAGTTCACACGCACACGCACGCATGCACCTACGTACATGCACGCACACTGATAAACGACGAGACTTCCTATTTATTTAATTATTATAAACTATGTAGGCCCGACATAGAATAGTATATAAATATAATAGATATAATAGGTATAATAATAGATATAATAGATATATATATATATATATATATATATATATATATATATATAATAATAGATACAATAGATATATAATCATAATAGATATAATAGAATAATATCCTCTCATTGTGGGTCATATTTATTATAGGGGCCATAAAATGAATTTTATATATTTTTTTTCTACTAACATAGTTTAAGTCAATTGTTACTAACAAAAACGGATCTTTGTAAATAAAGAAATATTATTATTATATTATTATTATTATAGAATAGGCGGAGTTAGATTTTGGTGGAGGGATGGATAGCCAGAGTCCCTTTTAAAATATCACCAAAAGTCAAACTAGATCATTCAGTTTTAAATGTAAATAAATAATTAAATATCATATCAGCTGTTAAATGTTCACTGCTGAACCTAGCCTCCCCCATAAAGGGGGGTTTTAACAAAGTAGTTGCCACGTTTGGCAGGCGAGTTGACAACCCGCAGTTAAACACAGTTAGGTTTTGGTGAGGTTTTAAGAGGAGCGCCGCTGCCCATCCCTCGACCATTAAGTTCTATTAGTAGCACACACCACAGTATGGTAAGAAGTAAACATACCACAGTACCTATGTAAATATGAAAAGTTATTATTTACATAATAATTTGAAAAGAGTAACTGCAATCGAGGGCAAAGCAATAAACTGAGTTGTGACCACTTTGTGTTACCTGTGGCACACTCACGAAAACTTATGTAACCACTTTTATGTACTTTTTTTTAATTAATATAAAATAATTTAAGTATGTACCAATATCAAATGTTATCTGCGTGCTATAAGTAATTCAAATTAATTATATATGACATAGTACAAAAGTAGTTTGCTTGGGCTCCTCTGTCTCATTTGTGTTTCTACTGTGAAGCAGTTGTATTTGCATGGCTGTTTCGGTTTGAAAGGTGGGATATATCAGTGAATTAACAGGGTACCGAGAAATAACACCTGAGTCCTCAGGAATGGCAACGCATGGGGAGTATCACGGTCGAAACAGTATACTCTGTTATATCCATGGTACTGCTCATGTCTATAAGCGACGGTTACCACTTTCCATCAGATGGCCATCAGCTTGTTTTCCATTCTAAGTAGTATAAAATAAATCTATCTATTCTATTTTTTTCTAAAATAAAACTTACGCCTGTAATACACCCTTTTCCCGTTGTTCTTGTACACTAGCAGCGTGATATATTCCCTGTTGTCCTTGAAGTCGTCTATCTGGGTGATGTGCCGCGTGAGCAGCAGCCACACAGCGCCTTTGCCTTGCACGTGCAGCGAAAACTGTGGGTTCTCGCCCACTGTGTACATGTCCTTGGTGGGACCGCTGCCCGCGTCCCATTTCCTTAAAAAAAAAAATAATACTTTAATATTTCAAGTTATTTTTGCCTAACTTGAATTCAAGATTTTGTTGCACAAAAGAAATTGACTTCCATTGTAGCAAAACCAGTTATTCCGATTTAAAAACTAAACTACTGAAGGGATATTCAAGTCTTACGTCACGCCATTTTTGACTCTCCCACCCCCTATGTAACGCAATGTAATTTTTTTCTGTAACCCTCCCCCCCCCCTTCCTCCCTCCACAACGTCACATAACACTTAAATGACCGTTTTTACCTAAAAATCACAATACTAACGAATTACTACTATAATACTGACAATGGCAATAAAATGAAAATTACGTGCAATACAGCAATACAGTCGACAGATTCCCCTTAAAATATAAACGAAAAGGGTTGCCAACTTAGAAGGTTTTAATTCCCTTGGTTTTTTATTTAAATAAAAAGAAAACATGATAATGAAATGGCAAATCCTCCCGCGCCAACTGTATATGCTGGCCGAGCACCAATGAAGGATAAGTGAGAATGAAAAGGCAGGTCATTAGCCCATCGTGATGAATACACCTGGAATTCAACACGATGGCTTCCAGAGGGCACCACGTGGAGGTCGACCTGTCAGAGTGTATTGCTAGCAATGGGGGCTGGTAGTCCACATTACTAACAATACCTTCCTCCTTCTTCTTCTTTCTTTTTTCTTCTTCGCTTCGAATTCGTGTTCGAAACCCCCCTCCGGCCCCTGTAAAGCAACATAACGTTTTACGAGATACTCACTGGTGTATGCAATATGTAAACTTGAACAACTCCGGGTTCCAGTTTAGGTAGAACACGTCGAAGAACTTAAGTATACTGGCGTAGTCGATCCAGAAGACGCCGTTGTCGTACTGCGCCGCGCTGTCCGGGTCGTAGTTGAGAAGCCCCCGGAGACTGGGCGTCCAGTGCACCGTGTCCAGCTCCGAGTAGTTCCCTCGCCAGCGTAAGTGTGACCAGGGATTCTTCAGCTTGAGAAGTTTTACTCCCTATATAGTACAAATAATATTGCAGTGAGGTCCCGGTATAGAATATGCCAGCCCTTCCTTTCCCGTGGGTGTCGTAGGAGACAACTAAGGGAAAGCGAAGGATGGACAGCAGCGTCCCTCTTAAAACATCTCTAAAGCCTAACTGTGGTTGCCAATCCGCCTGCCAAGCGTGGCAACTATTGACAAAATCCTCCAAAATATTCATCAGTGGACAGGGAAAAGCTGACGTAATATGCTGATAGCAGTTAATTCCATACATATATAATTATCTTATACGTAAGTTAATTGAAAAACGTAACTGCTGAATTTCTTGCGGATTCCTCTCGGCAGACAACAATATTTCGAAATTGGCAATAGAATTATAAAAAGAGAACATAATAATTAAAATAACTCATTTTATAAATAATAATTTTAATAAGCAGTTTTAATAAAAACAATTTCTATTCTATTCATCGCACGGTTCTTTTGTACTTTTTTTTTTATATTTAATTGATATTGGTTTCATGTAGTTTTATATAGGTGAAACAATTTTCAAAATCGGTGAAGTATTTTAAATTTATTCATTATAAACAAAAAATCATATCTTTACTCTTAATAATCTTAATTATATAATAATTATATTAATAATATAATTTATTTGCTGAAAAACACGGTATAATATGTTAGCAATAATATGTTAGGAACAGGCGTGTTTTGCCAAAACAATGGCGTGCAAATTTTTAATATTTATGGTTACTTCTTTTCAAATACTATTAACAAAATATTATTTATGTGCTTATAAAGTGGAATTATTCTTTAGTCCAACAAGTCCTTAATTGAGGGGGGAAGGGATTGTTAGTAATGGGGATTAGCAACCCCATTGCTAGCAATAAACCCTATCAGGTCGACCTCCTAGCGGTTCCCCCTGGAAACCATCGTGATTGGTTTATTGTTGAATTTGTTACGATGGGCTAACTGACCTGCTTCACCCTCATCTATCATCCCTCACTGGTGTCCCGCCAGCGTATACCAATAGCGCAGACGGGGCTACCATTTCATTATCATCCATTAAAAAAAAAAAGTCTTTAATTGAGTAATAACATTTGTCCAAAAGCCATTTGTAGTGTGTTCTTAAATTTTGTCAGTGTTTTTATATTTATAATATTTTCGGGTATAGTATTAAAAATTCTTATACACGTAAAATTCGTATATACGTAATCAAAATCATTAGCATCCTTTTATATGATTACTCTTTAAGTCAAACATCAATTAAGTGCCATTCTAAAGTGCATAAAAAATAAACTAACCTCTGCGACCCTGACGTCAAGTACAGCATATGCATGAGTGGCGACTAGACCGGTCCTCTCTGCTTCCGCGTCGTCTAGAGCTCCAGTGGCGACGGTGGCCAGCACGTCGCCTGACTCGAGCCGGCTCCGTATCTTCTCGTATAACGCATCGCTATTGAAGTCCGCTTCACCCGGACGGATGGCGCAACGTTCCGGTATCCAGCCGGTTAGCGCGTGCAGATCAATGTTCTGTAATAAAATATTTTAATAAACGATCCGGCTCAAAGGACCATAATGTAATATAGCGGAAGTTTGCGCCAATCTCTAAAACTACTAGTCGAATTTGGAATATTCTTATTACATTTAATAGCTCGTTTGTTGAGGAAGGTTATAGGTTACTCACCATGTGTGATGAAATACCTAAGTGTACTGTCGGTGACCGTATATTTTCTATAAATAATCACTGCACTCACACTGTTAGACCCTGGGAAATCGTAGCCACCCATGACCTTCATATACGCCTTCTCGAGCATCGACACCCAAAATTCGTTCTTGTTGCTTGAATACGAACACAAGAGCCGCCCGTATTTGCTGTACGGTAACCTGTCGTCTATTATCACCTGGAATATTTTTTTTTTATTGCACTAATTAAAGAATAATAACAAAATATATAGTGCAATGATAGATCACTGCAATTGTGACAAAACCAATTATTTTGGTCCAAAAATTAAACTACTAAACGAGTATTGGTAAAATTTCAATCTATAAGTATACTCTTTCAATCAAAAAAGAATTTCTCAAATTGGTTTAAAATTGTTAGAGTCATGTGGTAATAAACTTTAAAAAAAAGTACAACCGAATTGGAAATCTCTTTCTTTTGGAACTCGGTTGAAAAGACCATAGTTGATTACTAACCTTTCTCCTCACACCATTAAGGTGCAGTTTCACCATATATTTCCCGAATGGATTGTACACAGGCAGTTTGTTCTTGTTCCTCGGATAGATAATATTGCTTATGATTTTCTTGTTAAACCTTCGCTCGTATAAGGCACTGACGGCGAGCGACGCAACAAACGAACAGTCTGACACTATCTGAAAAATACCTTCAAACCGTAAACAACCTTCTTTACTATATCATAAAGTTTAATTTTAATTACAAGGAACATCCAGGATGCAATTACAAATAGATAAATATCAGTGACGGATTTCCCAGCAAGCTGAGTAGGATGAAGCAAATTTGAGCCTAAATTTTATAATCATAAAGTTATAATTTCATTAATAAAAATATGTAATTAATATGACTGTGAGCTATGGTAGAGTAGTATTGTTAGAAGTGGTGATATGAATAGTCGGCTGGTATCAAATGGGGAAATCTGCCACCGATGAATGTTACAAATTGGACATCAGAAAAAATTATCGATTAAATACCAAATTATAGAGCGCCATCTGTGTTACACTTTGTTTCCATTTTACTGAACTAACTGTCTACAATCTTTCCAAATACCGAAATTACATAGATAAATAAATTATGTAGATAATTTTGTTATTAGATAAGTTATGCTATAGATATCAGCACTGTGGTCCCGGCATAGAATGGACCACCCCTTCCTATCTCCTGGGTGTCGTAAGAGGCGACTAAGGGAGGCGAAGGATGGGTAGCAGCGTCCCTCTTAAAACATCTCTAAAGCCTAACTGCGGTTGCTAATCTGCCTGCAAAACGTGGCCACTACTGGCAAAACCCCCCAAGGGGAGGCTTTTGTTCAGCAATGGATAGTTAAAGGCTGATATGATGGTGATGATAGATATCTATAAATACTTACAGTTTGTTTAATACTGAAGCAATCTAGGTGATTATTGACTATCAGCTTCGGGTCCGCACATATCTCGTGGGGGCGAACCCAACAGTCGAACTCGCGTTCCTGCTTTACAGATAACTTCAGCTCGCTTGCGCGGTCTTCAAACGGGATCGCATATTGAAACCTGAAAATATATTAACGTTGTTTTAATAATAATTTACTTTTGTTTTTCTGTTCTGTTTTGTTCTTCGACTTTAGGAGTTTTACTCCTTGTACAGTACAAATAATATTGCCATGTGGTCCCGGCATAGAATGAGCATTCCTTCCATTCCCATGGGTGTCGTAAGAAGTGACTAGGGGAGGGCAAATAATGGGCAGCAGTATCCCTCTTAAAACATCTCTAAAAGCCTAACTGTGGTTGCTAACCCGCCTGCCAAGCGTGGCAACTACTGACAAAACTCCCCTTATGGGGAAGGCTTATGTTCAGCAGTGGACAGTTAACGGCTGAGATAATAAAATCTGAATATAGCTAAACAGGACTTACTGCAGATAAAAAGATGGTTTTTTTTTTATTATTATTAAACTGACTATAATTTTAATTGGGATTTTTATGAAAAAATTAAATTGTTTTATACCTTTCTGACAAATCAATATCCATGAATGGTAAGAAGCAGTTATTATTAATATTTGAGGTGTCACGAAGTACTTCCTTCTCTTCAGCTGTGTATGTGTACTTTCCGCTAACTCTTAACTGTACTACACTCTGCTCCCTTTGTAAGTGTGCTTTACTTGGTGTTGCAACTGTAAAAAATTATCTCAATATATTTAAATTCAATATCCATATTTTCATTGATGCCTTTCTCCAAAATCACTCCACGGATTTTAATAAAATTTTATAAATATGTATTGTCTCCAACTTGAGACATAATTTTTAAACTAATAATAAATAATCTGTAAGCAAAATAATGTTTGCCCTGTCAACTAGTAGCTATATAAAAAATATATTCATGATGGTAACCTTCGATAGAATGGTCAGGCCGTGCTACATCACAATAGACTCAGGTCTATGAAGTTAGCTTGATCCTCACAGTTTCATGCTCTATTGATGCCCCATCATTAAATAACATTAGAATTAACAAATGCATTACTCCATCTCCATTAATTAAGCAATAAAAATACATTCAATAATTTTCATTCATTTTTTCATTCTAAATATCAAGTCGCAAGTAACAGTGTAACTTACCCGGTTTCTTCTGTTCATTTAATGAAAGGTTACTGATATTAATCCCTTTCAATTCCTCAGCCCTGCTCAGAGCTTGTTTAGCTAATGAGTTTAATTCTTCCCTCTTCTCTGGGTCAATTGTTTTCTGAAGTATAAAATCTTTATTTTTTTTTATTTTATTTATTCATAAACAAAAATTTTTTCAATAAATTTAGGCATTTGTTCATTAAATCATTCTATAAAGTTAGGTTTTAACATCACAATCCAAAAATCATAATTTATCAATACACAATTATCCTAACACAAACTGTATCCTGCAGCTTTGTTCACATGAATTTATATATAAAAATATTAATCCATGTGTGCAAAGCTGTATATATATTATCCTATATAAAAGTAAAAGGATGTAGGCTACTTTTTATAGATGCCTGTCAATATAAACATAAAACTATACTGTTTTTTTTTTTTTTTTTTTATACAACTTAGAATGGCAAACAAGCTGACACCTGATGGAAAGTGGTAACCGTCGCCTATAGACATGAGCAGTACCATAGACATAACAGAGTATACTGTTTCGCCCATGATACCCCCCACGCGTTGCCATTCCTGAGGACTCAGGTGTTATTCCTCTGTACCCAGTAAATTTACGCCATATCCCACCCTTCAAACCGAAACACAAGCATGCAAACACAACTGCTTCACGGTTGAAACACGAATGGAACAGAGGTACCCAAGCAATCGACTTTTGTACAAAGTCTCCCTCTGGTAAAATTGGTATAAAAAGTGTAACTATTAAGTTTCTTGATGATTCTTTTCAGCAGATAACAATATTTTGAATAAAATGGAACAATTTAAAAGAGCTTGTAAACTAGTCAATTTAAATGAAAAGGATTTCTATTCTATTTTATAAAAATAATTTAGACACCATGCCGGCATACACAGACCAACAGTGTATGCCGGCTGAAAACCCAGTAATCTGGAGGTTGTCGCCTCCGGATTCTAAACCGGACATACCCCGGCTTCTAACCCAGGGTAATGGGGTATGCCCTGAGGCCCCTACCTCGCCTGCCCACACATCATCCGGCGGGCATGAGAAGACTGTGTTGTTGTTGTTGTTAAAAATAATTTATTCCATTTATTGTTGCCAATTCTATTATAACCGTATTATAATGCAACTGACAACAATAACATGAAACTAAACATAGTTGTGGAAGACTTATATCTAAACTGTGCAACAAGATGTTTGGGAAATTTAAATAATATTTAAGTTTTTATTGCAAAACTGTATGTATGACATAGAATATTGATAAAGAAAGTCATCTGGACAAGTGGCGTCCTCCACCGTGCATTTTTCAAGGCACTTTCTCCCACGCACAACCACTCTTTGGAATCAACTTCCAGCAGCAGTATTTCCGAACCGATACAACAACATAACCTTCAAGAAAAGAGCATATTCCTTTTTAAAAGGCCGGCAGCACACCTGCAATGCCGTAGGTGTTGTGGGTGGCGGTAGTCACTTACCATCAGGTGAGCCACATTCATTATTAAAAATAATCACTTATAGCCTTATAGTAAATTGAAGTAAAAAGTTGACACATATTTTAAATACACTTTAGGGACTTAAAATCATGTGATTGCAGGTATATAGTACCTACATACTAGATTTTTACTGATGATGTCGAAACATTAACAGTATAAATCAGGTATGTAGTTATCATTTTCCTGCAATTGCATCATTTTAAGTGCTGATAGTGTACTTAAAATGTAATTGTAATACTTACAATACCAACAGCCATTTCAACGGCTTTTGTGTACAACTGTAATGCCAAGTCTTTAATATTAGATTCATCAGCATCCAGAGCCTGTTGCATCAGGAAATAGCATTGCTGCATCACCCTTTCACTCTCTTTTTGGTGTGTTCTATCTATGCAATTTAAATAAAGGAATTTAAATTTTATTGCACAAATTATTGGCATACAACATGGTAATATTAGTAAAATGTGAATCTCGGAATTGTTTATACCTATGCATTAAATATTTTAAATTAAAAATGCAGAGTGAAGACAATAAGTGAACTCATTTATTGTCAAAGATATTGTATGCATTTATTATATTATGTGTTATTAGCTTAGTATTTCAATAAACCTATGTACATATTGTGAAATAATAATTACAAAAACATTTGAAGTATTATGACAATTCTCTAAATTTTTGTATACTTGAGGTATTTATGTCTGTCAATTGACGTCACTATATTCTTTTTGTATAAATATTGCATTACATACATAGGCATCTTTTCTCATAATAAACAAGGGCGTGAAAACCAATGACTCATACTAATTCATTTCGTTTACATTCCCTTTATATTATAAATTACAATAAACCTTTGTGTTCCTGCAGAGCAGTCGCTCTCTCGAGATACTCTAGTACTTTGTCTCTAAAGCTAGATCTTCGTTCCGGTGGTATGAGGTTGCTTATTAGAGCTCTGTCCAAGAAACGAGCGGCACTTCGATAGCATTCTACAGCCTTATCAGTCTCCTTCATTTGGTCAAAACGGACAGCAAGGGACGCCGCCTCAGTAGCATTTGCTAAATCACTCATTTTTTGTATATTATAATCATCACCTATTTAATTATTACAGTGGAACACAAAAACAAATAATATTTTCAAACAAACCACAGATCAAATATTCACTGTTTAACTTATTCTGTGGTTTGACTAACATTGACACATATTAACCTATATTAACAGTATAGTTCTGTCACATGCATTTTATTACTTATAGCTGTGTAACAGATACAATGATCAAGCAATAAGATGATACCACAGACAAAATAAAAAAGTCAAGCCATCATAATTATGTATGTTGATGATACCATAGAATTATTATGAACATATAAAGTAGAACGAAGTTTTTTTAAAAGAAATGTGGACATTAGGCCCTAATATTTTCTTTATAGAGCTTTAAACTATGTATAATAATAAGTTCAAACATATTTTGTTTATTACGATTATGGTATGCCTCAAATATTTTTTGTAGAAAAATAATAATTATCGAAACTTAAATCTTTTGAAATACCGAAATTAGACATGAAAAATAGCGAAGATAATAACTGGATATAATCTTCAGCTCTAGTACAAGTCTCATATACATGACGCTGGCAGAAATGGTCATAAAATAGTAGCGTGGCAACTACTGGCAAAACTCTCCTTTGGGAGAGTTTTGCCAGTAGTTACCACGTTTGACAGGTGGATTGGCAACCGCAGTTAATCTTTAGAGATGTTTAAGGGAGATGCTACTGCCTATCCCTCGCTCTCTCTCAATCCCTGTTACTTATTAGAATTAGAGAAATATTGAAAAATATATGCGTTGCTGGAGTGTGTATTTGCAAATAACCTTTCGATAATTCCATGATACAGCTTTTTATTATATAGAGACTTTAAAATAAAGCAGTAAATTATCATATTTCCAATTTATAATAAGTATAGAATATGATTTTGATATTTTATGTACAAACTCTTGAAAGAAATTTTTAAATGCAGCCCCATTTAGGTCTACGAGACTTAATTGTATTTAATAATGATAATTAAAAAAAAATTATTAATTATTAAGTTCCGTAAAGACGAATAATTATGTAGCATCTGGATTTTCAATATGAAATAAATAAAAGTTTATAATAATAGTGGAAACTGTAAAGCAAAGTATATATGGTAATAAAGATCTTGTTATGTACATATTCAAATTAATAAAAATGAAAATGTGTGTTTAACGATAAAAGAAAATAAACCGAAAACTTCTGTCCGACAATAGATACAAAGAAAAATAACAGCAATTAGCAAATATACAAAATATATGAACTACAAAATATATAAAATATTAAACCGCAATAATCTACGTCACAAGGGAAATCTATTAACAAAGATACAGTCATTCAAGATTCTTGTAAACTTACAGCACCAGATGGTGCAGGTGACACTATTGTAAATAGGTTAAAAAGATTATTATTTAATAAGAAAAAAATAAAAGAAAAAAAAAATCCTGAATGTTCGTGAAAGAAAACATCTTTGAAACCGTGTTGAACGCGATCATTTAGGCTGTAAGATATGAGGATGAACTCCCTGTCGATGACGTACGATGGTAGAAAGTGGCCGTGAGCACCATATTGAGCAATTCCTCTGAGCACAATCCGTTGTACAAGCGGTAGAACACGCAGAGTGTGGCATAATTTCTCTTAAGACTAAAAGGTTTCATACCGCTTATAAGCCTGGGATCATCGACAATAAATTTATATAATTTAGTTCGTTAGCAGGGCAGTTTTTATTAGCAACATTGTCACTTTTTGCATAAAAGTGACAATGTTGCTAATAAAAAAGCTAAAGTGACGAACCTTCTTAAAACAACTTGCTTATGAATGTAATAATTTCCTCTCTGCATTTGTCTTAGGGTAAGTAGATGATGAGTTCTGCTAAGAACAAGGAATTTTGGCGTGCCATTTTGATCCCTCATATTTAGGCCGTTTCATTATTATGTCTGTGGTTAGAAACAAACCATAAACCAAATTAAAAAAATGGTCAATTGGTCTATTACAAGCTGTCATTTCTGAGACTTCTGATCCTCTCTTCGTTGTCAAAATTATCAAATCAATTTGTCACTGTTATTTCACAGATCAATTTTCTAATTTTATTTTGTCTGTTGCTTGTGATTGTATGCACTTTGATTCTGCCGAAAATAAATCTTTATATCTTGAAATTTTGAATTTATCTTGTCCTTTATTTATACATTTCGAAAAACACAAAATATTTTTGTTGTACAAATCCTAAAACTTTCAAGCGTTAAGGGTATCCACTGACCAAGATGAGTGCAGAGGGATTATTAACTAGTAATGAAATACGGGATAATTTGGTAAGTACCTATCACATATTTGTATATCTTATTAAGTATAAAAGCATAAGAAAACTGCATTTAATAAAAATATACATAGCTACCTAAAACAAGTTTTTTAATCCTCTTAAATATTACTAGGTATTGGACTTTTGTATTTTAACCTATACCTAATTATTAATTGACCTTCGAACTCATATAAAATCGAATTATCTTCATGTTATACCTAATTCAATATAGCTTATATTATGTTGATTACAACTTGTAATCTTAATACACATTGTATTCCAGATAGTAGGTTTGTTTTGCGTTAATAGGCCTATGTTAGGTAAATAGATAATAATATTTTGCAGAATACTGAATTGCTACCTCTTTTTCCATCATATATCTATAGTAATGTTGTAAAAGAGGAAAGATTTGATTTTTCATATATTTATTTGTCATGCAAAAAATCAAACTGCAACCTAATATATATAGTTGTACTCTGTGTTATCAGACCATTTATTTATTAAATGATCACTATTTTTAACAATGAAACAAAAATATAGCTTTAGGACTTGTTTTTGTTTTAAAAATTAGGTAAATTAGATTTAAAAATTTATATCGAAGTTGTAGCAAAAATTATAAATATAAAATTTTATTAAAATCTGTTATACTGCTTCAGAAATTAATGTGAATATATATAGTATATACTTGTATACAATACTTTATATATTTAGATTATTTTACAATGAGATAGTCCTCGATACCTAGTCAGACATTAAGTGGAATATTAGCATCTGTAAATGCAAATGTATATTTGTCACAAAAGTCAAATTTGAATATTAGATTATACTAGAATGTTATAACAAGAATAATAAGTGTGTTAGACACTTGTAATATACTTCTTTTTATTAAATTTACAATACATTTTGAATGTCATGCAAATATTGTACTTGAGATTTGTATTCAAAAACTAAACAAATACATTTTACATATATTTTCATGTTCATATGTTTTGAAGGTGTCACTGTGAATCATTGAATCTATTGTCACAATTCCCCACTAAATATTGTATTCTTGAGAAATTTCTTTCCCTTGAAACCTATTTTGAAAAAAGTAAGGAAATAAAAAAATATTACTATCTTCAAATCTTTGACATCAAAGACATTGCAAGTTTTATGTCCAAAAGTCAATAATAAGGACTTGTTTCAAATAAGACACAGTTTATCACACAATTTCTAAGAGTAACCTTATGTAGAGAACTCTTCCCATTCCTCCATCTTTGCTCTTTAACCTCACTAAAACTGCCAATTGCCACTTTTCAGTTTCTGGGCAGTGGATGCCCCCACAAAATTTAATACCTAAAAAGTTTGTTGCTAATGATATACCTTGTCTGGATAACTTTTACTCGAATTTCTCTGAAAAGCATTGTGATTACATTTGTATATATTTGTTATGTCTGTTTTCCTTTGGGATAGGCAGAACAATCAGGCCAAATGCTTCATCGTGATTAATTCCCGGTGAATTCGTCAGAACAAGTCAATTGACCTTACTTCATCTTCACCTATCATATTTCACTGGTACCCTGGCAGCGTAATTGGTAGTGCATTTAAAAAAATTTTAAGTGGACCTTTCTTTATCTTATCTAGGAAAAAAAAACAGCCCAGCAATGGGCAAAGTACTTTAGGGGGTTCTTAACTCGCAGCTCACATCATTAGTAAAGTTGGTTTGACAGCCTCTGATATTTAGTTATTGCATTATAACGAACTACAGAATAAATTTTGTACTTAAGCAAAAATATTTTCGATTACTTAGCACTTATTCAAAGGCAATTTTTATGATTAACGTGCTTGTAAAAAAAGTTACAACTTTGATACCAATTGTTCTAAAATTTTTATTGTTAATAAAGTTTTACATTGCACACATTAAATTTTTTTTATGCCACTTAGAATGTCAAACAAGGTTGGTGATGACCTACCTGATCAAAAGTGGTAACCGTCTCCTATAGATATGAACAGGACCATGGACATAACAGAGTGTACTATTTCGCCCATGATATCCCCATGCGTTGCCTTTCCTGAGGACTCATGTGTTATTCCTCTGTACCCTGTAAATTCACTGCCATATCCCACCCTTCAAACCGAAACACGGCCATGCAAACACAACTGCTTCATGGTAGATACACGAATGGGACAGAGGTGTCCAAGCAAACGACTTTTCTACAGTCTCCCTCTGGTAAAATTTAATATACAATAGCAGTATGTTTGAAAACTTTAGATCGTAATGAATAATTTTTAAATGATATCTTGTGCCGTCAATCTTCAGTGCCATAGAGAAATAGTTTATCCTAAAAAAATATTTATAACAAACATTGACAATTTAAAGATGTTTGTCTAATAAAATGATTAGCTCAGTTCGATAAAAATATTGGCCCCAAAAAGTATAAGAAAGAAAGTCTAGTCCACATTTTAGTAATATGCCTTATACATATATCATATTATGTTAGCCGTTAACTGTCCACTGCTGAATATAGGCTTTCCCATAACGGGGGTTTTATCAGCAGTTGCCACGCTCGACAGGCGAGTTGGCAACTGCAGTTAGGCTTTTGGTGATGTTTTAAGAAGAACGCTGCTGCTCATCCCACAACTATAAAAATCCCTTAGTCGCCCTTTCGACACCCACAGGAAAGGAAGGGAATCATCATCATATCAGCCGTTAACTGTCCACTGATGAACATAGCCTCCCAGGGGGGAAAGGGATTGTTAGTCATGGTATAGTTTGATTGTTCATTGCTAGCAATATGCCCTATTAGGTCGACCTCCACGTGGTTCCCACTGGAAACCATCATGAAATTCTTGTTGAATTCGTCACGATGGGCTAACTGACCTACTTCATCCTCACCTATCATCCTTCACTGGTGCCCCACCGGTGTATACCGATAGCGCGGGTGGGATTACCATTCCATTATCATCCATTAAAAAAAAACATAGCCTCCCAATAAACGAGGTTTTGTTAGTAGTTGTCATGCTTGGCAAGCGAGGTGGCAACCCTGGTTAGGCTTTTGGTGATGTATTAAGAGGGACGCTGCTGCCCATCTTTCAACCATTACGTTCCTTTAGTCGCCTCTTATAACGCACACAGGAAAAGAAGGGTATATACCTATACATTTCATTATTATTTAATCAAGTATTCACCTAGTTAAACAATTGTTTGTACTGTAACAATTTGAAGGATATTAACATAATTCAATTCAAGAATTTACTCATGTCAAAGGGTAATGTTTAATCCGTTACCGTTTTCTATCACTAGTTGTTCAATAATGTATATCTGTACAAAAATGAACTCATTCGTTATAATCATAAAGCATGCTTTGCATCAGCCGTTAATTGTGCACTGCTTGTGAACATGCGAGGCCTATTTTGGTATATCAGTAGTTAATACGATTAGTAGGCAGATGGACAATTGCAGTTGCGTTTTGGTGATGTTTTAAAACGGATGCTCCTGCTTATTCCTCGGCCATTAAGTTCTCTCTGTCGCCTTTTCAAAATCATACTCTTATTATCTCTCATCGATTATAATTATTAATATAAATTAATGATTATAAACAAAATCAAGCGTTATAAATATAAATTAAATAAATTATTATATATATTAAACCATAAAAATCACTCGTTTACGCTAATCTTCGAAAACACAACCTAATTTATTAAAATTTTGTAAATATGTATTGTTTTCTCCAACTTGACAGTTAGGATAGTTCGTTTTTAATGGGTGATAATGGAATGGGATACCGCCTGCGCTATCAGTATTAGCTGGCGGGACACTCGAGAAATCGCGATCATAATAACAGAAATTGACGCGGACGAAATCGCGAGCAACAACTAGTACTTCAATATTAATAAGCAACAGATGTATTATCACCAACTACAGGTAAACACCGCAGTCAAATTCCTCACGAACCCCAACGTGCAGCGGTGCACCATGGAGAGCAAGGAAAGGTTCCTACGCAACAAGGGTCTGAACGACGCGGAAATACAGAAAGCCATAGAGAAGGTCGGCGAGATGATAGACTTTGCACCTGTTTCGTCGGAGTTCTTGTTCTATCGCCACTCTAGAACGTCCTGGTTCAGAGACAACGTGTTGCCTCTGTTAATCTATGGAGGTTTCGCTTATGGATGCTATTGGTTTTATAAGGTTCGTATGTAAATATTTAGTTCGTAATTCAAATTCCTATATATAATTATTGTCATTTTATCAAATCAGTCGTTTATTTATATTATGGCTGTATTTTATTATTTAAAAAAAAAGGTGAATTAATTAAACTTAGGGTATCTTCGCCTGTACTATTAGTATAGTCTATTGACACCAGTAAAAAATGACAATGATAAGGTGAGAAAAAATTCACCAAGAGTTAGCTACAATGAGTTTAATTGACGCTCCCTAACAATGAGCTAATGTGTTATAACGGTACTGAATGAATATTAAGTAAATTAACTAATTTTGGTTTTATTAACAGCCATTCAAACACAACTCTTGAAAACGGAATTTGATTTTAAATCGAAATAATGGGAGAGAGTTTTTTTTTTTATTTTTTTTTTTTTATACAACTTAGAATGGCAAACAAGATCACCTTTTGATGGAAAGTAACCGTCGCCTATAGACTGGTGTACCATGGACATGCTGTTTCGCCCATGATATACATGGCGTTGCCATTTCTGACTCAGTGTTATTCCTCTGTACCTATACCCTTCAAACCGAAATATAGAATGCAAAACAACTGCTTCAGATAGAAACACGAATCGTGATCGACTTTTATCTCTGAGAGTTTCACTCAATCACTTTGGTTGTCCTGCTGTACGGACGTACGTACGTGGAGGTGGACCTGATAGTCGGTTATTAGCAATGAGACAGTTAAATCCTGTATAGAGTTTGCACTGTATATGTTTTGTTGAACAAATATTAATATATCCTTTTGTTTTGACCTTGCAGAACTGCATCCGACACCTACTATTCGTTGAGGAGCCCAAAAGGAAAACAACAGCGGAATGCCTGGACGAGCTCAGGAAGTCATTGGACGTCCTCAACTCGAATGTGACGTCGCTACGTGGTGAGATACAGACGTCTGTGCAACAGAACTCGCTGCGATCTCAACTAGACAATATCAAGTCTGATATATCCTCTGTTAAAGGAATACTTTTAAATAGGTAAGATTTTTTTTATAACTAACAATATTTTGTTTCACAAAAAACACCGGCATAAAGCGTGGTAAAATTATTCCCAAAGAGGGTTGACGTCGGGCAGGCGGCCGATCGTAAAACTATATGCCAAATCTTATCCTATTATTATCTTATATCCCATTCTTGTCTTATAATCAATTTTATCAGAGGGAGACTTTGTACAAAAGTCGATTGCTTGGGTACCTCTGTCCCATTCGTGTTTCAACCGTGAAGCAGTTGTGTTTGCATGGCTGTGTTTCGGTTTGAAGGGTGGGATATGGCGTGAATTTACAGGGTACAGAGGAATAACACCTGAGCACTCAGGAATGGCAACGCATGGGGGGTATCATGGGCGAAACTATATCTATATATAACTAGTATACTCCGTTATACCTCATACCTTACAGCCTAAATGGTCGCGTACAACGCGGTTTCAGAGATGCTTTCTCCCACGAACACTCAGGTTATGGAACGAGCTCCCTGCCGAGGTTTTCCCGAGAGACTACAGCATGGGGTTCTTCAAAATGGGGGTAAAGAGGTTTCTTCAGGGTCGGCAACGCGCGCGTAATACCTCTGGTATTGCAGGCGTTCATAGGCTACGGTAACCGCTTACCATCAGGTGGGCCGTATGCTTGTTTGCCACCTCAGTGGTATAAAAAAAAAGTTATGTCCATGGTACTGCTCATGTCTATATACAAAAAACATATTACGCTGATCCCAAATAATAATTGGGATAAGGGTAGGAAGATGATGAAAGCGGGGTAAAACTAGTTATCATGTCTACTTGCACAACAATTAGTCCATTACCTAAAAGTTGTCTTGAAAAGATTGCTGTCAGCAATAAGACCGCCTTACTGTACTTATACAATCCTATCGTTACATTTATTAATTAATAAGCTTGGATTGCTTATTATTCCCAATATTGTGTAATGCAAATAAAGTATACTCATTCATTCATTCTATTAGGCGAATGTTGTATTAATTTGGTTTGAAAATGATATCTTATTGCGCCTTACAGGCTTAACCAATCACTTTGGAATTTATTATACATGCACTACTCGTGAATGGGATTGAGAAAAGTATAGGTTACTTTTATCCCGGTCACGTGGACGAAGTCACGGGTAGAAGCTAGTAATCTGTATAGGTTAGTCCTTATTAATTTTGTGACGTCAGTCGTCAGCTGGCCATTTTTCTTTATTCGGTTTTCAAAACTGTTTATTGTGCTATAACATCAACTTGTGACGTTCCACCGTTCTAAATTCAAATATTTTCAATGTGAGTTACCTATGTACCTATAGACAAAACAAAAAAGAGAACTTATTTAAACATATCATGTCGGCGTTTATTGTGTGTTTACGAAGACTGTTTTTTGCAGAACAAAATATAATTATTTATATCGCTTATAGTTTAATTAAAACAATTCTCATTTCATTGGTAGGTATGTATGTGAATTCTCATTAATTATTTATCACATTATATCTTAAAGTATAATGACCAATTGCGATAAAATTATTGCGCGCTCAAATCCGCAATATTATCATTGCGCTATATAATTATAATAAATGTAGATATAAATAGATTAATGTGATCACATTACTGATAAATAAAAAGTGAAACTTAATTAATCAATTCCAATCATGTATTAATAATTAGTATGTGAATAAAAATGAAACCATGTATTATTGTGCCCATTTTGTTTATTTAAATTTGATTGATCAATAAAATGTGGTACAAAAAAAGGACTTAACCCTTCTTTGCATGACTTTTTTTATTGGTGAAATAAATCAAGGTGATATAATTCATGTACTAAATTAAAGGAAAAATGGTTAAAAAAATAAATTTGACAGGTATGTTTTTTTTTCTGCAGTGGACATTAAAAAGGTATCCAGACACGGTCAACTTAAAGTGAAATTGTTCTTTTATATAATTTTTTACACCATTATGCAAAGAAGGGTTAATACTATTGGAATTCTCTACCAGTCAACCTTAAGGATAGGGGGGAAGGGATTGATAGTAATATCTTGGTATGGTCATGGTACAGAAACGAAAGCTATGTTTTAAAAAAGCTTTAAGTATAAAAGTAGTTGTAAAGGAAGGAGACGACCGAAGTAAAGGTGGATAGACTGTGTGAAAGATGATATGCATAAAAGAGAAGTAAGTCAGAAATTATATTTGACAGCAACTTGTGGAAGAAGACATACTGCGCAAACCCTATATAGATGGAAAACTGTAAGGCAATGATGATGATTATTCGGTTATTTTATTTTATATATTTGGCGCATATAACAGAAGTTTACAAATACAAACTTAAACTATAACATGCAAGTACATTAATATATTGATCAGATAAACTAAATTAAATGACACATTAAGTGTATTTAGCATATTTTTTATTTCATTTATCATCGTAGGAATCAATTCTCTACACTTAAGGCCCGAACGGACCCACCGTCTATCCCGGATTGGCAGCGACAGTCCGCGGAGGCGACATCCACAGAGGTCGCTGTCGAGGAGAAGAAGAAACCACACAGGAGTCGAAGCCACCGATCCGAGTCCGGAGGCTCCAACTCCAGTGAGGGGGAGCAAGCCACCAAAAACAGTGACAGCAGTCTGGAGATTATGTAAGTGATATAGTTAAGTATACAAAATTAATTTGACGCGCAAGAAAATAGGGTTGAGCGAGAATTGACCAGGAATTTGTTGAATTGCCAAATTAAAAGTACTGGATATGGACTGGATGGATCTGACTCTCGGATACTGGTTATTTCGACACTGACACTCCCACACTTGGACACTGCACACTACCCCCCACCCTCCTTACCGCGGAATCTTCGTTGAAAGGCCCTACACAACACACCGCACACACCGCCCCCGCCGGCGGGGACGAAGATCCCACGCGACACACGGTCCGCGCGCGATCAGGTTTGCGCCTGATCGCACAACCCGCTCAGACGTACCGACCCTTCGCCGTTCCTCGACGGGGGTCGAAGTGCGGTGGCCTAAGCCGAGGCCGAGCCACTCTGGTGCCCTTAGGCGCACACACCGCAGTCCATAAGAAAGAGTCGACTCCTCTGTCGCTCCCCTCTCGCGGGCTTGGAGTGCCGTCTGCACTCGCCCCTGCATACGCGTCCGGTGAAGCTGTACCAACCTAACCACGGCCAACAGCAAACACATTCAGAGAAAATAATCACACTCCTACATTCGGACATTGGACACTCCGACTCTTGGTCACTGCAGCACACAACGCCATCTAGTCCGAAAAAGCATCTATGAAAATCAATGCTTGCACTATGGTTACTAAATCATAGATAGATCAATACACACAGTCACACGTATGAATACAAATGCTTGTATTGCGATGGAATTGAAACCACAACCATCGGAATTGGGTCTGTGTATTAAACTGCTATACCATTGTGGTGACGGAATGATGTTCCGTTTCATAAATAATATAATAACTATAAATAATTAAAGGTCGTATGTATTATCAAATTACATAGCTCAATAACATAGTGCTTCTGATTTGAGATTTCGACAAATTCTCGCTCAACTGTATTTTTTTGTGGACATTTATTTTCACGAAAATAAAACACTGTTGTGTATTTAAATATTGCTCTCTCTAAAAATTTATCTATTAAATTTCCTTGCTCTGAATTAATGTTTTTTTTTTTTAATTAAACCAATCTCATATATCTATATATTACTAATTTCGAAATAGGGAACTTTCATACTCAGAAATGTCAGTATGTTTCAAAGTATGATGGGACCGATTTTGAAATACTTTTTCTTAGTGATGTTGCTTCTGAGGCCGATGGCATGAATGTTTTTATTTTCAATTCTCTATTTGAAATCGGTCTTACCATACTTGAAAATTTTACTTACATTTGTAATCTTAAAATATATAGATGTGGGATTAGAAACAAGATTAGATTTTTTGCCACTGTAAATTGTTTGCCGTCCTAATTGTAAATTAGCTCTCAAATATTCGTCTCCTACACTACCCGATCACAACCTACCATCACTCTCACACATTCTGATCCTTTCACTCGGATACACGTTGTTGCTTTATATTAATTTCTTCTTCTTTATATACTTTTATCATTTTTATCTCAATTTCAATTAAAATATTACATAGATTTAGTTTAAAAATGATATTAATTCAAAATTGAAAGTACTGTAGATCACACTCTTATTATGACTAGCGTTTACATACAGCTTATGTTCGATCGCCGATCTTCCGACGTACGAATACCCGCCAAAGTGATAGTCAATGCGAATCACCCGCCGGGTTGTCGCATTACGTAATACAACAAGTAATGCGTTGTTGCCGATCTTACATTAAGAATAGTATTTATCGCCGATCTTCCGTTCATGGAAGATCGGCGCGCGTGCGACTGAACAGTCAATTATATGACACATTATTATAATGAGCGATCTTTCGCACAAATTGTATAGAATTTGTTGTAATGGCGATTCGATGCGGATGATCGGCGACCGAAAATCGACCTAATGTGGTGCCAGCATAAAACGCTCTTGGATTGACGAAAATCTCTAGAAATACGCAAATTAAACTGTACCTATTAATTTCCAGTACATGAAGCTCAAGTATCGTGTTAAAGTGCTATAAACCAACACCATGCAATGACGATTACCAACTCAGTACACGCGAGGACACAGTCACATGGTGTGGTGTGACATTTTTAAGTTGTTATGAACATTGTGTATCCAATAGTCTCATTTAGTTGATAATTTTATTGCCAATAGATTGTCGTTGGTTTTCAACTTTTTCGGGACATGACCTGATGCGATTTCAGATAAATATATATCAGATTTTTTTATTTTAAATTTATTAATACACATTATTGTGTTAAGTTGAATTTTAAAATGTTGCAATAAACAAATTATTAAGTAGTTCAAATATATATGGTACAAAGGGCAGAAAGATAAAGAGGTCGAGGACGTAAATTAATGAGGACAGACAGAAAGGACGAATTTCTCAATTATAGTATTTTTTTTTTAATTTACATTCCGCTATGTAAAATTGTATGTAAATTATGTTTAAATAACAGGGTTTACTCTCATGTCGATCCAATATTAATTTAGCCGAGATTAAACTGTTTTGTTTAAAAAATTCTTAATACGGTCAACAATTCTACGTAAAACATGCCTCATTACGTTACGGTAAGACATGATCGGTGACATTTTGTGCCATGAATGTGTATCAATCATAGATATATTTACCCAAAATCGCGTCAAGTTAACTCTCGTAAATTTAATTGTGTAACACCGCGAAAATTTAGTCCACAATCGTTCTCTTGATATGTTCCTTTTGCGTCTCATTTTTTTTTTTTTTTGTAAAATAATTAAGTACTTTAGAAGGGCTAACACAGGGGTGCCATGGGTGGTACATTAATGTTCTGTATGTCTATGGGCTAGCCGCGGTTATCGTATTTAATCATGTGGACTGTCAACTGTTTACCGTTCATAATAATATAAAAAATAAACTCACGTCCTAACCCCTTAGGGAAGGGGAATTGTCCAAATTTATTTAGTGTGAATTTCTTCAAAGTTTTGACTTGAAACTGTAAACAAGTCTATATAAAATATAAGAATGCATTTTTTTTATATATGTTGGCTGCATTTAAACAAGTACATATATTCTTAGCGATGTCCAAATTCGCTTGCTATGTGATTTTGTATGTAAAATCAATATAAAAAAACTCATGTTTAGATTTTTACTAATAAAGGATGATGATTTAATGATAAAACAATGGATTGAAAAACTGTTATAATTCTAGTAGTTATTCGAAATTGACTAAAACAGTATAAAATAAAGGTACGCGTAAGGTGCAGTTGGTGGCGTGACACGAAATGGCGAACAGAGCCGACCTAAACCGAAACCGCCCGACAGCTCTCAATGTTGCCATTCGATGAAGCTCTAATAACTGATATTTGCAATAATTTGTAATTACATGTAAACTTGGCTCTTATTTGGCTAGACAGAAATATTGGAATCACCAAATGCTTAAATACAAACGAACCTCTTTCACCATCGCCTCCTTTACAAGTTCGCTGGTTACAAATTGTTCTGGAAAGAATTATTATTATTATATTATAATTGAGCTGGTTAAAAAAACAATTTAAGGGCATATATGTCCAGCAAATTTTCACTGAAAGCATAGACAAAACAGGCCAGTTTGTAGTCATTAATTAAACTTGTCAAGTTTTTAAAAGTTCGTGAAAAATATCTGTTAAGTCAAGGTGTCTCCGTCTAGTACAGCCCCTAAAGGTATCTTCATTTATTCGCGCTCAAAATTCATATCTTTATATTTGCATAATTACTTTATCTATATTTTAAAGAAATAAATCTTAATTGTGAATATATTACAACCCCGGATTTTGCTTTCTTTAGCGTATTCCCGGTATGTAATTAACATGGATAATGGCTCGTCCTTGACAGGGTTACGACTGACCTCAAAAGTCCCTGACCCGGGCTCTCTGAAATATCCTATGTTTACATTAAATATTTAACTCCTTATCAGCAGTATTGATAACATACTTATGAATGTACACCTTGTGCCCTCTGTTGGCGATAACTTTATATACTAGTCCCTCTTAAAACTTGACCTATTCTTCGTAGACTATGTACCGTAATCTACAACCCTCGTAGACGAATGGTGAACGAGTCTGACGGCAAAGAATAAAACTATCAACGTTACTCGTCTCTTTCTATCTTATAGATGCAGTGACGAAAACGTATCTATCGATTGATATATTTGCTACTTGTATAGCGAGTCTAACCTGACTATTTTTTTTTTACCCTACTGTCCATTTCAACAAGCAGTTTCAGGTGGAAATTAATGGTGTTTCAAAATTAATGGAAATGTTAAGTTGACAGTTCACCGTTGACTAATGAAGTGGTCGCCTATAGACATATTTAGTAGTGTATTATGCATTCTATTAATTAAAAAAATGAAAAATATATTAGAAAAAGAAATTAAAACAATCTAATAAATTTAAAATACCGGGCAATTTGTTTTGGTGTCATTTAGTATATTAGTATTATTACGTGTAATGTTGGGGTAATTATTCCAAAATTTTTAATATGTTATCAAATTATACCAAATATATAAGCGAATTGTAAATGACATAAATATAAATATTTATATATGTATGTATGTGTGTGTGGTAAAATTTCATTTTTGTCATTTTATCCTAACCATATAGATACCTAGTTGTATGGAAACTAGTCAGAAATGAAAGATTTGTTATTTATTTGCCAATTTGGGAAATGCTACTCGGCTTAACAGTGGCATGGCATGCCTACGCCTACCTTTTAATAATGATTCCTATTTTAAATCCATCTGGGTAACGGAAACGTTGGCTGTTTAAAAAAAAAGTAACTACCTGTTTCTCACTAGAATGTTTTATACAAAAAAAAAAAAAACTTTTTTTTATTATTTATGTTATATTTATTGTATATTATTAATGGAATTGTGCAGACGAACGACTTTTCTTGGAAGTCATTGCTGTGAACGTCTCAGGTTTACAATTGGTTTATGCATTTAACTGACGGAAAAGTATACCAAGAATGTTTACTCGTCTGCGCAGACCTGAAATACTTAATGAAATGAAATTAATCAAAAATGGTCTCTGTACATATATGAATATGACATTAAATATGTTATCACAAACATATCTAATTTGAAACTCAATATCTACTCAGATGGTAACGGGAATAATTAAATAGCTTTATATAGTTACGATTTGCATGTTTGCATTCTCTTCTGTAATGTATTATAAGGATCAGCGTAAACAGACGGAGTGACTGAAGAGATTAATTCGTTATTTTTTGAATATTGATTTCAACTATTTTGGTGGCGCTAGAATCGCAGATGTGGCGAAATGTCCGTACATCGCCGATTTTGCTTTGGGATCGATTTACTTGCCTTCTTCCTTATCCCCCAGTTTGTGCTGATCCTTGTACAATGTATTAAAAGACATTTAACAAAACAAACTTAATTGAATACAAAATAACCTATTTTTATGTTACAGTCAGATATATTCTTATATGTATTATATAATTCAATAAAAAATTGTAATTGTAATTTATTAGATGTAAAATAAAATAAAAATAAATAAATTTATCTATTACGCATGTATTATTTATTATATTAAGCCTAATTTTGCTTAATTAAGCCACTCTAATCAGGTGAGGTATGGGAAGGGTGCTTTCAGCTATATGCTTCGGCATTATATATGCTCCTTTTTTAAGACGCCCCATAGAAAATAAATACGCCAATGAGTATATGGCTAGTAAGAAATCTCTGTTACTAATAATCGTCTACCCCTCAGCATTCCCAAATGGTCTGTTATTAGGTACAGAATGTAGTGAGAATAGAACGGTGTTAGTTTTCTTTTTATTTTGTTAGGGTTTTTTGGTTGAATCTCGTATTTCTAAGGGACCACACCTCTAGATTATATAGGACATTATGTGTCAGATCAGATCAACATTTAGTCTATTTTTACTGCTATAGACTTTTTTTTAATCAAAACAATACACGTAATTTTTTAGATGTTGGGAGTAATTGGATTAAGAACTTCCCAGTGAGGTATATTTTTTTAAATTTGATTTTAGAACTATTTTTCTAAAATAATATACACATATGCACACGTACGTATTAGTTACAAATTAATGTACAAATATTGATTAAATTGGCGGCCTTTTTCAATTATTTAAAATCAAAAACATATGTCTATACTTAAATATAAATGGTAAACATTGAAAATCACCATTGAGTATGTCTACACATTGCTAGTATAGATTATATAGATAGAGTGTTGCCATATAAATGCTTCGAGAAAGTGAGTCAATTTTTTCATACAATTTTGCATGATAAATAGTTAGGAGTGATTTCTTTATAACTACTATAATTTATTTTGTCCTATAAATTCTGCACCTTTTTAATGCGCGAAAATTCATTTTATTTAGTAAATAATCAAATATAGATAAAATATTGTGTACAAAAATATATAGAACATTAATAAAAAACGCAGATAAAAAGTTAACCCGTTTTTGAGGCTTGATGCTCTATCTATGTAATCTAAGATTGCTAGTAGTGGTGCTGTTATATTCTATTTTTAACAATCCTTTTTCACCCTCTGCGCAGAGGTGGAGTTACCATTCGATTATTCACCCATAAAAAAATCTGGACTTAAAAATAGTTACCATACTGTAAAATCATAAGTTTATACTCGGCGCAACGCCAATCAAGCAGTCTGTTAATTAAACAATTTGGAATATAAACTTGTACTTGTAATTTTTTTTTTTTATTTTAATATTTGTGATATATATTATCGAGTATTGTTTTTTTTTTTCAATAGACACCACAAAGAGCCAACATCGCCACACATGCTCTTCATACGCAGTACACAGAAACAAGTTAAGAAAGATAATCCTGAATTAAAAATCATCGAAATTATTAAGAAACAAGATGAAATGTGGAAATTCATGACGGCCAACGAGAAGAGGGTTTGGGAGGAAAAATTTGCAAAACTGAAACGCTATTAGGAAAAATAATGTAGTGGTGAAGCAAGAACGAAGTCAAAGTGCACGGAGTTAACGACCCCAATCGTCGTTTCTGAAGCGTCAATTCTCTAAATCAATCTCTAAAATTAAAATTTTAATTTGATATCACAGTTAAATCTTTAATTGTAAGGATCAATATAAATTATTTTTTTAATAGATTTAAGTCAAAATTACTCGTATTTATATCAAATTAAAATATTGGCCAGAAAGGTTTAAAAAAATGGCGCTTCAAAATTGGGCCCATTGGAATTAGTAAAATAAAATTATTAAATTTATGATTTATGTATAACAGGGGTCGGCAATCTTTAAGCAGGTAAGGCCCACTTAGTGGCAAAGTAATGGCATGGTGAGGAATGACATACCCAATATACTTATTTAACTCATTCCATTTTAGACTTTAATAATAAATATAAATAACACAATTTCTAAGTTTTTTTTTATACAACTTAGAATGGCAAACAAGCTGACGGTCCACCTGATGGAAAGTGGTAACCGTCGCCTAAAGACATGAACAGTACCATGGACAAAACAGAATATACTGTTTCGCCTATGATATCCCCCATGCATTGCCATTTCTGAGGACTCAGGTGTTATTCCTCTGTATCCAGTAAATTCACGCCCTATCCCACCCATCAAACCAAAACACAGCCATGCAAACAACTGCTTCACGGTTGAAATACAAATGGGACAGAGGTACCCAAGCAACCGACTTTTGTACAAATGTATTCCTTAATGACGTCATCATATGCCTTTCGGTATGATGGCGTAGCTTTCAATTTACATTCCAAAGCAATATAATTTTGATGATCGATTCCTATATTGGTGGTAATAAAATGCGACAACATTTTGTTTGAAATATGAGAAAAAATAATTAGAAACTTACACGAAAATTTCAAGTAAATAACTATACTTATAAAAAAATATATTCATTGTTTAAGAAATTATAATCCATAAAATAAAAGTTTACAAAACGGGTCTCGAGCCGCTGAGGCCCTAAGACCGCTGTTTGCTGACCCCTATACACCAGGGGTCTTTGGAATTTAATCACAAGTAGATTTTGTACCATAGAAAAAAAAAACACCGACTTCAATCATGAAAAAACTAGTTGTTTTGATTTAAAAATCATAGTTCACTAATTTTTAAATGAAATTTCTATAGAACCAAACTCAATGTGGGTATATCCTTTCAAATAAAAAAGGAAATTTTTCACATTGGTTAATAAATTACATAGTTCAAACAAAAAAATAGAACCTAATTGAGAATCTTCTTTTTTTGAAGTCGGTTAAAAAGACAACTAAATTTTGTTATACAGACTGCATTGCAGTGAGGATAATATTTTGATAACTGTTATGTCCATGGCGGACTAACAGAGCAGGAGAGGCTCGGCCCGGGCCTCTGATCCTGGCGGCCTCAAACATCTCCATTTTCCTCATTCATATCCATATTCTATGAATCAGCTGGGGTTTAAAAGTAGTCGCCACGTTTGGCAGGCGAATTGTCAACCGTAGTTAGGTTTTGGAATTTTTCTAAGAGAGTCTTTCCCGCCCCTTTCCTTTCCATGAAAGGAAAGGGGCGGGCCCTCTTAAAGTTTCCTCATTGAGCTTTGTCGTCACGGGTATCCTATTGCTTTAGCTGCCACTGATAGACAATTTTGGAGCATATTTTTAGTCTTAATTAACATAGTTTTAAGTTAAATGCTGCTAACCGACAACTATAGTTGTTCGAAGTAAAATTTTATTGTACAATAAAGTGTTACAATCAAACAAAATTATTATTATTGATATCACAAATTTTTTTTTTTTATAATTATTTCAGCCGTTAATTCTCCACTGCTGGACATAAACCTTTCCCATAAGGAGTTATGCCAGTATGCCATGCTTGACAGGCGGGCTGATAACCGCAGTTAGGCTTTTAGAGATGTTTTAAGAGGGACGCTGCTGCCCATCCCTCGCCCTCCCTTAGTTGCCTTTTACGACCACCCACGGGAAAGGTAGGGGCGGCCTATTCTATGCCGGGACACAAACGACGATATTTATTTATTTTATTTATTTATTTACTTTATTTATTTATTTAACACTATTGCACCAACATAACGGGATTTGTTGAACAATTTTCAATAAGTATAGTGTATCACCAAAATAACGAGGTTTATTTTCCCGAATGTTTAAATAAAACTTTAATTACTTATATTTATGAGTTTATTACAAAAATACATTATAATAGGGTATACAGTTTATTAATTGAAAGTCCTGTATTATGATAGAACACATTTCAACATTATTTTCAAATTGAGATCAGTTTATAAACATGTAATAGTTTTGTAAAGGTAGGTACACATTGATGTGTGACTGAAACAATATTCTAGATCCGATACCTCGTATCGATGCCTTTAATTAATATCAAAACCTAAATATAATGGACCAGTACCTGATCCCCTACCCTTGGGAACCGTCTTGGTGAATTCGTCACGATGGATCAGCTATCTTTACTTCACCCTCGCTTTAATTACCTATATTAACGTGCCTACCTTATTTCTATATATCCTATTCCTTTTTATTTCGACTCCAATGTTTAAATACTACATTCCTTTCTCAGCTTACAATTTTTAGACTTTTCCATCGCTCATCAATTTATAGAATTATAGATGTTAAATGCAACCATACGAGCATCGGATAATGTTACTAATTAATTGAAGAACAAGAAATTTATATTAGTACTTAAAAAAAAAACTTATACATAATACAATCTCATAAGAAAATGTACATGGCACATCCATTTATAAATACGGTTAGGGAATGTCGAAGGCCAAAATAGAAATGTTCCAAAGTGCAACAAAGTTAGGAATGTGCTCATAAAAATAGTGATCAACAATAATAATTCTACCAACTTCAATACACAAGACAATATTAGCAAAGTATTAAAAATTAATATAACATTTTTTTTGAAAAACTTACAAGACATATCTAAGATTTTAAGCACATACTGGGTTTTAAATGACACCAACAACAATTATAACTAAATATATTGTTCACAATAATAATATTAACATTTAATTTTGATCTTTATTTCATATTTACCCTAAGGTACAAAATACTGAAACTTAACTGTTATCGAGTAAGTATATAATGTACGACTATTGCATAGATTGGCTTCTACCTCTGACACTATACAAGAGATGTGATTGAGCAAAATCAGTACACACTTTAGTCAAGACACAACAACTAACAAGGATCGGATACCTCAAACAACTGTACATAACGTGTATACAATGGTCCATAACGCAGTCTTTACTAAAGTGCGCAGAATGGAAAGAGGGAGATATTATCATGCCATATAATGTCCGGTCGCTTTAATTTAAATAACATAACTATATAGTTACAATATCTATGTATCGTTTGAAACCGATACGATGCGTATTTGTATGATACTGAGAAACCACAGTGTATTTATTAATATTTCAATATTTGAGTGTTCATTTCAATACCATAACAAAGGTGCTGTCTTCGTCTGTCTATTTCTACCAGTATTATTGTCAATTAAATTTTTTTACAAGTTTGTGGGTGCAATTTGAATCAGTGCAAAGTCAGGACGGGTCGCTAGCAATTTATAATTACTTTTTAGTGAAGCCTTAAAATTCAGTATATCTCACGATAGCAAACCATTGATATCCAACACATAGTTCGGTATATATATATATATATATTTGTATGGATATTGGACCGATACATAGATATTGTATCACTCAAATCTGCTATTTGCAAATCATAAAGAATTTCGTCAATAATTATTTGTCTCAGTCACTCTCGTATAAATTAATTACCGCTCTTCTTGCTCAACTGCAGTAACCATCATCACTGGAGTTTGTTAACCTTTTAGCCATTACAACAAGATCCTTACTGTGCACCCGTTATTTTGGACTTGACATTTTAAACAATTTAAATACACTTGCAGAAATAATTCTGTAATTTAAGCCCATTCATTACTCAATATTATGCAAAATATTTTTTTTTTTACTTTGCAATATGTTATATCTGTTACATATTTTATCCAAAATTGTTTTTGAAGACTGAAATAAAAAAAGACAATCTTAACAAAGTATTTTATATTCAGCGACCGGACTATCAAATATTCAAAATGTAAACGTAAGATTTGAGGCGATATTACCTCTGCTTAATCAATAATATAATACAAAGTGAACTGATATCCAATTGTCCGATGACATACAGCGCTACATGCCGATTCATCATTGCCATCACAGCTTAATTTATTACCTTTCTATACATATGTTATCAACACTCACGTAACATTCTGTGAGTTCGTGTCAAATAAAATATATAATTATAAAATCTAACAGGTAAATTTCTAAGATCATCATCAAACACAATGACTGTGTAAATTATTTGATGTAATCACTTAATAAATTGTTTATTGAAAAAATGTAGTATCAGGCCCACACCAGAGTAAACCTTATTGATAAAAAAACAAGATCTAAAATCACAACAGGCATTTTGTGTAATAGACACAAAAAAAAAAGGAATTCGAAAGAACCTCCTCTTATTTGAAACAGCGGGTCTACTATGAAATGAAATTCCGAAATTTCGGACTCAATTTCGTGCTTTTGTTTATAGCAAAATCGGACCAATAAATGGAGTTTAACATTTCGTTCTTCTTACATCCTATCATAAAAGTCCAAAGGAACAATATTTTAACATTTTTAATATTTCCAAACGGCATGTATTATGTAATTTTAACAACAAATTTCTGTTCCGTTCGGCTCCGAAATTTCGAAAAACATTTCATGGTAGGTCGTCAGGTTTAACACGAAATAGTACAGATATTACACGGCGTAACGTTACATGATTTGAAGTAACAACCCCAAAACTGATGCGATATTTTCGACAATTTCGACAACAGCATCGTCAGTTACGCTGTTTAGTAAATATTTAATATCCAAAATCATATACCGTTTGTGTGTTTACACGAGAATTTTCTTTTCGAACGAATTCATCTTTTCGCATCTAACTATAACGTCCTCTCGGTTGCCGCTCAACAGTTTCTTGGCCCTGGACAGGTCTTCCAAGAAGTACCTACCCTTCTCCGTACGCGATATTTGCTTCTCCGGTATCAAATTCTTAGACAGATACGATATCAGTTTCTTCCAATCTCTGAGTAGGAAGAAAGACTTGCAATGCTTCATCTCTATAGGTACCTGGCCGTTTGAGTGTTCGAAGTATATGTTTGAGAGACTCTTGTGATTCCTCGTTCCTCGGTTGGTTTTCACCATATTTAATAGGAGGATATCAACGTTCTTGTGGGCTGGTATTATCTGTTTCTCATAGATGTTGTTGTAAAAATTTGATTCATCTGCTGGGCCCACTACGTATACAATATGGGAGGCTAGATCGAAGGCTTCTTTAGCCCAAAGGAATGGATCTCTATGGGAGATGTTTATTATATCACCGTCGTACATAATATCGAAGCCAAGTTCCGAACGCAAGTACGAAACGAAGGAGACGACGCACTCGGCGTGAAGACGGTTGCCTGGTGGATAGATGACGAGCACTTTCGTAGGTGGTGGGATTTCGTTTGCTGTAAGGAAAAAAATAATTATTGTTTTTTATATTGTTTAGCTCGTCTGATGGCAAACGGCCACCGTAGACTATGGACGCCTGCAACATTAAGGGTGTCAACTGTGCGTTGAAACTTTAACACGTTGCTGACCGGGAATTCCGTCATTTAATAATAACTTTAATAATAATAACCTTATTTCCTTAAACAAAATTAGCCTCTAGTACAATATAACTATGACCCCACACTAGGCAAAGCCTGTCTCGTGGAAGTCAACGCTAGAAATTTGTGGTCATGGTTGAAATTTTTGAAATTAAACTAAAATTGTGATAAAAAACCTAAATACAAAGAAAATTAATTTTCTGGTCATGAACGCTTTGTAATCAAAACGGTGTTGCCCGTTGTGGTAGGAGAATGCGTACTAGTGCAATGACGAATTTACTCGAAACCGGTCAAAAACATTTGGATATGAAAAGATGAGGTAACTCGTCACCGGCCAGCAAAATGTTAATACAGCCTTTTTGGTTTATGAAAAACCCCATACTGGAGTTACTAGAGAAAGCATTTCTGTTTCTTAAAAATAAGAAAGAAATAAAAAATAGTTATTAAATATTATCTATATATTAATAACACACAATTAGTACTTTACGATGAAGGCAGAGAGAACAGAGTGCCAAGGCCTTTACCGCTTTATCGCGTTGGACAGTACATAATATATTAAATTACAAAACATTTAATAGGTTTATTTATTTATAATGTTTTTCACTCTTAATTGGCAGTGAAATTACAAGGCTCAGAAGCATAACACTATAGTCCTCGAGTATGGCAACTCACGTCAGGTACATTAATGGACATCAGTGTATTCTGACATTCATGGTGCTTGCTCATGTTTACAACTTTTACATTACAACTTTTTGTCAAGTGAACCATCAACTTGGGGGGTGGGGAAGGGATTGTTAATAATGGAGACTGAGAATCCCATTGCTAGTAATATACCCAAACAGGTCGACCTCCTCGCGGTTCCCCCTGGAAACTATCATGGTTAATTCCTGATGAATTCATCATGATGGGTTAACTGGTCTATTTTCATTCTCATCTATCACCCTTCACTTGTGCTCCGCCAGCGTATCCCGTTAGCGCAGGCGGGGTTACCATACAATTTTCACACATAAAAAAAAATCATCAGCTTGGTATCATCATAAAAAAAATATTTGACAACCATAACCCACTACTACTATAAATGGGAAAGTTTGTGCAGATAGATGGATCATTTTCATGCATAAATTATAAACCAGATTTGAATAAAATTTGGTACATAGATACATTTTATACTAACTTAGAACATTTTTTTATGCAACTTAGCATGACAAACAAGCTGACGGCCCACCTGATAGAAAGTGGTAACCGTCAACTATAGACACGAGCAGTACCATAGACATAACAGAGTATACTGTTTCGCCATTTGTGTGTTGCCATCCCTGAGGTGAGAGGTGTTATTCCTCTGTACCCTGTAAATTCACTGCCATATACCACCCTTCAAACTGAAACACAACCATGCAAACACAACTGCTTTATATACTAATTTTTGCGTGTGAAGCCGTGGGGTCCATCTAGTATTATAAAGTGACATAACAGTATATGTACCTTTATACATTCCCGTGTAATCTTTGCACCAGTATCTCCTTATGAAGCGCAGCACTATATAGTACGCGAACAGCGACGCTACTACCAGGGCCGTCACGCTGGCTATGCAAATGTTGAACGTTTTCTGTTCGTCCGTGGCTGAAATTTGAAATTACATAAATTATTATATTTCTGGTATCATCATATCAGCCTTTTAACTGTCCACTGCTGAACATAAACCTCCCCCTTGAGGGGGTTTTGCCAGTAGTTGCCACTCATGGCAGGCGGATTGGCAACCGCAATTCGTCATAGTCGTAGAATACCGACCGATCTTTATATGTAATCTTTGTCAGATCCGTCAGTATTCTACGACTGTGACGAATAAGGCTTTAGAGATGTTTTAAGAGGCACCTTGCTATCCATCTCTCGCCGTATTATAATATTTTCTGATATACTTGGATAAAATGGGCCACCCCTTCCTTAGGGAGTTACCTATTGACTATTGTAAGGTGTTACTAAGGGAGCTTCATGGTCTAGGGATGGGCAGTAGCGTCCTTATTAAAACATTACCAAAGTCAAACTGCGGTTGCCAACTCATCTGCCAAGCGCGGTTACTAATTGCAGTTTTTCTATTTAAATAATTTATGGGACAGGTCTATGTCCAGCAGTGGACAGTTTACGGCTGATATTATGATGATACTTGTACATCTATAACTTACATTTTATTAATATAATTAACAAATATTAATTTTCATCTAATGCATCAATTTCACAAAATCCATTTATTCTACCAATAATACTAAATATTTCCCCAAAGGAATAATAAATCATAATAAATGATAAAAATATTAAGTCTTGGATTCGATTCATGCGTGATATAATTAAGGGAAGTTTTCCAACATTAACTTCCGCTTCCGCCACTACAGATTAACAATATTAGATGTTGAAGTTTTAATACTGGCCGTTGACGTTGAGGTTTTTAGAACAATGTATTATTTTTATGTTTGTTCTATGTCAGATTTTTATAAGACATGTCTCGTATCTTTTCACTAAACTTTTTATTTTATATCACAAATACATATATGTTTTATTACTGCATCCTGCTATTTACAACATAAGAACAGAAAAATGCATATTTATATTGGGTACAACATATGCAATGTCTATAAAAAGTGACTGCTCTATATGGAATTAATAAAATATAAAGAGGAAAGAATTGATTTTTTGTATATTTCTTTGTGTGTAATAGACAAACTCGATACGATAATGTAACTCAAAGTATTAAAAATATTGAAAACATAAAGCTGTAAATTATTCTTAGCAACTACTTATTTATATTAGTGTGAGCATTGTGTCTGAGCATCTTGTGCTAGATTTGCAAAATGTTTGCTTTAACCACGATACAGTGGACTAATTGTCGACCGGTTGGCCACCCTTGCTATATATTTTTTTATGCAACTTAAAAGGACAGATAAGAATAATATGAATATTAAATAAATATATACATATATGTTAATAGAGATTTCAAAGAGTAACCATTGAAATTCTCTTCTAAACAGATAACAACATTTCGAAGCCTGCAGCAGATTTAAAAAAAAAAATAACGATTTAAAAGTCTAATTGAATGAAGATAATTTAAATTTGAATTAATTTCATATGATTGTAAACTTCGAAATTTAATTGTAGTATGTTATATTTAAATAATATGTAATACCTAATTGAAATATTTATAAATGTATAAATGTTATATACCTACCCTCAATTGCAACACCTAAATTGGGTTTATATTATCTATGTGACACAAAAAATGTCAAATTACATGACGAATACTTGACCAGCTACGACCGCTTGAATTTAGAATATTCGTAAAGTAAGCGGTGAATAAACATGTAGTAAAATATCAATACTTACTAATACTAATCCTAGGGCTTGTAATAGCTTGACATCTGCTCTCAAAACCGCTGCACCCATCATGCAGTGGGGTGACAACAAAATAATGGGATCCTGGACTCCTTAAGAAGTAATAATCATATGTCATCTCCTCATCTTTGTCCTTCAATGTAAAATTTACTGTTTTGATGACTTGCTCGTTGCATGTATCTAGGCTTCCTTTATTGCAGCCCCTTCTAACTTCTATTTTGTAACCGGTGATGTTGACTTGCGGCGGCGGTGGCATAATATGGAGTCGTAAGACGCTCGACAATATTTCTATGTAGAGAAACGGTTTCCATTCGTTCTCTGTTACTGTTGTGCCTGATAAAATTCAAATTTATTAATTTCTTATTATAAAATTAAAACACACACACGCATGCACACACGTATACGCACGCACGCGCATTCGATCGCATGCACGCGCATTCGATCGCATGCACACGCACACGAACGCATATACGCGAATGGCAGTGAATTTACAGGGTACAAAGGAATAACACCGGAGTCCTCAGGAATGGCAACACATGGGAGTTATTATGGCCGAAACAGTATACTCTGTTATGTCTATGGTACTGCTCATGTCTATAGGCGACGGTTACCGCTTTCTCTCAGGTGAGCCGTCAGCTTGTTTGCCATTTTAAGTTGTATAAAAAAAAGAACGCACACAAAACACACTAATAAACCGCGTACCAAATACCGAGCTTTGCCATGGAACTTTTCAATGAGATTTTAATTGTAACTCCACCTAAGTTGTTGGTGACATATGACGATGAAATGAGATAAGTTGGCCCATTGTGACATTTTCACCAGGTTATTAACGATAGTTTTTAAAGGGTACTGCAAGATAGTCCAACTAAACCTTGCTAGTATTTTTTTTATCCAACTTAGAATGGCAAACATACTGACGGCCCACCTGATGGAAAGTGGTAACCGTCGACTACAGGCATGAGCAGTATCATGGACATAACAGAGTATACTGTTTCGCACATGATATCCCCCATGCGTTGCCATTCCTGAGGCTCTCAGGTATTATTCCTCTGCACGCAGTAAATTCACGCCATATCCCACCCTTCAAACTGAAACACAGCCATGCAAACACAACTGGTTTACGGTTGAAACACGGATGGGACAGAGGTACTCAAGCAATCGACTTTTGTACAAAGTCTCCCTCTGGTGATTACAGTATCCTATTTATACTAATACTATAAAAAGGAAACATTTTATTTTTTGTTTCCTGGTTTGAATTGTCAAAAATTACTCTAGCGATTTTAAAAATTCTATTACCATTAGAAAGAGCTATACGCCCCCTGGGGAAGACTACCGGATGAAGTCGAATAAGTAAACAAAATATATAAACAATATTCGTTTTAATTAAAAAAGAAATGAGAACTTACTAAGCGTCTGCATGTTAGGTATGTTGAAGATATACTGCCCCCTATTGGTGCTTGTGTCGTCTGAGGCTTCAAAGTCGAGGAAGTGACTGCTTCCATTGTAGCTCCCATCAGTGTACGACCAGTAGCAGTCGTAATAGAGCACTGAACGGTCGTCGATGGTCACGTCGTTCGATATCACGATGTTCCGGCAGTGGTAGCTGTTCGAACGGTTCGGATCGTGGAAGCGAAACTTCATGGCTGGAAGTTATTAATTTATATTGTGTCAGCATTTCACAATGTAAGAAATAAACATAGGTAATATTGGTACCGCTTTAATATCTATATATTGGGATCTTTTGGGCATTTATGGCGGGAAAAAGGTCATTATTCATTCCGATATAGCACGTACCGGTCAGATATCTATAATTTCAACAGGGTTCTTCACTTCGACATTAAAGACTTCTTTCCCTTGAGTAATATTTTTTTTTTTTGTATTTTTCTAATTGAACTGTCAAATCTTAAAATCATTAAACGAAATTTCTAATGTAAGTAGTATATTAATTTATTTTAACATATATAAGTAGGTAGGTATTTTTTTTTTTTAATGGGTGATAATGAAATGGTAACCCCACCCGCGCTATCGGTATACACCGGCGGGGCACCAGTGAAGGATGATAGGTGAGGATGAAACAGGTCAGTTAGCCCATCGTGACGAATTCAATAACAATTGTTCACGATGGTTTCCAGGGGGAACCACGTGGAGGTCGACCTAATAGGGCATATTGCTAACAATGGGGCTGTCAAACTCCATTGCTAACAATCCGTTTCCCCCTAGTAGGTAGGTATTGTATGTATTTATGTAATATTTTATTATATATTTTAATATTTAATTTAACTGTATATTTGTTTCTGTATTAATAGTTGTAGCACTTCAGCTGCCCGCTAACGAAATGCTTTCTTACTGTACTGGGTTGACTGGAAGAGATCTCTGTCAGAGATAAGTCCACCCTTGCTCACAACATTTATAAATACATTATTTTATATGTAACTTGCAAGTGCAATAAAGAATATATAACAAATATAGGATAACAGACACTTAACTATTTGTTGTTATATTTTAGTTACAATATTTATACACTGATATTGCATCTAAAATATATAGATATTGTTTTATATTAGCCACCCCTAGTAAGAAATGTCGTGTGACAATATAAATAATGAATGATAAGTCTTTGTTGCCATCTTACTAAGATAATCAATAAATTCAAATAATTTTTAATAAAAAAGACTTGTTTACAACCACTTTTAAATAGTCATTTTTTTATGATCCTACTGCAGGGTTCAGAATGTTATTATTTGCTGAAAACAAGCCGTAAGAAACTCAACAGTTATTCTAATCCACATAATATCTTCCTAAATAAGAATTACTGATATGTAACATAAATATTCAAATAAAGTTTAACGCAGCGAATGAATCTCTGCTCTATATGCAGCTATGACCTTAACTTTAAACATACTGCCATTTACATTTAAACATTTCTTGCAGAATTTAAGGACATTAATGGGGGAAGCCATATATTAATACAATAAATTGCGAAAGTTAATAACGATAGATGGACAGATGAATGTTTATTACTCTTTCAAGCAAAAACTACTATAGGTATTTCAATGAAATTTGGCATGTGGGTAGGTTTTATACTAATTTAGCACTTAAAATACTTTATATACTTATTCACGCGGGCAGATCCGCGGTATACAGATAGTGATGTATATATAAACTTACTTTTCCACTTAATATTGGTAAAGGTAATATTAAGCACAGTATAATTGAAGTTCTTCTGTCCGTGGGCATCCACAACGTAAGGTCTGAGGCTCACACCGCCAATGTCTGCGTTAAAAGGTTTGTCCGATTTGAACGGTCCAAAATTCATGGTTCTGCATTCCGCACTGTCAGACGCATAATATTCCACTTTGCACTTGTCAGAGTCTGCCATTTCTCCATCTGGTCCGGTTAGCTGAATGTAAAATCAATATTTTCATATATTTCATACATAACTATCGCCCATGGTTCTGGCATAGAATTTAAACATCTTCAAATTATAAATAAATAATAAAATTCACACACACAACAGCCCAAATGAGAAGCTAAGCGCGGAAAACAGAGTCTTTCTCAGATTCACATTATAAATAAATGTACAGGCATAGTACCATAGACCTCTAGAATAGCCATGAATGGAGAGTACCATGGGAGTCATTTTATAGTACATTTTGTGAAGTTCATGGTGCTCTTCATGTCTATAGGCGACAAATAATCATTTTCCATCAGCTTTTCTGGCATTGCATATAAAAATATAATCTATTATTCATAATATCAGTCTTTCACTATCACTGCTGACATAAGTCTCCTCCAGGGGGACTTTTGCCAATAGTTGCAACCTTTGGAAGGCAAACTGGCAACCACAGTTAGACTTTGGAGACACTATAAGAGGGGCATTGCTGTCCATCCCTTGGCCTTCCTTAGTCGCCTCTTACGACACCCACAGGGAGGGAAGGCTTATTCTTTACCTGAACCACAGGTAATTTATTATTATACAAAATTAATTAATTAAATGTAAATACAGGAATATTTTTATTATTTATGTATGTAGTCATTAAACATTGAGACATTGTTTTCAAAGGAGTTGATTTTCCTGTTAGTATATAAAATTAACAATATGTAAACATGTTTAGTAAAATAAATTCTTATCAACGTTCATTATTTTTATTTAATTAACAAGACACAAACACACATAGCATAAATAACTCTTGTTAGACTTATAGCATTTATAGTTGTAATTATAAAGCTATATAAGCTTGTTGTCTGTATACAATACCATCTGAAACTATTTTTTTTATGAGTGAAAATGGAATGGTAACCCGCCTGTGCTAACAGGATGCGTAACTGGGTGCGGAGCACTGGTGAAGGGTGATTGATGAGAATGAAAACAGGCCAGTGAGCCTATCATGATGAATTCATTAGGAATTAACCATGATAGTTTCCAGGGGGAACTGCGATGAGGTCGACCTGGTTTGGTAATATTGCTAGCAATGCAATTCTTAGTCTCCATTACTAACAATCCCTTTCTCTCCCATCTAAAACTATTGAATGATTTTTAAAATTCCTCCATTCTTATTTTTGTGACAATTAAAATTAAAATGCAAATAATATAATTATTATATCTCTATTAAGAATTACAATAAAGCTCAATCGTTTACATTAGACAAAAATTTTGGATTTTTAAAATATGTTCTGCTTCCTTTTTTTTACACCATTTTTAATTGAAATATCTACAATTCATCAAAATGTAAGAATATATACAGGAGTGTACTTAATAAATAAACAATATTAACTGGTTATTAATACCTTACTACTTAGCCCTTCATCATCAGCATCATATCAGTCATTATATATCCACCGAGAATAGGAGGATTATATAACCACTGAACATAGGAGGCCTATATTCAGTAATAGACAAATAGTAAATTTGTTACATCTATATGTAATTTGATACACTAACTATATGGAATGGAGAAGGTCATATGCTACTTCTTTGTCTAGGGAAAAGGGATTTTAGTAACTGAGTCTAACAGCCCTATTGATGAAATTAATATTTTTTTTTTTTAATAAAATCCATAGTAAATTTAATTTTTATCACTATTGTGTGGTATGTAGAGTACCTATACTCTACTATCGACTACCTACAAAAAAGTTTTTGTTTATTCATTAAAAATAATTACAACATTATGATAGCAAAAGCCAAATCAATGTTATAAATCTCAAACTGACAATTCAATTATCTACAATATTCACCATATTGCCAATCCATCATGTGTTAGACAAAATTTAATGTCTAATATATACTTGTAATTTTAGCTAGAATCATCTATCATATTTTTTTAACAATCTACACAATGTTTTTAATCTTAAAACTGTTAACATTTTTTATCTCAAATTTCAGATTAAAAGTAGAGTTTAAATAGCATTGTAAGTTTTGCAACGTGACAAAAATTATTAATATAAATTATTATTTTACATTTTATAAGGAGAGTAATTTATACCAATTACAAATTTACGCCTTTTGTATCAACATCTAAATCTGCAATTCTTCAAATGTATTTCTTGCTACATAATCTGGTTGATTACATGTTAAGAAATATATCTAGGTAGATATAGAAAAATCAATAAACGTGTGACGCACTTACCAGTCTGTCTATAAATAAAAATAAATTACCCATTTCTACAGATATTAAGAAATTACTATACCTGGGTACTGCATCTAAGAGTTCTCTGTATATTTTCTTGGCATAATTGTGAGAAGTCTTGCTTGTTTCCAGCGACAAAATGCAAACAACTGTATAGAAAAAGGGCAAAATATAAACTTGACCCCCACATGATTTTAAGCTCTAAACTTATAATAAGTAATTCTAAACAGAAATAATATCATGTCGGTGATAAATACTAGGAAAACATTTCTTGCCATATGTTTTCCATTGAATAAAACGGAAAAGCAAACACAAAATACAATAAAATTATCTCGTAGAGTGAATAAAACGTATAAAAAAATATGGCTGACCACAGATTATCCACTTTTTGCTTTTCTAATTTTCAAGATTTTTTTTATATATTGAACGGCCCTAGAAACTAAGACTTAGAGCATTTGTGGTGACCATAGAGTACAGTTATCTATACTACGCGCGGCATTTATGACACTATTATTATTATATATAGGCATTATTTAGAATGTGTAATAATTTATATGAGATACTATTTTAAATCTTATAATAGTAAGCAAGAGACATCAAATAAAATATATACTTGCAATTTTTTTATTTTTCCATTAAGATAATTTAGTCCACGTTATGTGTGATTTCAATGACATCAAAGTATTAAAACTTACAATCTTATTGACATTTTTGACATTACTTCCCTTCTACCCCTTCGTCCCTCTCTTAAGCCGTCATTCTTCGTATTTTTGATGGTTCTTAATTTGTTGTTATCGTTTTTTGGCGTAATTTTTAAGAAACAATGTACCACATTTTTATTTGTATTGCTAATTTATTGAGTTAAGGTTGATATCTCTTAAACCCATAATGTTTTTTTGTCTGTTTAATAGGAAGATCTAATAAAGTAGCAGAGATGACGGTAAGTTCAATTCAAATCGCTACAAATATAGCAGTTTTATCTCAAATATTTATTACAGTTTGTGCTCTTGTTATCTATTATTGACATCCTGTACTGAATCGAATCCGATCCATTTTACAAAAATAGTTTTTGTCGTTCGGATAGTTTTGTGATTAGAATTTGTAAGTTAATATCGAAATTATATTCTGTGTATATAGTAAATAATTATTTATTTACTAAACATTAACACATGTATACATGATTGCAGGTTTGAATAGTAATGTTTTATTTTATTTATTTATTTACATTACATATTTGAACATATTCTTTTAATTTTAGATTTCAGAATTCTGTTTTATCAATTTAATACATCTGATATAGTCCCATTAGAATTTCTTTACTTGTCTCATTATTTGAACATGATTAATTAAAGGTGATTTATTTATTTTCTTCTACAGTTTGAAATATATGTACAAAGTACAGTTTACAATTCTTGTATATTCATAGGTATTTAAGTATTTACAATTTTACAGTTAATATAAAAATAATTAAAATTATAAATATTTGCAATATTTCAGTAGTCTAGATTTTTATTATTGTTTTATAAAAAAATAAAGTAATTTTGAAATGTTAGAGATATTAATTATAATACATAATGTTTTCCTTATAAATTTGTAGAATGGTAAAACCACTTGTGCTATAAGTGTGGTGGATAGTTCTGTATTAACTTTCAGGTTCTTATATTCTAGATACTTTATAGATTAATTGAAATAAACTAAAAGTATAAAAATCAATACAACATACTATTACATAGTAGACAGAAACAATTGTATGACAATGGGATAAAAAATAAAAAATAATACATATACATATGAGTGGACAGTGCCAAGTATACTAAGGGCTCTGTAGCAATCAGTACATGCTGGTAGGCTATACCACAAGCTAAAGGGCCAGGGGAAAGGGATTGTTAGTAATGTAGTCTAAGTCCTATTGCTAGTCCTACTCTAACAGGTCTACCACCTTGCGGTTCCCTTTGGAAACCATCTTGATTAATTTTTCATGTTGGAGTAATGGACCTGTTTCATCTTCATCTATCATCCCTTAGTGGTGCCCCACCAGTACATACCAATAGTGCAAATGGGGTTACCATTCCATAATCACACATAAAAAAAATTAATAGCCCATTTTTATCAAACCATACTTATAACTAAATATATAGTAAACAATATTTATTTAAAAATTTACTTTCATATAAAAAATTAAAAAGATAATGTTTGTTTTCACACAATCCTAGGTTAGGAAAACAGTTTGTTTTATCACAAACTCAGGCTAGGAAAAGGTAATTTTTCAATAAATAAAATAACTGTTATCAGGATTTTTAACTCAATTATAATAATGCATTGTGATTACAGTCTGAAACAAGGTATTAGTAAAAATAAAAATTATATGCAAGTATTAGAATAGAAACAAATATTTAGGTTTATAACTTATGCAAAATCATTAGACACAAAAGCTGAATTCCATAGGTATCATAAAAATTTACATATAGCATATACTTATCAGTCAACAATGTATTATTTCGCAATTATTTTATGGTATCATTTATTCAACTACATATTCGAAACATTACTCCTATATATACTGATAATAACATACATAAAGTATATAAATAGATAAATGTATTCAATCCTGTAATAACTGATGAAGTTTAATCAGTTTGCTGTGACTTAGTCCATATGACTGAATAAGGTGTATTGATTAACTGGGATTAAAGTAGCACATGTCATTTATTATTTGGGATGGTTCCCAAATACTATATGTGTATATGAATTTCATGATAATTGGTTGAGCGGTTAAGGTCTGCAGTAAACTTCCACAGTGGACAAACAAATAGAATTATCATCATCATATCAGCCATTTACCATCCACTGCTGAAAATAGGCCTCCCCCTTGGAGGGTTAATAAGAAGGGATTGGCAGAGGGGTAATAGCATCATGATTTTAGTACATTTTTTTGTTTTAAAATTGTCTTCTTCATTAAGTACATTAATTAATATATAAAAATCTTATGTTATATTCATTAATCTAATATTCATATAAAAAAATATATAGTAAGGGTGGCCAACCGGTCGACAAGTAGTCCACTAGATCATGGTAAAGCAAACATTTTGCAAATCTAGCACAAGATGCTCAGACGCAATGCTCATACTAATATAAATAAGTAGTTGCTAAGAATAATTTTCATATATATATATATACACATTTAGGCATTTAGGGATGGAGCAGAACATAGATTACTAGAGAACTATTTACCCCCAGTTAATCAATATAACCTGGTCACGCAGGCGAAATCCCAGGTAAAAACTAGTAAACAAGTTCTTATCCAATTATACAATGGTCTTGTTCCACCAATTCCTCTAATTGGTCATGAACGATAAAGTTTTATTACAATGTTGAAAGTTATTTTTCATTACAAATAATAACAAATTTAATATCAATTATGCACACTTCAAATGTACATATATATTTTTTTAAATATATCGCATAAATTGTTTAAAAGTTAAGTCATGTTATTATAAATTGTTTGTAATAAAACTTGAAGTTATATTGGTATTACTTATGTATATTAATATTTTTATGGCTCGTGAAATAAGAGTTTTTAATTGCTACCAAGTTGTTTTATCAGAATTTAGTCTTATTTCGCGTCAGTTACAGTGCGAAGGAATATATTAACAATGGAAAATATCAATTTGATTCATCCGAAAGAATTAGTAAATACTTGATTGTAAACAGTGTCAAAGTTGCTCTTATAAATTATTCTTTACTTTTAAATGTCTTTGAATTTATTTATAAGAAATATGTATGTATTTTTTTCAATAAGTACTTCTACACTAATTAACATTAATCAATATTATTTATTGAATACAAATTTAATAATTAAATGTTGTAAATAATATATACTGAATATTTTAAATACGAATTTTGCACATGTATAGGCATGATCTTACTTTATATGGCAACACCCGAGTGGCAATAGTTTTGCTTTGATATAAAAACTCTGAAGGCTGAGACTCGAATCTTCTTAAATCTTATTAGTAAGGAATTGGAGTTACTGACAGAGGATTCAGATATGACATTTCTTGCAATGCGATTTCAATATAGATGCAATATTGAAGCAAACTAATATATTTTCTTGCTTCTTAGTAGGAATTGCTCTTGGCCACAAGAGGAAATAGCTAGTTTCGTAATTAATTCTGCCTTTTTTATATAAAGGCAGAAAAAGGCTGCTGCCTTAACACTTAACATCCAAGAACTTCAGTATTTAGACTTGGCATTGACCCATTGTGTAAAAAACAAGAAGACAGCTCAAATTACCTACTTCTTTGAAAATTCTTCTTATTGAAAGTTGAACAATAAGAAGACAACTTTTGAAGGCGCCTGTCTAAATGGCGAGGTTTTGCTGTAGCCCGATCACTCGCAGATTCTTCAACCGAGTGCCGCCACCTTCCGGCACTTCTTTTACCAAAAGTCTTGCTTTGGATTATTAATTGAAGTATTCAGTCATTATTTTTTTTATAAATCGCGTTACACTAAACGCTGATGATCCCGGAATCCATGATCGTTGTTCTACCAAGTTCTAGCACCCTATTATTACATGAGCTAGTGTTCTTCATATATTATTTACATAGTGGGCTTGTTCCACAATGCTGTTCGTCTTTAAGGTTGCCATTTTTAATAGTATTTAAGGGGGGTCGAATGGGCCATGCCCACCCCGATTGTCTGGAGGCTATCCCAGAATAAAAGCCGAGCTTTCGGCTACCTATCGGAGAGTACGTATGCATACCTAGGGCCAATCCTTCCCCCTGGAATATGGTTTTAAATACCCGAATACCATTTTATATCAATTGACTCGTGAGTCACTTTGTCACTCTTGTGAATAAAAAAAAAAACTTTCAAATTCAAATCATCTTTGTTCAAATAGACTTGTTTACAAGTAGTTTTAGTATTTTTTTTTAATCTACTGCAAGATTACTTTTAAGACTGCATTCAAGAATGTCACATTCACGCCTAACACTCGCTGCAACAAACAACAGTTTACCAAACAAATAACAACACGATGGATGTGTACATATGTAAAATTCGTATTGTGCCTTGTTGATAACATTACTATTGTATACCTATCTTCATTTCTTAATATCTTTTGGCAACATTTCCAGCGACGGTGGCGGATTGTTAGCACTGCACCATTAACTGCTCACACTTGACTAAACATGCGATTAATATATCCTGTAAGTGTGTTCTCGTGACGAGTTGTCTTAATACTAGCATTTCGAATTATTTTTTCCACCAAAAAGTGTATTTATTGCGTAATAATAATTAATATTTTTGTTTCATTTATAAATTGATTTAGTACAATGCACCTCCATTTACTTTCTCTGTTTAGTTATTAGTTGACTGGTAGGGAATGCCATCAGACATTCAGTCGACTTGAATACATATTTTTGTGTTCAAAAAAATTTAATAAATTAATACTTATTTTTAATAAATTATTAAACATATTATATTGTGTATCTTAATTTTAAAATTAAACCCTGTATTTGTTAATAAAGTTTATTATTATTATTATTAAAAAAAAAATTAATCACTTCAAATATTTCTTTTCAACTGTCTTCAAAAAAGGAGGAAGTTTTATTATCTTATTTCTGTCAATTGTAATTTTGTTTATGTTTGTCACCTCATAACTGTCATTGTATTGGAAAATTCTTTTTTTATTTGAAAGAGAATACTTTCAGATTGCTCCCATAGAAATTCTATAAAGATTGGTTTAGCATTTTAGTTTTTAAATCAAAATAACTGGTTTTGCCACGATTCGAGTCGGTTTTTTGTGGAATACAATTTTAAAGTATAAAAACTTATATTAATTGGTTTAATGAAATGAAATCAATTATTTCTATTTATGTTCTCAGGTTTTAATAAATAAGTTCCACATTGGTAAATAAGTTTTCATACTCTCTTAGTTGTATTATTTTAAATAGTTCAAATTGATCTAATACTTAGTACTATCAGCGTATAGGTAGATTTATGATAAAAAATAATAATAAATGCTTGTATTAGATAGACGACTTTACTCAAATTGATGAGATGAGGCCATCGCCGACTAATTAATTTCGGTAAAGACTACTAAGGACTCATTATAATTTCTTAAATTTTTTATTATAATAGCGGTCACAGAATCTTATAACTATGGCCTTACTAAGTATGACCCTATATGCCTTTAAAAAGTTCTTTATTTGAACATAAATTAGTCTTTTTTTAGTGTTTTGTATTATCTTTAACCTTTTTTTTTTTAATGTATATCTCTAGCTGATTACACTTTTAATATAATTATCTATATTTCTCATATCTGTACAGATATGGTATATCAGTAAATAAATCATTATTGGGTGTGACCGATATTGTGCAGCATTTGTTTTACAATTCGTCGCGTGAACACACTTGTCGGCGGAGAGCCGGAGACTCCACGGTCGAAATTTTTACCATAAACAATTAATATATATATTGTTTTAAAAAAGTTTCGAACGGAGATCTCTTGCAATGTACCCTGTGCAGGCCGATTCTCGGGTGATGGGACGCCGTTTTGTGCTAACATTGGTGATTGGAGTATCTGCTGGATTTAGTGTTGCGTACATATTTTTAACCTCGGCTGGATACAATCGAGATGTAGTTTGGTCGTCCTACAGGTAAATAATTTTTCCCGCCAATTCTGCATGTGCTTTCGCTGTGCGCGCATGTTTTGTAAGCTACTCTGCATTGTTCTCGTGTTACCAGTCCCATCACATACAGTATGTATTTTCAGCATGTATATTGTAATAGATATTTAAATATTCCTTTGTTAGGCAAGTATATTTCCATTGGTTGACCACTTAAAATTATTGAAAATAATTAATTAATAATTATTAACTAGTCCTCATTTAAAGCAATTTATATAATCAGAATCAGATATGTAATAAAAAAAAGGAACTTACTTTTCTGTTTTTATTTTTTTAAAGACATATTTGATTATATTTACCTATCTGTCATCTACATGAGAATCTCATTTAAAAATAGCGCTGAAGTAGATCGATAAACTACATCAAAATTGTGTTGATTTTATCATTATTTTTCTACGTTAGTTGTTTATAATTTAATTAAAAATTAAAATTAATTCAAACAACTGCTGTCAGGAGTTGATTTCTGAAATATGTACGATTTGTGGTTACCAAACATAATCGATACATTTTTTAAATTAAAAATAGAGTACAGACTTCAATGAATAAAATTATGTGTGAAATACTAACGATTAATTACCTAGTATTAAATTATGACACAAGTATAGGTATATTGTATTCGTATTTATGGTGTTATATACATCTTTATATAGAGTGAAAATTAAATCGTTAGCATTTTAACTCTATCGCTGAAATACAATCTTTTTCTAGAATAATTCTCGAAAAAAAAAACAAAGAATTATAAGTGTGTATGTGTGTGTGCAAGCTGGGTTGCCAGATTGGGTATTTTTTCGCAATTTTGGAAAAAAAATAGTTTCGATGTATATTTCTCTGAATAAATGTGTTGGTTCTCGATATAATAATTAAATAAGATAAATAAGAAAGACCAATAATAATAACAGATTGAAACACATACGGCCATACCTAGTCTGGTACTTACGGATTTATACTAGTAATTATGCTATATGCTTAATTAGGTGCATTTTTATTAACTACCCAACTCGACAACGCACGGCTTCTTTTTTTAAAATAAACTACAACACACGTTACTTGCTGATAATGTAGCATTCTATAATTAAATTGGTTAAATAGGTGTTACCTGAATTTATTCATTGAATTCCCATTTTATAATGATAGTTTATTTACTTAATTATAGGTTTTATGATATCCCTTCATTGGTTCACGTTGACTGTATCATAATATCTATCCTGTTTCCGTTATCCGACTATATATTTAGTACTATTTATTAATCTTAGCCTTCCTTATGGTGGAGACCTATGTTCAGCAGTGGACAATGAACAGCTGATATGATGATAATGATTAATCTTGGCAAATAAAAACTGATTTCATAAGTGAAAAAACCGAAGTAACAGACCACTTCTGGATAGCATATAAAATATAGAACATGTATCAGAATTAAAGTTACACCTTTAAGAACAAATTTGTGGAAACCTCGTCCAATTCCGTGCAGTAGTTGTAAACGATACCAGAATTGGAACTTACTGACGGAACTAGTAGACAAAAGTTCGAAAAAAAGTTGTTTTGGCATCTATTGGTCTTATTAGGACCCCCTTATACCTATTAATTTTTCTTTAATATCTCCTATGTACAGGCATATATTAGTGAAGTATTTAGCTGAATAAACGAACATGGTTCAGAAGTCCTTAAACATTTTTATTATAACGTTTACTCCGTTACCGTGTTCCGAAACCGAAACTTGCCTAATTTTGAATTTTTAATAGATACGCCCCCTTTCAGGTCCTATCTATTTTATCTCTTTTTATTTTATCCTCCTTAGATGACAGGGGTGTCGAATCAAAAATACAATTTAAAATTGATATAAAACTTGTAATTTAGGTATTTTTTCATAATATAAATGCTTTACACAACAAGGCTGATTGCGAACTCTGAATCGTCTTTGAAAATAATCTAAAATTCTAGTTTGATATTACAGCGAAATTATAACAAAGGATCCGTACAAACTAAATTATAACGTAGTGTCGAAAATACATTTAGTCCTTAGTGATTTATAATATACTAGTGTCGTTGAACTATTAAATTATATTTTTAAATTTAGAAATTAAAGTTTAATGATTGGAATGTCAATCGATGATGATGATTCTGGTCAATTTTAACGCGCGTTCTCTAAATTTAATCGTATATCTACATAGGTATTTTTTATGTTATGTACGATTATAAAGTAAATTTAAAGCTACTAGGCATTTTAAATGTATTTTTCGTTTGGATATTAGCTTTAGAAGTTTTGGTATAGTATAGTACTATAAGTATAGTACTTTAGAATGGACTCCAGTAGCTAGATGAATCGTTTTAGTTTTATAAATATTATACATAGTTCTAGAAATGACAATGCATGAGCAGTGTCACAGTATTTTTTGCGTAAAATGTGCTGTCTGTAGAGTGGTTACCACTTCCCATCAGGCGAAGCGTCAGCTTGTCGTTCTAAGTTGTATAAAATTATCAAAGATATTATGTAAGTAAAGTAGTATTATACAATAAACTATATTAAATCATAGCTAAAATTCATTTATTAGTTGGATCTAAGAGTTAGATTTAGTTGTACAGAAAACAGCTATTTTACCTAGAAATTTCCATAAAAGTTGTCTGTTTACAAAGCTTTTCCAATTTTTTTTTTTCCTTTTTTAGTATAATATCATTCAGATACTTATGAACGATACGTTTTAAAATCATTTTAATGTTTAGATTATATATTTTATTTCTAAGCTGTATCTTTATTGCTTAAAAATAGACTGGTAAACTGAATTTCCGTTGTTTGTCTTGTATTTATCTTTTATTATAGAAAATATATCGTTGTTTAACTTTTATTGTCGAAAAAAAAATTTTAGTATTGTATTTCACAGTATAATGTACTCGATATGCATCATGACCTAAATTTTTTTATCATTTTATTTTATAATTAATCATGTTTCTTAACGTTTTATCAAAGTGTCGTTGAAAATACAGGTACTTGATTATTCTAATCATATAAAACTAGGGATGTTCCGGATAATAAAAAGTGAAATTAAAAATAAATTTTAATATTTTTTTTTTTATTATATAAAGGAGTTTACATATGTCATTTAAACAATACAATATGAAAAATATTACGAACTATAAAGATAATGCATTACATAATACCTGTTTTCCCAATTAATACATGATATCATTTGTAAATCGATAATTAAAGCCGTGAAGAATAAGTCCGGATAATTAAATAATCGATTTTCGGATAATCGAGAATCTGTACTTGTATTATTACATCTTATAGTCTATAACATCCTCAACGCGAATCACAGTTTGTATCATTTGTATTAGTCGAATTGTAGAAGTCGAATGATGCTTTCAAATTGAAACATTAAGTATGTTTATCACCGCCATCAATTGAATGTAATTGAATGCTTTCTAGGCCATTTTTATTAAGATACAGGTATTGTGGGTCCCGCAGCGAGAGTTGAAGCGAAGGACAAACAAATGTAAGATTTAAGCGCTTCTTACACGATAACTGTAAATTTTTTTTTTAATATATGCTTGTTTTATGACTCTGGATGTAAGTCCTAAAGACGCCTAAAGTGACAAAAAACATGTTATTTTACACTACATGTTTGTCGTAGCCTTAAATTTTACATGTGTTATTGGAATTTACATGTTCTTCACGCGGGATCGTTATTGCGTAATGGGATGTGGAGACTATTGTTATGTTAAGGATGCCCTAGAATTTAATCCTGTCTCGTACTACTTTATTACACTGGTTCAGAGCAGTGTTTATAAAATTTAATAATATTAATAAATAATTTTGATTCAAGTAAACTTAATAAGCATTTATGAATAGTACTTCCTCGAATTGTTATAATAGATTTCGCCCTTTCAACACTATAATTTATTAAAAATATCACTCTTCTCTCTATTCTATGTTCTAGTCTATTCTAATGAATACATAGTCTAAAGTTAGCTACATAGATCCTCTGGCTTAAAAAATTTAATGTCTTTTACTAAAAAGAACGTTAGTTGCGATCCTTTGAAAAATGTCCGCAACACTAGGGATTACGTCCTACAGTTAAAAAACACTGGATTTCAGTAAACATTAATTAGATATTAATTAAAAATCGATCGAGATACTAATTAAATCTATTATAGGCATTAGTATTAGCTTATTATGCTTTTTTTAGTATTAGTAGTTTAACTCTCGCTGAAACACCTATAACTAGTGTTGAAAATGCATATTTTATTTCCAGTTACTTTCTGGATGAACCCAACTACCTAAAGGTAGTGTTTAATTACTGATACGTAATTTCTAATATATATTTTAATTTATTCATGATACAAATTTTCATAATTTCGTCAATCAAGTATACCATATACAATAAATTATATTTTTTTTAATGTTTAATTCTTTAATTTTACATTTTTCTTATTATGTACTTTATTATTAAAAGACTAATTTATTGTATATAGGAGAGATCAAGTATATATATTGTAGTACACAGTATACCAGTATACCCTTATTCATAAAAAACGTCAAACCTGTCATGAATCTTTTATAACAATTGAACTGTTTTGTCTCTTTCTTTTATGCTAAATTATCAATTTAAACAAAAGTGACAAAACAGTGTAATAGTTAAAATAGATTTGTAGATTTTAATTTTTATAAAAAAAGGCTTGTAAAGTATAGAGAAATGATATGAAATATCCTGATCATAGAGATAAATAAAAAGACATAATAAATGCATTAAAATTTTAAGCTTTCACATTGCAATTATCAGCCGCTCTCATGCGTTCCTGCTTTTGTAGCTACTCTATCTACAATCCCGTATGTGTGTCTTCCCTTACTGACTATATATCTCACGACCTTGCTACGAAGAACAAATGAAGCTTAACCCTTTCCACTCCAATGTTGAGTGTCATTCGACATTAATTTTGTTCCACCAGCTCCACTGTCGAGTGACACTCGACTTTTTTTTTATATAACTTAGAATGGCAAACAAGCTGACAGCCCACCTGATGGAAAGTGGTAACCGTTGCCTATAGATATGAGCAGTATCATAGACATAACAGAGTATACTCTTTCGCCCATGATACTCCTCATGCGTTGCCATTCCTGAAGACTCAGGTGTTATTCTTCTGTACCCAGTAAATTCACGGCATATCCCACCCTTCAAACCGAAACACAGCCATGCAAACACAACTGCTTCACGGTTGAAACACGAATGGGACAGAGGCACCCAATCAATCAACTTTTGTACAAAATCTCCCTCTGGTAAACTCGACATAGTGTAATACTTCTTTTTGCGTACAATTTTAAAAAAGGTAGGATTTTTTTTCTAAAATTTTTGATAAAGTCATCTCACACTTACTACGAAACAAATTATAATATAGTATCCTGTAATTACTCATAAAATAAAGTTTATCATATAAGAAAAATATCAATTTTATTTACAAAATACGAAAAAACCCCTAAAAGTAAAAAAACGCAATTTTAGCGTGGAGCTAGTGGAATAAAAAGAAAAAAAGGGCTTGGAGCGGAAAGGGTTAAGAACTGTAGACTCTCATTTAAAAAATATCGAACCAAAACTACGTACAACTGAACTTGCACTTTAAACCCAACAGGTTAAGGATGACAATTAAACACAGTTGTATCGGTCTTTGTGTTGACCACTCCAGTAATTTCAGGGAGCCCGTAAGAGATTTCGACAAGCACCCGATATCGGCCGTCATAGAACACGGAAGCGATGAACCAGCTCACAAGGATGAGGATAGGTCGGTAGCTGATGAGCTGGCTCAGAGAGTCAGGGTCCTCTGTTGGATAATGACGCAGCCGAGTAATCATGAGAAGAAGGCGAAACACGTGAAGGCGACGTGGGGGAAGAGATGCAATAAGTTGATATTCATGAGTTCTGACGAGGGTAAGTTTTTTAAACCACTTTTGCACAAAATATGTCTCTGTTACACGAGCTATTTCTATAATGACTTCTGCGTTAGGAATCTATGACATTTGTCAAGTGACCAACCAATCAAATTAACCTGATCCTTACCAACATAATAAACGTGGAGTGCATTTATTACCTCTTGGCTCGACCATTTGTTATGAAATTTAGCAGACACGTAATGATCTCAAATCTAGTCTCCTTTATTATTTTTTGTGAAACTTTAAAAATTTAGGAAATTTATTGAATGTTAAAGATGAATAGTCTACACATATTCGGCTTTATCGCAAAAAAGTTAAATTTGCAACGAACAGGTGTTGAATACGTGTTTAGGCGTCGAGCATCTGTTTATGCCTTAGAAAGTCTTATTAAAAATGTGTTTAGATTTATATAAATTATCATAATAATTATAAATTTGACGCATGAAATTACAAATAAACATTATTATTACAACAATGAGTGATTTAAATTATTTTTATAGTAATATCGTAATTTATTATAGATCTTACTCGAATACGTTATTAATTTTCATAAATTCCCCTTGTGTATTTTCTGTCAAAGCGTCCACTCCTCACGTACTATCCCAACTGCTATATATTTTTTAATGTAATAAATATGGAATGATACTCCTTTCTGTGCCATCAATATACGTTGGCGGAGTACCAGTGAATGATGATAGGTGAGGATGAATTCAAATCTCCTAACATGACAAATTCACTATGAATTAAACACGACGGTTTCCAGATGGAGATCCTGGCAGGGTCTGTTAATAACCAGCCCCTCCCCTCCCTCCTCAGTTGCTCGATAGCTTTTTTCTACTTTCAGATCCGTCGCTACCGTCCGTGAAGCTTCCAGTTCAAGAAGGACGCGACTACCTCTGGGCGAAGACCAAGGAGGCGTTCCGTTATGTGTACGAACACCATCGACGTGACGCCGACTGGTTCCTCAAGGCTGACGATGATACGTGAGCAAACTGAACATTTTTATTGCTAGTTTTCAGAGTCATTGGATGCAAGTGGCTCAGGACAGTTCCTTATGGCAGTCTGTTGGATGGACGCCTATGTTCAGCAGTGGACAGATAATGGTTGAGATGATAATTACTAGTTTTTACCCGCGACTTCGCGTGACCAGGATGTATCCATTGTTTAGATATAAATTCATGAACGCTATTAATATTTTATTCTTCATAGATTTGTTTGCCATTTGTTTACCACTGAGAATGGGTATTTTTTACACACTGATCATTTTACATAAGAGTGATTTTTCATCTATCATGCAATCATTTTTATGCAATTTAGAATGATAAACAAGCTGACAGCCCACCTGGTGGAAAGTGGTAATCTTCGCCTATAGACATGAGCAGTACCATGGACATAACATAGTATACTGTTTCGCCCATAATACCCCCATGCGTTGCCATTTCTGAGGACTTAAGTGTTATTCCTCTGTACCCTGTAAATTTACTGCCATATCCCACCCTTCAAACAGAATAGCCATCCAAACACAAGTGCTTCATGGTAGAAACAAGAATAGGACTAAGATGCCCAAGTAAACGATTTTTGTACAAAGTCTCCCTCTGATATTTATTATTATATAATATGTATAATGTAGATAGTATTGTATAAGTGTTATATGTATGTTATTTACTACTTTAGACGCCCATATGCTACAGTAACCGTTTACCATCAGACGAGCTGTATGATTGTTTGCCACCTTCGTGATATAAACAAAAACTTTATATTATTGTATTTATATTTGTTATTTTTATACAAGTATACATATTTACATGATATATATATATATATATATATATATATATATATATTTTATATATATATTCGTTACTTGTCATGGGCGAAACAGTATACTCTGTTATGTCCATGGCACTGCTCATGTCTATAGGCGACGGTAACCACTTTCCATCAGGTGCGCCGTCAGCTTGTTTGCCATTCTAAGTTGTATAAGAAAACAAAAAACGTTGCATGGTCAAATATATTTTCTGTTATATCTGTCTACGGTTGACTGGTAGATAACATAATATGGTGTTAAGTCTGCCTTTTACACTATCTGTAATGAAGTTCTATAAATAAATAAAAAAAAAATTGATAAGATTCAAAATTGTGTAAAGTGACGGTGTTTGTAAACGAATGAATTTACAAAATGTACAATAATATGATTTTTTACACAATATAGAATTTTACATTTTATTACATATTTTTTCGTACATTATTATATTATATACAATGTTTTTACATTTTTATACAATATGGAATTCTAAACACCCGAACCAATCAGTGATTATTACCACGAAATGAGTACTTCGAAACAATTTTAATAAGTCCTTTGCAGTTTTATAGGAACTGATAACAAATACGTTCACATTTCCTTTAGTGATTCATTTTATCTCTTATCAACATAAGCAAAGTCATGCATAGACACGCAATTAGTTACAAACAAATTAAGTTTTGCTTTACAAAAATGTTATAATATTTTAATCGTGATAAAATTTATAGACTAGTGTGATTATTAATCACATTTTATTTTTAAATAAATAAAATTCACTGATAAATTATGAGATGTCTCATTATTCATATATCATATTAGTTTTTAGTGGTCTTAACCACAAAAAAATTAAGTTTACTATATATATATATATATATATGTTTTTATATATATATATATATTTATATATATATATATATATATATATATATATATATATATAGAACAATTTCACTTTAAGTTGCACGATCAACTTAAAGTGAAACTGGATACCTTTTTAATGTCCATTGCAGAAAAAGAAACATAGCTGTCAAATTTATTTTTTAACCATTTTCCTTTAATTTTGAACATGAATTATATCACCTTAATTTATTTCACCAATAAAAAAATCATGTAAAGAAGGGTTAAAAGTTTTGCTGATAACATCAGTTTATAATTAAGAAAAAGAAAGTCTGTCTTATTAAAAAGGTGTCTAAAGAAATAAATTTTATTATAATCATCTGTAGAATGGGTACATAACATTTTAAATACTCAATAAAGTTTTGTGGTTAACTACAATATGAAATACGGTTTCGCTATAAAGATACTTTAAACACTGTTTACTAAAACAGTATTTAACAAAACTCTTTCTAAAAGTTTGAATATTGTTTAGTCAGTGTAATAATGTTAGTTAATTGTTTATAATTTTTGTTTAGAGGTCTTGTTTTAGTGAGGTTTCTAAACATGTTTATCGCAAGTTTAACTTTTGAGGGCAAAACGAATAGTTATTTTTGTATTAAGATAAAAAATTAAAGTGACCTACTTTAAAACCTCAGATGCTCTACTATATTTTAAATAGGTTAAAAGAAGAAAAAAAAAATATGTATTTCCACAGAAAATTCTCAATTTGCATTTAAAAAGAGTTGTTATCCAGTATTTTACACGGTCGTAACTGAAATTTAACGCTGTTTATTACAATGAGGTGCCAAGGCGACGTTCACGCATATAATGATGGTATAAGCCTCAGGTTTAGTTGTCTTATCGTGTCATAAATGATTTATGATGGAAATTGGTCAAATATCATCTAAATACGTTTATATACTTGGTACAAACAGATACTGAATAATACCACATACATACATATATATATATATATATATATATATATATATATATATATATATATATATATATATATATATATATATATATATATATATATATATATATATATATATATATATATATATAATGGCGAACAAGCTAAAGGCCCACCTGGTGGAAAGTGTGTGTTGTTAGTAATGCGGACTGCTAGTCCCGTTGCGAGCAATATACGTCCACCACGTGCTCCGCCTTCGAAACCATCGTGCTGAATTCTAGATGTATTCATCACGATAGGCTAACTGAGCTGCCTTTTCGTTCTCACCTATCATACCATATGTTGAGTGAGCTTATACGATGAGTTAAATTTATATATTGATTTTTTACAATGTGTTACGTTTATACAATGAGTTAAATTTATACATTAAGCTTTTACAATGTTATGAGTTTATACAATAAGTTAACTCTTCTTTGGATGATTTTTTTTTATTGGTGAAATAAATCAAAGTAATATAATTCATGTTTAAAATTAAAGAAAAAATGGTTAAAAAAATAAATATGACAGCTATGTTTTTTTTTCTGCAATGGACATTAAAAAGGTAATCAGACACGATCAACTTAAAGTGAACTTGGTCTTTTATATGTTTTAGGCATTTAATGTTATGATGGAAATTTTTATTTATAGAAGGGTTAAATTTATACATTAAGCTTTTACATTGAGTTGAGTTTATACAATGAGTTAAATTTATACATTGAGCTTCTGCAATAAGTTGAGTTTAGAACATCAACTTTGTCCGCAGATACGTGGTGGTTGAGAATTTGAGGTACATGCTGGCCGACTACGATGCCAACGAGCCAATGTACTTCGGGTGTCGTTTCAAGCCGTTCAGTCCACAGGTTTGATTATATTTGCTTATAAAAAAACGTCTTCGCAGTGCACAAAATGATAGTCATTTATTAGGATACTAAGAAATTATTCGGCTGTCAATAAAATTAGAATTTATTGATAAACGGTATTTGGTTGAAAAATACATTAAGCAAAATGTGACAATATAATTTTGTTGTCAAATAATATTTTTTATTATAGTTTGAATTACACATTAATTCAGAATTTTAATTATAATTCGAATCATCATCATTATATCAGCCTTCAACTGTCCACTGCTGAACATTAGCCTCCCCATAGGAGGGGGGGGGGGTTGCCAGTAGTTGCCATGTTTAACAGGCGGATTGGCAACCGCAATTAGCCTTAGGAGATGTTTTAAGAGGGACGCTGCTTGACCATTTCTCGCCGTCCCTTAGTCGCCTCTTACGACAACCACGGGAAAGGAAGAGGTGGCCTTGTCTATGCCAGGACCATACGGCCAATGGTATAATTCAAATAGTAACTTGTAAGTTATAATTTGAAATGCATTTGGTATTACAACAGTGCAGAAGTGGCCAGCCGGTCAACGCGACTATTAGCCCAGTCGATCGTGGCAAGGCAAAAAATATAATTTGCTAATCTAGCGGAAGATGCTCAGACGCAATGCTTACATTAATATAAATAAGTAGTTACTTGGGGGAAAGGGATTGTTAGTAATGGAGACTGAGAACCCCATTGCTAGTAATATACCCAACCAGGTCGACCTCCTCGCGGTTCTCCCTGGAAACTATCTTGGTTAATTCCTGATGAATTCATCATGATGGTCTAACTGGCCTGTTTTCATTCTCATCTATCACCCTTCACTGGTGCTTCGCCAGCGTATCCCGTTAGCGCAGGCGGGGTTATCATAGCATTTTCACCCATAAAAAAAAAAAGTAGTTGCTAAGAATAATTTTCAGATTTATGTATTAGAAATACTACAATACTTTATAATTGTGTACTGAACTTGTTTCATTTGAGACTTACAAAAAGTATGTAATTTGTAATTCGCACAGGGTTTTGTCAGTAAATAGTAGATCTTGGGTCTAGTCGAGTCGGCCACCCATGATATAGTGGCTTGTCATATGACTTAAATCGTCCATTCCAGGGTTACATGAGCGGTGGGGCAGGCTACGTGCTCAGTCGAGAGGCACTTGATAGGTTCGTCAACAAAGCGCTACCTTCCCCTCATTTGTGTAAAGCGAGCGACCACGGGGCCGAAGACGCCGAGATGGGTATGATTTTGTTTTATTAGAGACTAGTTTGTGCCTTCTACTTCGTACACAAATAGGTCACTTGTAGTGTGGTGTTTCTAAATAAAATAAACACATATTTTTAAGTTAGACCTTCAAGAAAACAACAATGAAAACCGCATCCAATTTGATGCAGTAGTTTTTGCATGACAGATACAAAATTTAATGAAAAAAATATTTTTTTTTATAACTAAATCTTTTATATCACAGAAAACCAACTTTAATATTGATTAAATTACTTTTACGAATGGAAACCCTATCGATTAAATTTGCCTTAAGATGTCTCGTTTAGATGTGAAAGACGTGTCGCAAAACGTGCATGAATGAAATGGCAGTAGGAATTTAATGGCTAATATGGAAGGTTGTGGAATATTTGGTAGTAATAGTGGCGGTCAATCTTCGAGTGTTGACATACATACATACTATCGGTAAACAAAATAGTTCTAATCAATTTGATTAGAACTATTTTGCCTTTTTTTACCTGCGATATGGATTTCCGCTAGATAAAACCTCGTTATCTTAAATACCAATAGATTAAATCGCAATAAATAAAAAATATATAAATAATTTCTAATTATTTATTCTAAATTTAACAGGCAAATGTTTGGACAAGATTGGTGTGAAGGCGATGGACTCACGCGACTCGTTGCAACGGGGTCGATTCTTCCCGTTCGTCCCGAGGGATCATTTGTTCCCGAGCAAAGATAAAGGGTTCTGGTACTGGCAGTATATATATTATCCAACGGACGAGGTTAGTTCATTTTTTATTTTTATTTTTTTTATGCGACTTAGAATAGTAAACAAACTAACGGCCCACCTGATGGAAGTTGGTAGTCGTTGCTTATATACATGAGCCGTACCATGGACATAACAGAGTATACTGTTTCGTCCATGATACCCCCCATGCGTTGCCATTCCTGAGGACTCAGGTGTTATTTCTCTATACCCAGTAAATCCACTGCCATATCCCACCCTTCAAACCGAAACACAGCCATGCAAACACAACTGCTTCACGGTAGAAACACGAATGGGACAGAGGTACCCAAGCAATCAACTTTTGTACAAAGTCTCCCTCTGGTAAAAGTAAAAATAATTTTATAATTAATACCTTTTATCTTTTTATTTAGGGGCTGGACTGCTGTTCAGATCACGCTATATCCTTCCACTATGTAAGTCCAGAACAAATGTATGTGATGGACTATCTCATATACCATTTAAGGCCATATGGTATTAAGTATGGTAGCGGAGATTTACCAAAGTTACTCAAAAATGATACAAAAGAGATTAATGTCACATAGAAATGACAGGTGCGTTAATTTAGCTTACTCCAATGTTGGATCCAATATTGGTCCAAAGTTTGTGTGTATATATACAGGTGTTAGTTGTAAGCCGCTTAAAACTAATTAGAAATGACACGATTTTACACAGAAACACAATGCTGTAGTCAAATATTAATTTGTTGTAAATTAAAATTTGTCTGTATATGTCTTTTAACCATTTAAAATTAAAAATATCACACACACACACACACACACACACACACATATATATATATATATATATATATATATATATATATATATATATATATATATATATATATATATATATATATATATATATATATATATATATATAGAGCAAGCATCTCAATTTATATGAACTTAATGTTCATATAAATAGTGGCATACAGTTACTAAATAAATTGTTGCCTTATAAAATCTATTTAACAATAGATATTCCATACTAAACCATTTCGAAAATATAATTTGTTATGCTGTTTCAAATGAGTCTTTTAAATTTCATATAGAAACAATCTAATACGAGTGGAAATTTAGCCGGGTTCGGATATTCCTTTTGAGCAAAATACACATGTGATCTCTTTTTAAATCCATGTCTGTAATTGATAAACAAGAATTTAATGAACTCGTTCATTAATAAATAGTAAGTTCATTAAATTTCCGTTTATTTTTATTTATTTGTTTAATAAAATAATAAACCTAAGTTTTAGAAATAATATTTGATTGAACTAGGTGATATTTTGCGAAAATTCATATCACTTGTTAGTCGATTACAATTACTTTAATTCCGTTACCATTAATATGCGTGCAACTCAACATTTGAGGATAAGTAAAAGTTTTACATTACGTTGTATTAGTCATCAATCTCCGAACGTTATCCGGTCCAGGCACATGCTGCGACGCGTATTTTAACTGTAAACAAAGGATTTTCAGGCAAATTAATAGATTGCTGCTCGAAGCCTAAATATTGACCGTTTGAAATTTGAATATGGAACGTCGTAGAATGTCAGTCTTCAAATGTTGACAGTCGCACACATACTAATGGTAGCGAAATTAAACAAAATAATTCTATTCGATTAACAATTAAAAATAATACTTATCGTTTTTTTTCTGTTAAAAGTAATTTTGTCCGGTTTAAAGTTTTGATCGTGGCATGTACTCGCAATATTTGGCATTGTTTATAAATGTTCACATTCCGATAATTGTCAGACCATTTCGTCATAGTCGTAGAATACTGACGGATTTTTATATGTAATATATGTCAGATCCGTCAGTATTCTACGACTGTGACGATATATCAATTCTAAGTATCCATATCTATAGTTACTTGTAGTACTGAATTTATATTGATTTTTAATGTAAATGTATATACATGACGTGTTTTCAAGCTAGTCCTAGTTGGTACGAAAGAAACTTCAACAAATTCGCTTTTGTACACATACTATATTGTTAGATGTGAGACTGTTTTACTTTTTTATTATTTTATCAAAAATTTATACATAATTGTGTCAAATTTTGGCCGAATTATGCACGTACGTGTAGACAAGCTAAAATAATTTATTAACACTTTATTGCACCAACATAACATGATTTGTTAAAACAATTTTCAATACGTATAGTGTAATACAAAAGGCGGTCTTATTGCATAATATAAGCAATCTCTTCTATAATATATATATATATATATATATATATATATATATATATATATATATATATATATATAAGTTGTATAATTTTTTAAATAATTTATATTAAAAACATATCTTTTTTTAAACTAACATTTATACGCGACTTCGTTCACGTAGAATTTAATTGTATTTTATTATTTACTAGTGGCCCGTCCCGGCGTCGTACGGGTGGACATTTTTACATTTCCCTGCACTGCTCTGCTCCTATTGATCGTAGCGTGATGAAAAGTATACTATAACCTGCCCAGAAGTATGAAGAATAATTATACCAAGTTTCCAGCTCACCAAAGCACGACCCCCCGTCTGCCCGCTACTCGATGAGGCGGGCAGACGTCGTTACGCAGCCTCTGACCGGGCAACCATCCTGGCACAACACCTGGAGGGGCAGTTTACTGCCAATCCGGTAGCCGCCGACGCACCGCATACTGTCGTCGCGCATCACGAGCGAGTAGTACGTCGCGTAGGCGAGTTCCGTTCCGCCCCGCCGCCGGACTTGACGGAAGTCAAATTCGTCTCGCCCGGCGAGGTCAGGCGCATCATCGAGCGCCTGCCTCGGCGCAAGGCGCCCGGGGCGGATGGAATACCCACCCCGGCACTCGCCCAGCTGCCCCGTAGAGCATTGGTATTTATTACCAAACTCTACAACGGCATACTCCGGACCGGCCATTTTCCCTCATTATGGAAAATAGGTAGATATCATAGCCCTCCCGAAAGCCGGGAAAGATAAAGACTCCCGGCCAGTTACCGGCCGATAAAATATATATATATATGTATATATATAGGGGCGGCCATATATATATGGCCGTATATATATATATATATATATAACGCCGCAAGCCTACGTGCGGGTCATAGACAATTTCCTTACCGGCCGGAACTTTTAACGGTCGAGGGCACGGACTCTACCGTCCACCCCATCGCCGCCGGAGTGCCGCAGGGCAGCTGCATATCGCCAGCTTTGTACGCGACGTACACCGACGACATCCCCACCTTGAGGGATGAGCTCCTCGAGGGAGAGCGCGATGTCGTCCTCGCCCTTTTCGCCGACGACAGTGCCTATTTCACGTCGTCGACCAGTGTCGTTAATTGATGCAGCGGCTGCTGAACCTCCTGCCCGAGTGGCTCGACAAGTGGCGCATCGCCGTCAACGTGGGTAAGACGGTGGCGCTCGCCACTCGCTGCAGGACCCACTATCCGCCGCCTCTCAACCTCCGTGGCACGCCCATCTCATGGGAGCGCACAGTGCGCTACCTAGGGGTCGAGATTGACCGGTCGCTGCGTATGACCGCGCACGTTTCACGCGCGGTTAGGCAAAGGCCGCACGCGGCATGCTGCGACCGGTCTACGTTCAACCTGTCGCTGCGGACGAAAGTAGGTATCTACAAAGCCTATATTCGTTCGCAGCTGACGTATGCCTCCCCCGCGTGGTACGCACTGTGCTCCGATGCACAGAGGCGGCGCCTGCAGGTTCAGCAGAACTGTGCCTTGCGACTGTGCGCAGACGCTGCTAGATACGTCAGAAATGACGTCATAGCCGAGATCTCGCGGTCCCTAGCGTGGACGAATTTGTCCGCCGGCTGGCACGCGCTATGTTCAGCCGGGCGGATATATGCGTATACCCCCATCTAAGGGACCTCGCCCCACTCCATGCGCGTCCCCCGGACGCAACGCGCGCATTGCCGCGGGATCTTTGCGCACATTAGGCACAACGCAGGGCGACGGTTAAACCGGCCCTGCACGGTCGACGACGTGAATAGATTTCCCCCATTTCCCATTTCTCCCATATAAAATGTTTTTCCCTAGCCGACACTATTTACAATAGTGTCGGCTCGGCCCTACGGGTCGAAAAAATCGACGCGTAGGCGGCAGCCTACGCAGTATGCGCCCGGGCAAAGAGCGATCGCTCGAGGCCCGCACCTGCAACCCCGTAAAGGGTTGCGGATGAACCTTTATTATTATTCACCAAGTTTCGTTAAAATCCGTCTAGTGGTTTTTGCTTCTATAACGAACATACAGACAGACAGACAGACAAAAATTTTACTGATTGCATTTTTGGCATCAGTATCGATCACTAATCACCCCCTGATAGTTATTTTGGAAATATATTTTATGTACGGAATTGACCTCTCTACAGATTTATTATAAGTATAGATTTCATGACAATTTTGTTTTTTATATAAATACCAAATATCAATTTCTGTATACGCATATTTAATACGATTTTCTAAACCTTTTTCGTTCATCAAATATCCGAAATACATACATACGTGTATGTACGTACATACATATCTGTCACGCCTGTCTCCCATTAGTCAGAAACAATGGAACGCCAAATGCTTCTATTCAAACAAACCTTTTTCGCTTCTTCCACATTCATCAATCTTTTCATACACACTCGCATATTCGAAATAAATTGTATTTATTCAATTTTCAACAAACTATACTGTGCACAAAAATTTTGAAGTTATATTTTTTTTCGATCGACACTTCATTGAAGAGAAAGTTTTTAAAGCAACTGTTTTTTTTTTTAATCATATACATGTTACGTAATATCTTCACCGTCTCAATTTATTTTAAAGAGTTTTATTTTTAAACGCTTTCAATAATACTGTGGTCTTATATTAATTTGATCATGTATTTTTTTTTTGTGAAACAGAATCTAAAATTATTATATTTAATATTGAAACAAATGTATGCAAATGAAACATTAATGCATACGAGAAGAATGTTTATACAGGTGAAGTGTGTTTACCGCACGCTGTTTGTTGTATCAAATGACATTGTAAAATTTATTAGTAGGTATATAATGTACATTCAAGGAAATAACCTATGCAAACAAAACTAAATGACAAATTATGGCATTTAATTTGTTTACACTTTTTTTTTAATGTTTTTTTTCCATAGGCTATAGTGACCGTTTACTATCAGATGGCCTGTATGCTTGTTTTACATCTTGATGGTATAAAAATAATAGGGTGAAATTAGAATAGTAATCCTATATTATTGTGCATATATATGCAGAAATTTAAATTTAGCATTTTTAACATTACAAAGTACCAAAACTAATGCTAAATCTTAGATCAAATCATGGCTTTCTATTAGGTGAGATTGTGATCAATTGCGGGGGACCCTTTCAATAGTAAAAAAGTGAACGAAGTCATGGGATATAATGTTAGCTTATTAAATAATATTTAATATATTAATTAATGTTGTTCTAAATGGGCTTAGTTAAGAGCGTTCGTAAATTCAGCTGATCAAAGAGTGGCAACGTCGCAATTATCTGTAAATATTCAAAAACATTTAAATATGAATATGAAATAGGTGCAAAGATTTTATTGGTATATCTATATGCAATTATATGATTAATGTTTTAATTATCTTTTTAAGTATTCAATCATAAACATTGAAAATTGTTACATTTATTTATTTATTTAATTAAGTAACTATTGATCAAAAGGAAATATGGTACAAAAAGCGTACTTAATGCTGTCAGCATTTTCTACCAGTCAACCTTTTTTTATTTACACTGTTTTTGAAAATTGAGAAATAATTTTCAACGTTGCCACATTTCCATAATAATGCTCTGAATGGGTTCAGAATATGTTTCTGGATAAGTTTTAACAAAAAAATAAAAATATTTTTTTTTAATATTTAAACATAAGTCGTCATAGTTGTAGAATACTGACGGATCTTTATATGTAATATTTGTCAGATCCGTCAGTATTTTACGACTATGACGAAGTATACATACATAAATATCTATTACAAAATTTGTGTGATAACATTTTGGTAGACTTGAATGCAGATATTTGAATATATTTATTGTAATTCGTATACAGCACAAGAAATTTTGTGTACATCTCAAGTACCATATATGTTTATAATATTTATTATTTATTTTGACGATACGAACAGACAAAATTTGAAACTTTATTTACATAGCCAATCGCTCTTAAATATTTAAGGTATAATATTTTCTCGTAACATTATTTAAAATTAGTTCCTTTAATAATTTTTAGTGAGTTTGTGATGTGATATCGCAAATTGTCTATACTTGCCATAGATAATTTAGCTTATAGCATAATATATTTTATATAATTTATTATAGATTTAATTAATTTGTAAGCAATTTTTCAATATGTCGCTTAAGACTGGATTATGTGCTTTTATGAGTGCCATATTCATATGTGGATGTAATAATAATTAAAGATTTTTATTCTAGTAATTATTTATTAAAGGATATGGCCTGGGATAGAACTGGCTGGAAGATGCATGAATTAATTGCACCGACAAGAGAAAACTTTTAAATGAAAAAAAAAATTCTTAAATTTATTATTTAGAACTATAATTGTCATATATTTTTCACCACATCTGTCCTTCATAATCTCTCTGTTTTTACCCAATGGTTAGTTGGTAGAGAATGCCATATGGCATTAAGCTCGCCATTTGTACAAAGTTTTATTGTGCAATAAAAATAAATTAATTAAATAAATATACTTATTTTGTATATTTTTGTTATTAATGAATAAAAAAAATGGGTATTTGAAGGACACTGGTGCCCATCCCTGGACCATTCAATTTATTTGTGATAAATAGGCCTAATCAACGCCTAGTCCAGTCTGATAGTGACATTTTGAAATTAATTTTACGATTTATACATATTATTTTTATTCAGGGTCTTATAGCATTTATTTTAAATCATATATATATATAAGAAATTATTTATAAAATATTGCCGATTTTTTTATTTCTACTTATGTAAATATATAAAATTGTAGAAGTCTTAAGTGAACGTATTTAATATATTTAAATTATTTTTGGCTCATGGCTAACAGTGTGAAAATAGTGAGTTTTCTGAATATGTCAAGAATTCAGTAGTAAGTAGCAAATTAATGGCATAATAGTTGATTGTAAATAATTATTCAACATTTATTTACATTTTAATTGGCTTGTAAAGTTTTTTTATTAGTATAAGTACTCATGGGTGGCGATAGTCACTTACTATCAGATGCTCGTTTTCCCCGTGTTATAAAAGAAGTACGTAATTAGCTAATGTTTCAAAAAAATCCAAAAGAACAAAATATATTGTTCCTTTTGATTTTTTTTTTAATTATAATTTGTCAATTCCACATATGTTTCATTATTGTCAAATTTATCAAGCCAATTCAGTAAGTTCGGAACAAGACATCCATAGACAAAAATATGTCTTGTATTAGATTCTAAATACAAAGAGAAATTTATAAATAAAAAAAAAAAAAAAATGCATTTTGTGAAAATTTAATCGTAAACTGTTATAATTAAAAGTAACAGATTAAGACAATAAGACATTCCATCTCTGTTTGATTAACATATTAATCAATCTTATTGCCTTTTTAATCTCTTCTAAAAAATATTAGTCCAGTTACTTGGTCATAGCCAAATCTGACATAAAATTTTATATAATATATGAAATGATGTATATCAGATAATTTTGTTTACTTTCTTTACTATATCTATAATGTAAAATAAGTAATATTGAAAAACAGACTGTATTGGAAAATTCGAATGCATAATGTAAATGACCACTGGTCGTGTAGCGTGGTATGAATGACACGTTATTAAAACCAAAAAAAAAATACTAAATTGTGACTGATTCAACAAAACTTTTTTTTTTCTGAACTATTTTATCAAGCTACAATACAGAGTGTAATGTTTTAGTTATGTATATATTAATGATATGTTCACTAGTCGATGACTTCAATACCAAAGAATCTGGATAGTGTAATATATAAGGAAATTGGTACGGCCCCTAGGCTACGTACCAGAGGTGTGTTAACCGGAAAAGTTGCAATAACAAATCTCATTTAAGCCGAATCACCGGTCACTAAATAAAATTGTATATAACAAACTAGATGGCGCTGATCGGATCGAGACTAGTAGTTTTTGTTGATTATTTTGTAATGAAAGAGGTTTTGGAGTAAAAAATCTAAATTGACGAATGGTTTTTATTATTATGTATGCATGTGAAATGACAGATTATAGATGATCTTTTCCTGAATGAATTATAACCCATACAATTACAGTGTTTCTTGCTAGCAGCTTTTTACAAAGTTGTATAATATATGAGAATAAAGACGAAAATTGTGTAAAATTATTACTATATGGGTAAAATATCAATAAAACCATTCGCCAATTTAAAAATTTTGTTTAAAATTATCTTTAGTTTCAAAATTATCGACAAAACCCACAAGTTTCGATTCCAACGCCATCTAGTATTTCGTGTACAATTTAGTTTAATGACCAATTTTTTTCATTTGTAATTGGAATTTAATTTGTATTTTAATTGAAGCGAATATGTTTAATTTCAATTCAAAATATATAAACGAATTATAAAAAATTACATTATTATAAAATTTTACACAATTTTGTAGTCAATTTTTTATGTGTAATTCGTTGTTTACTTTAACTAACTGTACTTTAAATGTACTTCTGATTTGCCGGGTCGTATAGTATCTAAGTTACAAAATTGTAAGAAAAAAAAATTAATAGCTACCCTGCATATCTAGTTACTATGAACAGTTAGATCAGTTACGGATTTGAATATAAGTAATGATAAAAAAATTATTTATATATAATAAATAATTTTATATAAATAAAATATAAGAGTACATTTCAGTTCAGTTCTTAAAATGTATATAAAATAAATTTGAATATATTATTTAAATTAATAAGTCTATTTGATATAATTGTTTATTTGCTCAGTTCGTTTTATACGAATAAAAATGTTTTGGTTTGAAAACTATGTTTTTTATTGTGTCCAATTTCATTTTTTCTCTAAAATTTCTCAAGAGAAGGTGGCCGTTAGTTGCATTTTCTATCTACAATCTACAAATAAAACCGTGTACACAAACATTACAGTAAAAGATATGACGGTGATTAAAGATTTCAATACTTACTTGCAACATTGATGAATTTAAATGGAAATTATTATCGTTTTTGATAAGAAATTTACGAGCATTAAACCGTATGATATTAAACGATAGTATATGGGGTTTTGGATAAAATTATTTTCAATACTAATAATATTATCCTAAGTTGGTCAATCAGAAGTGCAGAGCACATCAGTCTTTCGCCAATTTTGTTGAAAATATTTTCCATCACTGGAATTTTAAACTGATCAAGTTTTGACTTTATTAAAAAAATTGCTTATAGGTACATTGAGGTCTTATCTATTACCGTTCTGTTTTTATTATTTTATTTATTCAGGCTTTGGATTGTTGCTCAGACTTTGTCATATTATTCCATTACATTCACTACAAACACATGTACACATGGCTACGTTAACCACTTACCATCAGGTGGGCCGTATGTTTGCCACCTCATTGGTATAAAAAAAATGTACGAGATGAATTACCTGATATACCATTTGCAACCTTTCGACGTTAATTATAAAGACAAGTAGGGAAAGGAACATTCGAAAATTAAACTCAGTATAGTAGTTATGGTTTTTATTTCAATTTACAGTAAGTACAGACATCAATAAATGAATTGAGCATGATTTTTAATAACATAATCAGACAGTACACTTCTGAGCAGAAGAACATAAAAATCATACAAAAAAACCTACTGCCCAATATTTATAAGGAATAGACAAAAAATTCCGTTAATCGAGCGAGAGGAATAGAAAAACCGATAACATAAAAATATTTTTAATGTACCTTATTGTTTACCTTATGCACTGTAATTTTGAGCCAAGAGATATGCCAAATTGTTAACTAATTGTGAAAAATACGTTACATATCTGGGCATATAACGTACTTTACAGCACATATTATTAAACTGCCTAAGGGCAGTTAAGCTTATGTTTTATACATTGTACATAAGCTTGAGGTTGTTAACAAAAGTAAGTCGAAATTAGATAAACGTGGCGTTACAATGGATGGGAATTAATAGTATTTTGGAAATAAATAACGTGTTAAGAAGTCGCATATGCTAAGATTCGTAACACTGGGTTATTTAGCTTTTCAATTTAATCCCGCGGATTTGTCCGCGTGAATTAGTACATAAAGTATACATATAGTATACTAAGTTAGGATATAATCTACCCGTGTACCACATTTTATTTAAATACATTCATTCGTTTTTACATGAAAGCGTAACAAACACTCATCCATAGTTACAAACTTTCACATTTATTATATTAATAAGATTTATGTACACACCTTCCTTTCGCGTGGGTGTCGTAAAAGGCGACAAAAGAGGGCGAGGGATGGGCAGCAGCGTCTCTCTTAAAACATCTCTAAAGCCTAACTGTGGTTTCTAATTTGCAAATTCTGCAGTTAAAGGATGTTAGGATGATGTACAACTAGAGGTTTTCTTTAGACTTGACTTCTACAGAACTTATTGACTCGTTCCAGATAATATATTTGCAAAAACATATCAGATATCTTATTTATTACAAAGGAATGTGTGATAAAGCTAATTTATATACATATATATGCAATAAACATGAACAAGCCACTATATACAGTCGTAGGCGGCTGGAGGTACGTCGCGGTAACGGAAATTGCTTATAATATTAGCAAGTCACATAACCAGTTGAATTTAACTGTAATTAACAAGATGGTTAATACATTAACATTACAAATATATAGGTTGAAAAATTTTACCTTTCGACAGTTCTATCCGATTGTATTTAAACATCCAGTCTGAATATTTTTAATTGCTGGGAATTGGGAACTGAGTCTAGTGTAGACTTGGATTAAGAGGAGCGTGTTCGAATTTCGTAGGAACGTATCGGAATGTATAATTTTTCAATCTATGTATATATACATATATATGAAGTGAGGGCCTTCACACTGATATTTGTCTAGCTCTTATGTTTGATTAAGACCGAAATTTACTCACACTTTATTATGATCAAATAGTAAGAAAGAAGAAACAAAAAAACCTTAATAATTATTAAGTACACTTCTTATTAAAACTAACGAAAAAAAAATATATATATATTAAATACCAAATGTACAAAACATTAGAAAATGATTATAAATTGAGTATGTTGTATAATTATTATAATAATAAAAAATATTAGTTTTTTTTTTATTCATACAACTGGGATTGGTTGACAAAACGACGGCCCACCTGATTGAAAGTGGTAACTTTATATCAAAACAACGTCTATCATTAATATTTCACTATATTTAACTGTGTTGCTATGTCTAAATTTAAGATTTAATTTGTGCCAAAAAAATAAATAAAAAATCACTATTTTCGAATATGTTTGGGAGTAACTTCTTTATATAATAGTGTACACTGACTGACCCAGACTACATACAAGCTTAACCTGCTCCCTTTTGATGGATTCATTACTTATTACAAGTAAAAAAAAGAAAATACTTTTGACACTAGCTCTATATTTTTTTTTATACAACTTAGAATGGCAAACAAGCTGACGGCCCACCTGATGGAAAGTGGTAACCGTTGCCTATAGACATGAGCAGTACCATGGACATAACAGAGCATACTGTTTCGCCCATGACACCCCCCATGCGTTGCCATTCCTGAGGACTCAGGTGTTATTCCTCTGTACCCTGTAAATTCACGCCATATCCCACCCTTCAAACCGAAACACAGCCATGCAAACACAACTGCTTCACGGTTGAAACACGAATGGGACAGAGGTACCCAAGCAATCGAGTTTTGTACAAAGTCTCCCTCTATATACAATTAAATGATGTACTTTATATTAGTAGACAAACATAATTTTAAACATTATAAAGAATTACCGTCAATTTAGTCAACCTTAGATATGGGAACAACTACATCTATAATTTATTATATCTATTTATATAAGATTCTAATTCTATGAAATATTTAGATCAAATTAATTTGATTTAATTATATATAATCACCTTCTTGTGGTTATTATTACACAATATTATTTATATGCAATGAACTTTAGTATATAATGGACATTTATCAAAACAGTTTGTAATATTATAAGGACTGCAAATATTTGCTATTTTTTTACAAGAACTGTAATTTCTTTTTCATCACACCTTAGTAGTTTATGTACTGATTTTTTAGTTTTAAAGTACATTTAAAAGCAGGGGTAAAAGTATTGGTTAATTCTATTACATTAATTCGATAGTTCCAAAACTTTTTATTTTATTTTAATGCATCACTAAGTTTAGTCTAATTAATGAATTGAATCAATGATTTTTTTATCTATATTTTACTGTATAAAACCTGAAGAACCGACAATCGATGGGGAAGAAAGTTTCTAAAGTACAGGTAAAGGCAATGTGTCCTACATTCTCCCTTATGGCGGATGCCTATGTTCAGCAGTGAATAGTAGACGGGTGATATATCGATCCTTTTAAGGAATTGTTCTACCACTTCTAACATGAGTTGATAAAAAATTTGAAATTTTATATGTGTCAAGGTGTCGAGTTTCTTCTCTTTGTATGTCGTGTCATACAATTATTTAACATAAAATTAATGATGCATTAAAATTAACATTTTATAGGTGATTAAATACAATAATTAGTTACTAATTTTTGAAGTGGAAATTAAAAAAAATTATTTCCCTTAAAATAAATTCTCTTCTCTTTTAATTATCTATACGACCAAAAACAAATAGATATCACAACTGAAAACTTAGCAAAGTGATTTCGAATTATCTTAATTAGAGGTCAAATTATTTAATTCATAAATAGAAAAGTGATAGATAATATACAAGAAAATGGTTAACATAAATGATCACTCACTAACAATAATTGTTTCATTGGCATATCAATGGAAGTAATTTCTCTTCTTTCTCGATACCCTGTAATAATTTTTTAATTATTAAATATAACATATGCTTTTAGTAATGAATTTATATTTTTATCATATAGGGCTTTTAGGCTTTTAAACACTAGGCGTCATGTCGTACAGGGAGATAAAGGATATGGCCTGGGATAGAGCTGGCTGGTGGAACATGCATGAATTAGTTGCACCGACAAGAGGAAACTCTTAAATGAAAAAAAAAAAGGGCTTTTAGAAAACAGACAATACTTGTAATGGGTGCCTTAACTGGACAAATTCCAAAGACACTGTACAAATTATGTAGTGAGAAATCGGAATCCATGGAACACTTGATGTGCAACTGTGTTTTGTTGGTAAGTATGCATATGAGTCAACTCGGTACGGTTTATTTGAGCCTGAGGATTATAGATATCTTAAAAGGCGGGACATAGCAAACAAATAGGCTCTAGAAAATGATAGTGTAAAGCATGGGGAAGCACAAAAGATCTTTACGGTTCGACGTATAACAGATTAGCTATACCCATATACGAATAAAAGATCTTAGATAGATTCCTCCTGCCTTATACCATAATTTTTCATCATTTCGATCATTCCTCTATAGTCCCCAGCAGCGTATACTGATAGTACAGATGAAGTTACTATTAATTTTTTTTTAACACCGTTGGCAAAGGAGAATGCAGCTCATTTGATGGTAAATGACTACAGCAGCTCAAGAGTACCCACAACACCAGAGACATTGCAGGTGCTGCCGGTCTTTTAAAAAGAAATATGCTCTTTTCTTGAAGGTTACGATTTTTTTACGGCACACCTGATGGAAAGTGGTAACCGTCGCCTATAGACATGAGCAGTACCATGGACATAACAGAGTATACTGTTTCGCCCATGATACCCCCCCCCAGTGCGTTGCCATCCCTGAGGACTTAGGTGTTATTCCTCTGTACCCAGTAAATTCACGCCATATCCCAACCCTTCAAACCGAAACACAGCCATGCAAACACAGCTGCTTCACGGTTGAAAGACGAATGGGACAGAGGTACCCAAGCAATCGACTTTTGTACAAAGTATCAGTTCGGAAATAATGCTGCTGGAAGTTGTTATGCGTGAAAGAAAATGCCTTCAAAAACATATGGTGGAGAACTGCTACTCATGCAGATGGTTGGGATGGCACTTTAGTTTTTAGCTTGTTGTACAGTGATGAAAATCAGCAGCAAGTAACAATCCGAACAATTCCTCAGAACACTCCCCATGATATATTCGATAAAAAAATACATAGAAAGGCAATATCTCTATGCATATTTTAAAAATCATATAGCCCCTTACCATCTTGTACAAACTCCATAGTGGCCAAGATGTAAACTTACCCAGTATCAACGGGCGAGAAGAAGAATCCCCTGGGCTTGGCCTGGTGCGGCGTTGGTAGTGTGCCCATGGTGCCCATGGTACCCACGGCACCATGCTGCTGCTGCTGCGGTGAGCTGGCGGCCGACGTGGGGCACGCCCACTGTGCCCAGTAATCCGACGGCAGCCGAAGCAACAATTGCATCACCTAAAAGATTTTTTTTTTTATTTATTTAAACAAATACAATGGAAGCAAAGGAAACAATAATTTCAAAATGTTCCCACCACCCTCCCATTAAACAATAAGTAACTGATTCCCGCGACTTTGTCCGCATGGTATTTGTTATTCCTTCGATTAATATTTCATTAACAACCTCCTTATGTAGTGAATTATGTCTGGGAATACTGGACCAAAATTAACAAATGACGTGTCGTTCTCATGCTTTGTCTTAGGTTAAAATGACTTTACTTAAGTAGGTTGTGTACTAAGCTGTATATTTTTTTATATAATGATAATATGTAAAAAATCTGTATAATTATAGTTTTTAACTATCCCACGGGAAAACTTAAATTTTCCCTGATTAAAAGTATCTAAAATGTTGAATGGGGATTTAAGGTACCACCATGCGAAATTTCATTTAAATCGGTCCAACAGTTTAGGAGATTAGCCCGTACAAACAGACAAAGAAACAAAAAATGTTCTATTTCACTTCTAAGATCCCTCTGACTCGGTTTTTAACAGTTTTTCTTTTCTATGTACAGACATTGGAACCCTACAGTTTTATTATATGTATAATTTCACCAGAGAGAGACTTTGTACAAAAGTCGATTGCTTTGGTACCTATGTTTCATTTGTGTTTCAATCATAAAGCAGTTGTGTTTGCATGGCTGTGTTTCGGTTTGAAGGGTGGGATATGGCGTGAATTTACTTGGTATGGAGGAATAACACCTGAGTCCTCCAGGAATGGCAACGCATGGGGGGTATTGTGGGCGAAACAGTATACTCTGTTATGTCCATGGCACTGCTCATGTCTATAGGCGACGGTTACCACTTCCCATCAAGTGGGCCCTCAGCTTGTTTGCCATTCTAAGTTGAATAAAAAAAAAGAAGATAATAAAAATGGAAATAGTACGAGCATTCGCTCGCCGAGTGTAAATCCACCTTTATTTATGAACAAAGCGCACTCACATTGAACATCTGCGCGGTGGCGCTGTACATCTCTGCCTGTGTCACCAGTCCATACCCCACGACGGTGGGACCAAATATTTTCGCCAAGTTCTCGATGCCCATTTCACATTCGGGACTCTCCGCCACTCTGCAAATAACAGTTATATTTATCAATACTAAAATAATAATATAATATTATAAAAAGAAGATTTGATTTTTTTGTATGAAATGAAATAAAATTTATTTAACAGAAATATTGTTGATACGATATGTTGCTGTTGTCAAGTTTATAAGATATCCAATATGTTTCGACACACCAAATTACATGCAAATATTGAATGCATCAATGAATTCACATATATTTATTCACAACAGCTTATTACATTGTATAATTTTAATCAACATTGATGATGTTGATTAAAAGCCACTATCCGTCCACTGTTGGACATAGGCCTTCCCCATAGATTGCCATATGGAATGGTCTTGACCCACCTGCATCCACTGACTCCCTGTAATGCATTTGAGGTCGTGACTCCATCTAGTGGGAGGGTCGTCCTACACTGCGTTTTTAATAAAAACACAAGCAATCAACAAAACTTTTTCAAAATAAATGTATGTATGTTTGGTTATAATGAATGACGGTTGAGTTTATCAATCAAAAACTACTAAAGTGATTTTAAAAACTTTTTGACGAACAGAAATTTACATTATCAGTAAGTAACAAAAACTTTTTTAAATTTGTTTTTATAATACTACTACTAATAATAATAATTAATTTAAAGAAAATTAATGATACTTATTACTGACACTTATGAAAATTACAAGTAAAGGACTCACTTCTGAAGATGCAACACGAGGAAAGCCAGCGAGTCCCTATTTGGTTGCGGCAGTTGACTCACTGCTTGTACCACGGCAGCGGTAGCATCGCTGGGCTCGGAGAGACGCGCTGCATCCATGAAGTCCGACCATAAAGCGCTGGACACCAGCGGCTCCCGGAGCGATCGGAGGAAGTCCTTGATGCAGCCGCATAGCACGTGGATGTCCTCCGAGCCTAGTTGTGGGGACCCGCACCCGCGTAGAAACCGCTCCTGTGGGACCAATTGAGCTAATAACACCTCTATCAAAAGAAAGTTGTTTTCTAGTAATAAAATATAATAACGCAACACGAAAAAACTTGTAAAAAATCCCTTTACAGTACCAGACTTAGTAGGGCTAGAGAGGGGAAGGGGTCTTAGGTCCAAATGGGGGCTATAAGATCTTGGAAATATTTTTTTTTATGTAAAAAATAGCAAGTTGCAACCCTCCTATAGAGAGACCTGCGACAACCAGTAAGACAGTATTGGTTCTTTAATGAATAAAAATTGAAGACGATGATGTCAAGTCATTTTGCACATTATGGCGAAGTCAAGAGGAATTACCCACAATGATTTCCTTGGTTTACCCAATCGTGGTTTACCACGATGAAGTCAGCTAGACAGGTATATCGCAAGCAATGGCCTCTTGAGACTCTAATAATACCCCTGGGTGTAACAAGTTTTTTTGGTGAAAATGGAATGATAACCGCACCTGCGCTATCGGTATACGCTGGCGGGGTACCAGGGAGAGGCGAGGGTGAAAACAGATCAGTTAACACATCATGAAGAATTCCATGAAAATTAACCACGCTGGTTTCCAGGGGGAACCATGTGGGTATATTGCTAGCAATGGAACTGTTAGTTCCCATTACTAACAATCCCTTTCCCCCCGGGGGTAACGGGAGGTGGTGATATAGAAATGAACTTAAATGACCAGATGGTGACCTTGAGTCGCTTGACATCTTTGTCTACGGCGCTGATGCGGTAAATGCCACGCTCGCTGAGGCCGCGCTTCTCCACTTCATTGATACAGTGCACCAGCAGCGCCGGCACCATCGGCGGCGAGCTCGGGGCGAAGTCTGCGATGCTGCCCTCCTGCTTACACATGAATTGTTACACTTGAAAAATTATTATTTCAGCTAAAATATATGGTACATAACTGTAATTTTTTTTTAATTTTTAAGATGTATTTTCGAAAATCTGCCTAAGAGTACATTTAAAATTTTAATATTATTTCAAAGACAATATATTTAGTGGTTTTTTTTTTGTATTTACTGTGTCAAACTTGCGTCATCTACATTCTCTCTGTACTTACCTACTATTTTAAATAAGATTCTATAAGAGATTACTTTTAGCGATAAGGCCGCCTTTTGTTATTACACATTTTGTATCAATATTTTATGTATACATTTTTTTGATTGCAATAAAAGCTTATTATTATTACAAAATGCTCTAAATCGAGTACTGGCATATTTATTTATTTAAAACATGTATGACAAGTAGATGTGTTATAAGTGATCAGAGAAGAAATATTAACACATAATAACCAATCTCGAAACTTAGTATTTTCTTCATAAATTACTCCGATCGTGGATCATAACCGGGACTTCATTTGCGCAAAGCAACGAGCCTAGTACATCATGGAGTTTGTCAGTAAATTATTATTTTGAATTATTTGGGAGGACATTGTTAACCTATCTTTGTCTTAAGATTTGATTTCCAATAAAAAAACCACTTTTTAAGTATACATTTGGAACATTTGCCTCATTCTATTGTCAAAAGGATTAAGGATTAACTACATACTTATTTTTTTAATAGGTGAAAATGAAATGGTAACCTCGCCTGCACTGTCGGTATTGGGGAGTATCAATGAACAATGAAAGGTTAGAGATGAAAACGGGTTAGGTTGGTCCTTCATAGCAAAATTAAAAAATGAGAAGGAACCACATAGAGATCGATATGATAGTGGGTAAGTATATTACTAATAATCCCTTCCCCCTACTAGACTAATTGCATACCTGTCTGGCATTGGGGCGGCGAGCCAGCGGGCCGGGCGGCACGCACGGCAGCGGCAGCAGCGCGCGGCACTCGGGGTGCGCCTGCGCACGACACGACTCACACTTCACGCCCACTTTCGCGAACCCAATACTGTTGATAATATACAATATTTTATTAAGCAACTCAAAGGTCTTGACTTAAAATATAGTCTACATGGCAAAGTTATATAGCTGTGTAGGTCCCAGCATAGGCCACCCTTTCCTTTCCCGTGGGTGTCGTAAGAGGCGACTAAGGGAGTTTATGGTGGAGGGATGGGCAGTAGTCCCTCTTAAGACATTACCAAAACCCAAAGTGTAGCTGTCAACTTGTTGAGCGTGAAAACTACTGATAAAACCCGCTTATGGGGGAGGCCTATATTCAGCAGTGGACTGTTAACAGCTGATATCTTAGTACTAACGTTTTGCCACAGGGCCCGCAGGTCTCGCGGCGGTAGAAGTTCTTGGGCACGAAGTTGTGCGGACGCAGGCGGGCGCGTGGCGAGCCGCCCAGCGCCGCCGACAGCGCCGACGCCGCCGACGGCGTGCGCTGCGGCACTCGCGCCGCGCCGCCAACACAACCGCCGCCGCGGGGCGTCTCCTGCCCGCTGTCTATGTCTGCCGATAGGCAACATACTGTTTTATATAAACTTATTATATACAGAAAGAAATAAAGAATGTATTGAAAGAACCATGCAACTTACACAGTAGCATACAATACAAACAATAAATAAATAAATAAACAATAATTAAATAGATAGTGTCTCCATAGAAATGCTTCGAGAAAACCGGGTCAATTTTTTTTACAATTTTGCATGATAAATGGTTATGAGTTTCCTTTATAACTTTTATATTTACTTTATAATTTTTGCACCATTTTAATGCGTAAATACTCATTTTATTTATTAAATAATAGGTCAAGATACATTGTATGCGTAAGTATATAGAACACTGACAAAAAAAAAAAGAGTTAGCTAATTTGACAATTAACTGACAAAAAGTTGACCCGTTTTGAGACTTAATGCTTTCTTTATATAATTTAAGACAATAGTATACAAAATAAAAAGCATCTAACGATCAATTGAAAACTAAATTAAAAACAAAAAAAGCAAGTTTGTTCGTTATAATATATAGAAGTATAGACTAGTAAGGACAATCATACCTGTATGCGGTGGAGCCGATGGTGTGCACGGCTCGCGTTCCTCCTTCTTGACATGCTGACCGGAGAGGCGACAGGACGACTTCCTCGGCGGCGGTGCCTCGTCACTGCTCTCTGATATCGGTTGCTGTGAATATTTGTAAATAATTTAAAATGACTAAATCGAAATAACAAAATAACAATTATAATTTTAAATATTAATTAAATATTTTATTCAAATAGATGTTATTTTGCGGAAATCCATATCACTGGTTAGTCGGTTAGAATTATTGTGTTTAATTCCACTATCATCATCGTGCGTGCAATTGCTAACATTAGAAAATTGACTACTAATATCAATTTTTTTATACAACTTAGAATGACAAACAAGCTGATGGCCCACCTGATGAAAAGTGGTAACCATCGCCTATAGACATGAGCAGTACCATGGACATAACAGAGTATACTAGTATTTCGCCCATGCATTGCCATTCCTAAGGACTCAAGTGTTATGCCTCTGTACCTTCACCTCTGTAAATTCAAGCCTTATCCGACCCTTCAAACCGAAACATAGCCATGCAAACACAACTGGTTCACGGTTGAAACACGAATGGGACAGAGGTACCCAAGCAAACGACTTTTGTACAGTCTCCCTCTTGTAATAATATTATTAATAGAAGTATTTTTATTATAAGGATTGTTAGTGATGTAAACTACCAGTCCCATTGCTAGCAATATACCCTACCAAGGTTGACCTCCACGTGCCTCCGCCCCTGGAAACCATCGTGCAGAATTCCAGGTGTATTAATCACGATTGGCTAACTGTGCTGCATTTTCATTTTCACCTATTAACCATCACCAGTGCCCCGCCAGGATATACTGATAGCGCGGGCGGTATTACAATTTCATTATCATCCATTAAAAAAAATGAGGATCGGGATATGTTCATTAACCAAGATATAGCCTATATCCTTCTTCATCATATGTATATCAAATTTCATAGTGATTGCTTAAGCCATTAGTGTGCTATAAATGTAACAAAGAAACAAACTGACTTTTAAATTTATAATATTAGTAAGGGTATTGGACTTACGAAGTTCTGCGGTGGTTTCAGATCGTGTCCGGTGGGTGCGCGCTCCAGAGTCAGTGTCGTGGTGGCGGTAGCTAGCACTTTCCCACCTTGCAACTCCACTGTCTATATGGCAAATAAATTTCCCATTTTAACTATGAGATTGTATCTTTTTATTTTTATACCACTGAGTTGGCAAACAAGCATACGGCCTACCTGATGGTAAGCGGTTACCTTAGCCTGTAAATGTCTGTAACATCGTTACCCCTTTTTTGAAAACCCCATGCTATAGTCTCTTGTAAAAATCTCGACAGATCATTCATCAGAACCTGAACATTCATGGAAGATAACATCTCTGAAACCGCGCTTTACGCGTTTATCTAGGCTCTAAGTTATAAGGGTGAACTCCCTGTCGATGACGAGCTGTACAGTGGTAAAAAGTGGGCGTGGGCATCATATTGAACAATTCCTCTGAACACAGTCCATTGTATAAACGGTAGAAGAGTCTCTTTTTAATTATTACTCAACATTTTATATATGGGCAATAGAAAGATGATTAGGGTCACCCAATACCACCACTGCCTTATTTTAGTACTGTAGCTGCCTTAGATAATCTTAATTTTTTTTATACAACTTAGAATGGCAAACAAGCTAACGGCCCACCTGATGGAAAGTGGTAACTGTCGCCTATAGATATGAGCAGTACCATGGACATAATAAAGTATACTGTTTCGCCCATGATACCCCTCATGCATTGTCATTCCTGAGGACTTAGGTGTTATTCCTCTGTACCCTGTATATTCATGCCATATCCCATTCTTCAAACCGAAACACAGCCATGCAAACACAACTGTTTCACGGTAGAAACACGAATGCGACAGAGGTAATGAAGCAATCGCCTTTGTACAAAGTCTCCCTCTGATAAAATTACCCTACCTTGTACTCTACCTTGAAAAATTGCACAAAGAGTCCAATATAATAGGTATTCCGCCACCAGTATCAAATAGCGAGGTTGGGATGTCAAAATAAATGTACTTCTAACTTCAGTAAAAAACAGAACTTTACCTTAGTGGCGGACGAAGTAGAGGAACGTCGTTTCTTAGACGCGGGCGGGTTCTCGCGTGCAGTCCAAGCACCGCGTTGTACCCACGAACGGCGAGTGGACGCTAGGGACAGATCGAGATCGTCCTCTGAGCGGGAGTATGACATCTCCGACAGCAGTGTACCTGTTAATAATATATATAGCGAAGTTCATAATTGTCACCAAAAATATATGTAAAAGATATATTTGTGTATGCAAATGTATGTGTGTATGAGCACATAATGTTTAAAATTTGTATGCTACATAGAAAAAAGAAAATTTTGTACTATAGGTTTTGTCATTTGAATTTCACAAATAAATATTAATAAATAGACTGAGGTAATGATTATATAAATATTTTTTTAAGTCAGCTTAAGAGAGATAGAGAAGAGCAATATCATATGAATATATGGACAATACATATATTTACTAATCATGTCTGGACATGTAAAAGAGCCACAGGAGAGCCTTGCTAAGTGCTGCCCACGAAGCTCGTGAGCAAGCTATATTTTTTTTTAATGGATGATAATGGAATGGTATGGTAACCCCACCCGCGCTATCGGTATACACCGGCGGGGCACCAGTGAGGGATGATAGGTGAGGATGAAGCAGGTCAGTTAGCCCATCACGACGAACTCGACAAGAATTGTTCACGATGGTATCCAAGAGTAACCACGTGGAGGTCGACCTGATAGGGTATATTGCTAGCAAGGCAGTTATTAAGCCCAATTTCTAACAATAATGGTGAATAACTATCATGAGTCATACTGTATTGTAATTTCAAACTCAAAGCATACCCCAATATCAACCAGTGGATCGACCAGCGAATAAAACCCGGAGACGCCGAAAGAAGTGCTATACAATCGGCCGAACCACCACTACTATCGTCGTTGATAGCGCGCGCGAAGCGGTAAACAGCGCAGTGGTCACACAATGCTGCTCGCGACATAACCGTGAACCGCGCTCATGAATAAGGGTTCTACTGGGGTTCGAAACTAGACGAATTTAAAAATATTTACTATATAATCCGTTGCTCAGTAAAAAAACAAGGTAACTTACCAGTGGAGTTCAACTCGGGAACGCCGTTAAGTTTGGCATTATGGTCTTGCTGGGCACCATTTAAGAAGGCAAGTTTCTGCAGAGTCTCATCATTCAGCTTGGTGCGGTTGTCGTTAAATAACAAATCACGGGCCATCTCCAATCGCTTGCTCTGCAATTATAATGTGCAATATCTAAATAACGCACAACGGCCCAAATGAGAGGCTAAGTGCGGAAAACAGAGTCTTTCTTACAATATCTAAATAATATAATAAAATTGTAATTAGACAATGTGAAATATTATAACAAATATTCACTTAGCCTATTAAATTATTAAATTAGGGAGACTATACCAGACTCATGTGCTTGGGTACCTTTTTTCCCATTTGTTTTTATACTGTGAAGCAGAGACACGACACATGTAGAGAGGTATGATAATTTAGTCCTCAGGAATGGAATGAAGGGTATCATGGGCAATACAATATACTCTGTTATGTCCATGGTACTGTTCATATCTATAGGCAACGGTTATGATTTTTCATCTGGTGGAGAATCAGCTTGTTTGCCATTTTAAATTACATTGACACATATGACCTTATTCAATTACTGCAAGGAAATCTTAGATATTTATCCTTTTTAGTAAAACACTAAAATTGGAATGTTTTTATGTACAAGTAACAATACTTTTTGAAATTTTTACCTGTTGCAAAATGTTAAGGTACATCATGGGCTACAATACAATATTTTACTAAGCTAATTATGCAAAGACTTAAATTTATGAAATAATGTATGCTTCACTGATTTAGTTGGACAGATAGATAGTATATGTCTAATATAAGAGGTAAAATAATAATTCACACCCCATAAACAAGTGGCAAACAAATCTATAAATGTTATTAATTATTATTATTTATTAATTATACACAAGAAATATACAACATAAGTACATTGGATCCTACAAACAGTAGTGTTTTACAAATATAGATCAGCGAGCCAATTTTATGAAAACAAACATGATAGAAGGACATCATTAACTAATATAAAAATGCTTTATAAAGACATGTGAAATAGATGGAATAATTATCCTAATAAGTCCATAAGATAGAATGAGATAACAATGAGCTATGTCTCATTTGAACTCATAGACTCCGCTTGTGATAATGATTCTATCAATGGATTGATTTGTCACTTATCCATGGTGCCAGGTATAGCTATATGAGAAGAGTCTTGTGGACTTGTAAACATTATGGTTACAATTTGCCATTTTATTAAAAATTTGCTTGTGTATCATTGTTAGAGAAGTAAGATTATGTTTTTAAAAAGAAAAAAAAATCTATTTCAATTGTTACAAAATCAGTATAGGACCAACATGGGTATAAACACTGTCAATTGCAGAAAAAATAACTAAATGTAGTTCAAAATAGTAAAAATAATATGATATGCCATACAAAAATACTACAAGCAAGTTGATATATCGAATGTTTTATAAACATGTATATGTACTATAAAGTTATTGAACCTCTATTTTTTTTAAGTTGCTAAAAAAGATGTTAAATATGTAAACAATTTTTTAGAGCAAAGTCTATATCTCATAAAAGTGAATTAGATGCTTCATTGCCAGGGACATGACAGATTAAGTTAACCTCCATTCTACATACTCATTCACCCCTGGAAACCATGGCATTAATTACTGAATTTATGACAATGAGCCCAATTGATCTGCTTTCATCATTATAAAGACCATGATATATCATGAGTATAAAGACCATGGTATCACTAATGAATGATAGAAGAGTATCATTCATAAAAATATTGAATCTTGCCTGTTTGTGGTGGAAATTGCATTCTGAATGGGGCCATAAAATTGTAAAAAAGTTACTATTCAAAAATGAAGTTTAAAAAATATATTGAACATCAAGTTTATTCAAATAAAATTTATTCTTATTCTTACTTTTTGATTAATTAAACTCACCAATTCATTGCATTTTTTCAATACAATATTCCTTTCCCTCTTTTCTCCGTCAAGTAATTTCCTCACATGGGCAAACTTTGCCTCCCATTTGGAAAGAGTCCGCAGTGCCTCATCTAATTCAGACTGGAGGCGCATTGCCTCTGTTTCTGCTGCAGCCCATTGGGTTCTGACCCATTCTATATGTTTCACAAATGCACGGAAATCTGTTAAAAAAATAATATATTGCATATAAATTATAAACTTGCTATGAACCTATTTACAAAAACAAGAAGTAATAAGGTTTGGTAGAAATATGTTACATATATACTGTTATAATGTTGATACTTTTAAATATAAGTAAACTTAAATTTTACACATTTTATTTTAAAGCTTTCAGGTTTAACATTAAGTTACATTACATCTTCACATAAATTATACAATTGTAAATTAGTAATTTTACTAGTAGTACTACGCGTAGTCGCAAATTATATTTAGCATCCATGCAAAGCATGTTTATGACATTATGACAGATAATATTTATTGATTACAGAATGTTTACATATAAAATAGGTGACCTTGGTGACCATTAAAGCTAATATTATAGGTAACAAAATATAAGTCACATAAGGGTAAAATTAACTTATAAAGATCGCAAGCTATAAACACCATGACCCCCCATAGCCAAACCATTGTGAATATTATTATTAATACGGGTACAGTGAATAACAAGGTATATGAAAAAGAAAGTAATAAAAAATGCTATTTAAACTGTACTACTTACATTCTTCAGCGGCTCCATCGTTTAGAACTCCGTTGAGACGATTCAAATCATCGAATTGAGCCACCCGCGAAAGGACAATGGTTGGTCCTGAATCTGAATTTTCCGAACTCATTTTCATTTATATTTACGTTATCCAGACAAAACACAACAGACTACTATTTAATAACAAAATTAATCATTTCACTTCAACAACAAAATAATAAAATTAGCTGTTTACTTCAACCGTAGAAAATGACTTTGAAATTAAATTTTTAACGGACACCGTCTATTTACGCTTTATGTCAATGTCAGCTTCGCTATGTTCTGAAATTAAAATACGGTCCCTTTGACTTGATAATACAGTAAGATTTATTTTTAGATTAAAAATAGAATGGAAACATAATTAAAGCGAATCTTATATAATTTACATATAAGTATGAGTGAATAATATTTTAAATTATTTACTGTATCTTCATTATTGTTAAGAATCAGTTTTCAATTAATTCCAACTTCCGTCTATTATGATGTGAATTATGAAAAATTTTTGAACGACCAGTGGTGCTTATGTTTCCATCTATAAAAAGTGCTAAAAGCATTACCTTATTGTCACTTACCTTAACTGATGGAATAAAAAGGACCAGAATGATTACTTTTCTTATCACAGAAAAATTAATAGGTATTAAACTTATATCCAAATAAATCCAAGAATTATTGATAATCATCTAATTAATTTATTTTCTTAACTGTGAAAGATAAATAATAGTATATATTCTTGATTACAAAGAAGTGGACTATATTAATTTTAATAAGTCATTTGAAAGTATTTTATTAAATATAAAAATATGTATTTAAAAACCAGTTATTAAGCTACAAAAAATGGATATATTAGCTTTTAAAGGTTGTCAAGTATTGTATAAGCATCTTTATGAATGGTTACATTTAAACAATGTGAGTGAGATCAAGAAATAACGTAAAAAGATGTTGCATCACTAAAACACTCAAATTATAAACAAAGAGCTAGATTTATGTAGTTTATGTATTTTATATTTGTGCAATATAACAGATAATATAATGATAGATAGATACTCTTTATTGTTTCCTTCAAAATATTACAATAGTAAACTTATTATAAATATAAATAATTACAAGATTATACAAGACAATAATGATATATTGAATATCACTTTCAAACAGTCTTATAAGCTTATGATAATAATTTTATTCCATAGATGACAGCAAGTATTAAAAATTGCTAAGAACCTCCTTGGTTTAATGGCAGGCGATATGCATTCTAGCAGCACTTGTCAATGTAAAATAAAAAAAATTATAATACAATAAAAAATTATGGTTTACCCTTTTGTCTTACGTACTATGAACATTGACTGAACTTGCTAACTGATTAATATTAACTAGTGTAGGTAACCAAAATCCTAGTCCTGTTTTTCTGTAATATTGATCCTGATCCCGGCGTTGCTTAATACTGGTGAGTGCTAATACCAATTTCCTATATTAAAAATAAGTAACTAATCTGTTTCTTGTAGATGGAAACACTTTTATTAACTCACTGACAAAATATAAATTGACATTGACAGTTGGATCGCTGCATTTCATTGGTTCTTTGGTCATTTCTATAGAATTTGCTTGACAAACCGCAATGACGTTCGACTGAGGACGGTGGTCTTTTCGTTTCGGTCGTGTAGCCTAGCGATTTCTGTAAATTAGTAATTGCCGAGACCACCGGTGTATCGGCTTCCGCGTGTTACCATGGCGGACGAAGAGAATAATTGTGATGATGGTGGTGGTGAAGTAAGAGCAGATCAGGCATTTCGGCTCCGAGGACGTAAGGGTGCCCTGAAGAAGAAGAATGTTTACTTCGTGAAGGATCACAAGTTTATGCCGCGGTTCTTCAAACAGCCCACCTTCTGTTCTCACTGCAAGGATTTCATATGGTGAGTGTATTTTTTTTTATTGTAATGGTTGTATATATAGCTCGTCCTTGTGTAATTGTTTAAGATCGGAAATTAAAAATACATCATTTGTTTACAATGTGGAGGCGCTCGTAATCAGTTGCCTACGGGTTTTAGGTTTATGATAACACTGGCATAAATTTACGTGAACTAAATAGAATTGTTATTTTAATATTATTACAATTTAATGTTGGCATTTATTAGCTATGAGGAGTAACTAAATTGGCATCAATTGGTTTATGAAGTTATCAACTATAATGCCATTGTTTTGATTACATTGGCTGCTGCATATTTAATTGATTTAGTGCAGTCTAAATATTAGGATATGTTGTTGTATGCCCAGTTTATTATTGCATTTACTATTACATTGCCAGTTTAATTTTTATTATAAATAAACCATAGATTTAAGTAATTTTAAATGAGGGCATGTACAGCACAACTTGCTTGATATAAAAACATTTTATGCATTTTATTAAATGATTTTTTTTAAATCACACATATCTTTTTAGAATTCTTACTTTTAAAAGTAAGATTGGAATATGAAATTTATTAATCTATTTGAATAACATTTTATATTTTTGAATAGGTATGGTAAATCTGCTCATTTATTATGCCTAATCTTTATTAATTAAAAATTATTAAAAAGTCAATTAAACAGAAATGTTCATGACAAGCTATTTATAAAAAAAAAAAATTACATTCTAATATGACATAATTCTAATATTCCAGTAAGTTGATATGCTTATTAATTTGAATTCTAGTTTGAAGACATTCAAAAGATTAAGCAAATATTCTTGAACTATCCAGAGGAGCTGCTTCACCGATGTACAAGAAACTTCAAGTGTTGTTAAATTGCCAAATATAAATAATCCTTAAATCTTCCATAGTAAAGACTTAATTCTAATGGTATTATTATTTAAGACACAAGAAAGGGAATATTTTTTGTTCTAATTTAAAATTTATGTCTGTAGACATGTTTTCTAGAAGTATAACTGGCCTCAATAAAAATAAATTATAAAATAAAGTAGCCTGTTAACCTTATTACTGCATTTAAAAGCATAAGCTATATTTTTACATTACAGACAGTGCAATTTCATTTATCATAAAATATGTCACATTATGATGAAATATGTTACTGAGTAATCTAATTTTAATGTAGAATCCATCTTAAAATACACGATGCATACAATGCTATTTTAAAAGTTTGTTGGTATAAGAATGCCATATTAATAATGTTATATTAGGTTCCAATTTTGTACCATATTTTATCAGTCATTTTTAAAATAAATAATAATAATAATATTTATATTTACCCATATAGTATCTGCACAACATTAAATACACACCTTGAAATGTTTATGTTTTTAATTTAAACTCTTTTTCTTCTGAAAAGATAAAACAATGATTATTTGATATTGTTTATTGTCATTGTGTTCGCTAAGATGTGTATGCTTGAATGGAATGTGTGGTGATTGTGTCATACATTGTATTTTTTCATTATATACAATTTACATGCTAATAGCATACTGACGATGTGTTTCTTCTAATTATTACTTTAATATAATCAGTATCAATAGTTTATAACATTGTTATGTTATTATATGTTACATATTCTAATCTGTACTTGCTAAAAAATGGTACTAACTTATGTACAATAATTTATATTATTGAAAAAAGTTTATTAATTTTATTTCCATTGAATGATATAAAATTTATAAAATAAAAAGAATTATACTTGCCTAAGTGCAAAAATAATTTCAATCATTGCCAAATTAAAATTGTCTGTGATTGAGTTACATGACCATGTATTAGTTCTCTTAACATTTCTATAGAAAATGTGTCACATTAATTTGCCCTATATCGCCACTTCAAAGTCCAGACGATTTACGAAGATTCCCATTTTATAGGTATAATTATTAGTGCTCGCGGTTTCATTCGCGTGCTATAATAAATTTTCATTACAAATATGTACAGCATTTGTTTTTTACACTTTTGTTTTCTACGCCATCTATTGTCAAATAGAGTCAACTGTATGTATATTTGAAAAAAATAAAAATATAACCGTATTGAAGAGTAATGTTTTTGATCTTTTATTGTCTAGGTATATCATCATATTAGCCGTTAACTGGCCGCTGCTGAATATAGACGCCACGCTTGATTTATTGCTTAGCTTTGGTGATGTTTTAATAGGGATGCTGCTGCCCATCCCTCGTTCATTAAGTCTAAGTATATATTGATCCACATTTAGCTTATTATACTGTGAAAGTTTTGTCACAAACCATGTTCGTTTCCCACCGTGATAGTATAAAAAAATCTGGCTGTTTTTACGAAAAAAGCTAATATATAGAGATTTAAATTGTGTCAAATTCACTTCGATACAGAAGGGGATTTCTATAGGAAAGCATTGCAGTTAATTTAAATAGCTAAAACTTATGTGAAGCAGTCATCTATTGAATTTAAAAAACTTTACCAATGTCAAATACCTCAAGAGATCGTTATACCATATTATTGTTTTTGTTAATTAGCATGCTGTGTTTCCTTTAAAATGATTGTACACTAAGTATAAATAGACAGTAATTTTAATAACAATTGCTGGGAGACCAAATAAAGATAAAAAAATAAAAATAAAAAAATACAGTGAAAAATCATCGCGTAGTTCAGCTTAATTGTATGCTACTTTTGCAAAAATATGTAAATGTGCATGGTTTAGTTACGATTTATGAGGTGTAAAGATTGATTTATTATCGATCGATACATTGTTGGGAAGTAGTTACCTACTTTAAGTGTTTCAAATAATTGCCAAATTACAACGTCTTTATTCATGGTTCGACGAAAATACACTACTGGACATTTTCTTGGCGTGCGCACTCAATTCATTAATGATACTGTGAAAACAATGTATATGATAATCATTTCCGTTTTGCATAAATTTTTATATCAGGGAGCAGAATTGCGTACAAACAGGTTCACAGATAAATCAATAATTTGTCACAACATTAATAATAAAAAACAAAGATTTTTTTTGATGGATGAAAATGGAATGGTAATATATATAGATATTGTTCTATATTACGCTCCCCTATTTTTTTTTTATGCGTGAAAATGGTACGGTAACCCCGCCTGCGCTAACGGGATACGCTGGCGGAGCACCAGTGAAGGGTGATAGATGAGAATGAAAACAGGCCAGTTAGCCCATCATGATGAATTCATCAGGAATTAACCATGATAGTTACCAATGGGAACCACGAGGAGGTCGACCTGGTAGCAATATACTTAATATTCTTAGCAATTGGAATTTTAGTCTCCATTACTAACAATCCCTTTCCCCCCAAACAAAGATATTAGAATGTCAAAATTTGTAAAAAATATCTGAATGTTTGTTATTTAATCACGCCCAAATGGCTGATCCTTTCTTTGCTGATTGGATAGTTTTTATACTAACAAAAAGGAAATAAGGTGTAAGTTATTTAATGGTTGGAAGGATATTAATGGTTGATGGATGCGCAGTTGCGTCCCTCTTAAAACGTCACCAAAGCCTAACTGCGGTCGCTAATCCGCCTGCCAAGAGTAGCAACCGGCAATCCCCCCCCCCCCCCCCCCCCCGGCTCAACAAAAGGAGGCCTATATTCAGTAGTGGACAGTTAACGGCTGATATGATGATGATGAACATACAAATGAATACTATCTTTTATTAGCAAATAGGATACTTTTTATACTAATTGTGATACAGGTTAAGATTTTTTTATACAACTTAGAATGGCAAACAAGCTGACGGTCCACCTGATGGAAAGTGGTAATCGTCGCCTATAGACATGAGCAGTACCATGGACATAACAGAGTATACTGTTTCGCCCATGATACCCACCATGCGTTTCCATTCCTGAGGACTCAGGTGTTATTCCTCTGTACCCCGTAAATGCACGCCATATCCCGCCTTTCAAATCGAAGCACAGTCGTGCAAACACAACTGCTTTACGGTTGAAACACGAATGGGACAGAGGTACCCAAGCAAACGACTTTTGTACAAAGTTTCCCTCTGTAAGTTACAGTTAGTACTTGTAAGTAATTTAAGTAGATTTGAATATTAAAATTTACTCTTTATATATATACAACAGGTGGTTGACCCAAAAAAACTCGACTGGCAAACAAGATTCTTACAGTTTATAGCCGCTATGTTTATTTTATATTGTCATCATATAGTATAAATCAGTCCCATAACTGAGACGCATCTAACGACGCCCTATATGTTAAATCCATCATGCCGTTTGTGTTACACGTTGCGCAACACTGTACGTACGTGCGAAAATAAATACCCATTAATTATTAAGTGTCATTTTCTTTAGCATATACACAGTAATGTGACTACATCACTATTCCATTGCACTCGGGACTAATTTTAACCGTAGCCACATGTTTTTTTTTATTTATGAATATATGACGCTATTTTTATATTAGAATTGACGTACAAAATAAACTGCTCCGCGGGGCACGCACAATGACAGTTCTTTGGCTCCAGAACGAAATTTATCGATTCGGCCACTTTGTTGAGAAATAATATTGTAATAATATGTTGAAAATCGAGACTGCGTTCTATGTAGACAAATTAATGTTATTGGGTATTTTAAGTATTGTTGTACGAAATGTCACAAAGTTATCAAAAGGTGGTTTTTTTTTTCGTATAAAATTTATCTTTTAGGTAAACCAGAGGGAGACTTTGTACAAAAGTCGATTGCTTGGGCACCTCTGTCCAGTTCGTGTTTCAACCGTGAAGCAGTTGTGTTTGCATGGCTGTGTTTCGGTTTGAAGGGTGGGATATGGCGTGAATTTACTGGGTACGGAGAAATAACACCTGAGTCCTCAGGAATGGCAACGCATGGGGGGTATCATGGGCGAAACAGTATACTCTGTTATGTCCATGGTACTGCTCATGTCTTTAGGCGACGGTTACCACATTCCATCAGGTGGGCCGTCAGCTTGTTTAC